TCGTGACAAATATCGATTTTTTATAAGGTGATAGGTACTATTTAATGGATTCGAACCGCAACTTTCATGTTGAAAGGCTAGTGGTATACCACTAGACCAAACCTTTGTTCGTAATACTAATTTGTTGAAGTTACATATTTCAGGCCACTCACAATGTCAAGTGGAAAAAATGAGAATTTGAGAGAGAAAATGAGTTTTTTTTTAAATCCCTAGTAGGGGGGTCACAATGAGGGGCAAGAGACCCGAGCGATTTGGTGGGCGGCCCGATTCTCATCCCTTCCCCAGAACCGCCAACCAACAATCTGCATTTCCTTCGCCCTCTCCCTTATCTCCTCGCAAATTTCATCCACCTCCAATCAACCATTGTCTTCTTTCTCCAGCTTTTGGATAATCACCTGACAATCCTTCTCGGTCAACATCGATGTGAAGTGATGGGCTTCGACAAGGTTCATCGCCCATAGGAAAGCATTTGCCTCAACCATCATAGGTGACCATGTTGTTCGAATAACAAGGACGAATCCTGATCCACATTGAAGTAACACAAATGTGTCAACGTTCAACTTGTATACTCTTTCCGGCATCCTCTCCCATTGATAGTGATGTGTGGGTGTCCTCTTCTTCTTGTCTACATTCCGGATCGCCATAAATTCCTCCATGTAACACTAGGAACTTGCAATTACTTCTCATTCCTCAAATTTTTGGTTATTGAATAAGTGATTGTCGCGTTCCTTCCACATGAACCATAGTCCAATTAGTACCTTGCCAATTTGCTCATCCATTGCCTTTTCCATCAGTTTGCACACCCATTCTTCACATCCCTTCTCTTCATCCATATGAAAAAACTAGCAATGGTACTAGGTCTCTAGAAACGGCTTGCCCAATCACTTTCTCTTGAGATATGCTCATGTGTTTCAACTAGCCCACAAAAAGGGCATTCATCACTCAGCTCAAAGATTCGTTTGCTTAGGTTTACGCCTGTGGGAAGTATATTGATTCCTTATCTATATACAAAGACTCTCACTTTAGGGGGGTAGTTGTAGTTTTCAAAGCCTCTTCCAGTCCACTGGGACGTACTCCTCCTCCTCATTTTCCAGTCTTTTCTGTCTCTGTATATTATATCCTTATGGCACCGAGTATCTCCTTGACTTTTCCTTTCCCCAAACACATTCATCAGGTCGACCCTGCCTTGGTATAGGTATCTGGTAGATCCTTTCCCGGTTAGTAGGATTGAAGTTTGACTGGATAATATTACTTCTCCACGACTTAGTAGTCCAATCTATCAGGTGAGAAACCTTGGCATGCATCCCCAATGTGGCTACGGAGATTGAATCCGATAATCTGGGACTTCAGGGATCCATCTATCCCACCACACTCTCACATGCTCCCTATTTCCAATGTGCCACCTTGTCCCTTCTCTAACAAGTAACCGAGCAACATGAATACTTCTCCGGGTATAGCTGGGGTTATTTCCTATTTTGACCTCTAGGATTCCACAATTCGGGTAATACTTGGCTTTTAGTACTCTTGCAACTCGACTATCGGGTAGGAATGACAATAGGTCGAATTTGTGGCATAAACCACCAAACCCGTGCCACGCCATGCTCTCTGAGGTTAAGATCTACTCTGCCTCGTGCCCGGCAATGGGTTGGCACTTTTCAATCCAAACATTGCCCCGCTCAGGTAGAATAAAATCTTCATCGCCCCATTTACTGCCTATGACCCTTCAAATGACCTAACATTAGCTTTCACAAAACCAACAGAGCAATAAAGCAAGGTTGAGATTTAGTGTTCCCCAGAAACAAAATGGATGAATCTAGACAAAATATATCTAACCATAAACAAGTAACCTCAATTCTCCACCAACGTCGGCGTCGTCGCAACCATGGTGGATCTATGTGTGCGCGTGTGTCTCGCTACCTCTATCTCTACATAGATCTTATGTTTTCATCTCCAATAATGCAGTAAAAAACGTGATTCTAACTAGAAGCGGTGGGGTGACCTAGAAGCATAAAACCGTAAGCTTTTAAGTTTTAAAGCGTAGATTTTGACTATATTTGTAAGGAAAAATAACGATTCTATGTAGAAGCATTTTAGTGACATGAAAAGGTAAAAGCGTAAGCTTTTAAGTTTTAAAGCGCGATTTTGACTACATTGCTTCTCCAACTAACCACACAACATTCCTCTCTCTCTCTCTCTCTCTTCTGAGCAACTTCTCTTCTTCTTTCTGTACCTAGAGAACTTAATACTTTCCCGACTAGTGGCGCTGTCGGAAGAAGAAGAAGAAGAAGAAGAAGAAGAAGAAGAAGAAGAAGGAATAGAGGGCGCGAGTTGAGTCGGCAATTGAAAAATGGGATTTAAGAGTGGAAGATAAATGCATAAGGGTTGGGATTGGGAAAGGTTTCTTGAGAGTAGAGTTTATTGGGGATAATAAATGGTTGGCAGGCTGTAAATTAGGGAATTAAAAAAGGAATGGGAACATGAATCACTAAAAGGCTCCCTCTTCCACTTCGTAGTTCGAAGGAAATTAGTCGACGGGGCGGAGTAGGGTGGAACAGAGCGGGTTAGCCTCCAATATCCATATCTACCCTGTTTTAAGAGCGGATCGGGTCGAGATCCAACCCGTTCAAGAAAGGATCGGATTTTATCCACCCTAATGCAGGCCAGATCGGGAAAAATCAATCGGGGTGCATTTGGTTTGTCATCCCTACTATCAGGTTTTGTCAAGAGGTTCCATACATGTTTTCCAATGAGTGCTTTGTTAAAATCATATAGATTTTTGAAACTCATCCCACCCTCTGGCTTTGGTTTACATAGCTTGTCCCACCCCTTCCAATGAATACGTCTTTCTTTCCTGCCCTACCATAATCCAGCTATTAAGCTATGAATCTCCTGTATCACACCTTGCGGTACAAGAAATATAGACATGGCGTAGAGTTTATGAGCCTGTGTTATGGCCTTCATCCGCACCTCTTTCGCCGAACTAGACAACAACTTACTCTTCCACATTTTCATCTTCTTGTGGACCTTATCAATAAGTTTAGTAAGAACTGCCTTTTTTTACCTGCCAATGTTTGTTGGTAAAGGTATTTATCATGTTGCATCACTGTTTCCATCCCTAGAATATCAACCATCTTTTTTTCTCGTCCTCTTCCACATTCCCATTGAAGGGAGTTCAAATTTTGTAAAATTAACCTGTTGTTTAGAGACATTCTCGTAGAGCTGAAGAATCATCTTCAAACCTTCCCCTTATGTTTTCTTATTTTGGAAGAAAAAAGGTTGTCGTTTGCAAAGAAGAGGTGTGAAATGACATGCCCATTGCTCATTTTAATACCTTGCATGCTTCCCCTTTCCATCACCTTTATTGTTCATGCCGAGAGGCCTTCCGCACAAAGAAGAAAAATGTAGGGTAATATAGGGTCACCCTGCCTCAATCCTCTCGATGGCTTAATCAAGGTTGTTTGATGTCCATTCATTAAAGCTGAATACATTACTGTTGTAACACACTCCATGATAAGTTTTACCCATCTGTCATCATATCTTAGTTTCAACATCATAGCTTCCAGCAAACATCACTCAATCCTATGATAAGCTTTTGATATGTCTAGTTTCGCAGCAACATAGCTTATCTTTCCTTCCATTCTGATTTTCATGACATGAATGCACTAAAATGCCACTAGCATATTATCTGTGATATTTCTGTCAGGGACAACAACACTTTGGGTTTCTGTAATAACCTGCTCTAGAATCCTCTTCATCCAGTTTGCTAAGACCTTAGGGAGGATCTTGTACATAACCCTACAAAGACTAATCGGTCTAAACTCCGTTGGGGAGTTATGCTTCTTCATTTTGGGGATCAAAACTATCAAGGTGTGGTTTAGCTTTTCTGGAATTGTCCCACTAGTTAGACTTCCTTGTAGCTCCCTCGTCACCGCCTCTCTAATACTTGACCAATTCTTTTGAATAAATAGAGCAAACATTCCGTCTGAACTAGGTGCTTTTATTGGAGCCATATCTTTCAGTGCCTGCCATATTTCCTCATATGTGAAGGGTCTCATCAGTTTTTCATTCATTTGACTCGTAACTTTTGGATCAACTGCATCTAGGACCTCTTCCATATCTCTGACTGCTCCTGCTGAGTACAGTTCCCTTAAATATGTTGGGGAGAGAGCTGGACACAGAGCCGGAATCACCATTAACATATTCGTCGTCGAGCACACCGCAGACCTAAGGAAAGGCGACAGATGAAAAATCTTATGGGGAAGTGTGCCTACTTAGCACTGAAGTAGAAGATCGGAGCGGGAGAATGCACTCAACCCAAGGCAGGTTTTGACAAGTTAGGAATATAATGAGTTTTTATATGAGTGATTTTTGGTTGAAGAAGAAGAAGGATAAGGTAGGGGAGGCTGGTCGATTTCCAATTAGCGGCTAACTGGCGGTTTTACCCGCTAACCGTCGGTTAGCCACTAACTGAAAACCGGTCGGTTACTAGTCGTGATCGGTGTTCGGCAAGGGTGAAGGGTTCTTCGGTTAGTCGAGTAACCGAATGTGGTTAACCGCGCTTAACCGGCTGAACGACTCCCAGCCGAAAATGTAAAAAAGGAGGAGGAATAAGAGCGCTAAATCCAATTAACCTTTCCCCTCCCCATCTGGTTCTCGACGAACCCTAAATCCCAAAAATGAAAATCGTTAAATTCTCTTTTTCCCGCGCCGCGCCTCCGTCCCAGACCAGTCGATCGTCCGCCTCCGCCTTCATGCTTAATCGCTGCCGCGCTCATCCGCCTCAGTCCCGTTGCCCTGCGCGCAGGCGAGCACAGTGGCGGATTCAGAAAATTTTCATAGGGGTGTCCTCTTCAAAAGTTAAATTTAATTAAATAATAAATTAAATAATTCGTATATTAAAAATATCATACTTGTATAAATGTTTTATTAAAATTCATGATGTGTTTTCATATTTTGAAAAAATAATATAAATAAACTCCGTGTCTGCACTGTTCAAAAAAAATCTACATATCCTACTAGACAATACTTGACGAACTTATCACATATTCGATTTCTAACCTTGTTCTTAATGTAGCTCAAAGTAGAAAAGACTCTTTCAACACTTGTCGTGTAACCATAAAATCAATTCAAAATTAAGGGTAGCGTGTACGTAGTTTAATTATTAGGTATTGAAAATAGTTGGGGATAAAGAAATAGCGTTTTACTGTTGCATGATGTTTAAAATAGAATAACAAATGAGTAGCAACATAATTAGAATATGTTTGATAATAGTAGTGTCCTAGGTTGGAATAACACGGACTACCACTTATATTTTGTTAATCATAAGCAAACTATTATCGAAGGTAGGATAATCATTTTCAAATGTTAGGGTGTCCCGGATTACCAATTATATTTGTATACCCATACGAAACTACTACCGGAGGTTGGATAATCGTTTCACCAAATTTTAGGGATGTCCCGGGACACCCCTACAAGCCCATATATCCGCCCCTGGGCGAGCACCTCCTCTCCCCGTGCCTTCGTCGCCTCCGCCTCCATCCTGTCGCGTCGTGCCGCCGTTCACAGAGATTCAACAGAGAAGGTGAGTGCCTCCTCTCTCCGCCTTCATCGCCTCCGCCTCCCTCCCGTCGACGGGTTCCAGCCACACCTCCATTCCCCTGGCGACTGCTGCTTCTTCCAGTTTAAAATGGAGAGATGGAAGGAGAGAGAGAAATAACAGTTGCGGTGAGGAAGACGCCCAATGATTTATGTTTAGTGAGTTTTTTTTAATTTTTTTTATTGAATTAAACGCAACGTTTAGGTTTTTTTGTATGCGGCTAACCGAGCCTAAAACCAAAACCAGTTGGCCGGTTAACCGTGGCTTCCTTCACGGTCGACAACCGTAGGAGGTGGCTCGGTTTAACCGATAACCGAGAATATAATTTTCGATTGAACCGAAACCGACCGACTGACACCCCTAGGATATGGAGTAGGGTTGAAGAAGAGGATATGAGATCTAAGTTTTTTTATGAATCGGAGGATAGAAGGGGGGGGGGGGGAGGGGAGAAAAATGAAAATGACTTTTTTCCAGTTAATTTCATTTAGGTTGTTGACCTTCGTCGAGTCAGCATTTTCGTTAGTCCAGTTAGCATGTTAAACGACATTATTAAAGAATTGAATAGAATTGGCCATTTTATATATTTCTCCAAAAATATCTATTATTAACAAAACCTTGAAAATTATTATGTAAATATTGATATATGGATGACCAATGACCTACCACATTAGATGCTCACTTGGGAGTTACATGTAACCCCTATTTCTACATTATTATCTCTCATTCATATGCATTGATATAAGGATGTAGTGGTTACCAAAGTGTGCGTATAAATATAGCACTCCATTGTATCAAAAGTGAAGAATGAATAAGAAGAACTCTTCCCCTCTCTTCTCTTGTAGTTGTTTATATTTTCATTAGTTTCATAACACGTTATCAGCACGAAGCTCTGCGAGCATCATGGTTGGTCATTGTCTCTCTACACAATCTAGTATATTGGAGTAAGATCACAATATGATCAAGGTATGTAAATCGTAGATCCTTTCTTATCGTATTGTCTTATTTGTGTTGAGATTATCTCATTCCAATATATCAAGATGGGTGCTACTTCTCATACCCATTGATATTTTATCACGTCGATCTATTTGGATTAACAAGAAAAGTAATATAAGTGATGAGATAATTTCTCAGTTCTCTGTGTTATCCTATTCTTATCAATCATACATTGATATGTAGAAAATGCAAGTTCCAAGAGCCCATATATTCCCCAGAAGTGGAAATTGAAGAATCCAAGGGTAAAGAAAGAAGTTGACATGGTAACAAGAATATTTGTTCTGTATGTTACCATTGTAATGGAAAAGTGTGCTTGTCTCGTACCCGTTGTACGCAAAAGAATTTATTCTGCCAAGAATCAAAAGGAGGAGCAAATTCATATACGCTCCTGCAATATCAATATAATAGAACATATTTTTTGTATTATAAGTTGGTATATTCTCCATTAAAGATGAAAATCATATTGCACTTGAGACATTTTCATTCCCAGAAGTGAATGGAGCTATAAACATGATTATACATATGCTAAATGTATTGTTTGGATCTTTTCACCAGAAGTGAGAAAAGAGAAGAATTATAAATAAGGATGAAATAACAATTGCATTATCAAAGTCATGATAACATAATGTACCTGTTGTACATTGAAATGCATAATGAAACACATATATAAATTTAAAATCACCTAATTAGTAATGGTATTGTTCCAAATAAAGCTTATTTAATTTTCACAATTGTAGTATTATGATTCTTATTTCTTGTGTGTTTTATTGTGACGTTATTTTTCATGCATAATTTAATTTGATAACCTTTATCTAGAACAATTAACTTGATAAATTCATCATTTTTTGTCTTAAGTTTGAAATATTCTCATTTATTATTTTAGTATGTTTTTGTAAAGTATGATTGTTAGAAAATTTCCATATAAATTATATGGTAGAGTACATGAATGAGAAAAAGCTTGTGAAGAGCTTATGTTTTGTTACTTGAAGTAACTAAATTATATACTCGTGATAACAATTTGTGATGATATTCACTATGAATTTGTGTTTACTAAGAATGCATCAAATCATAAGTCCCTGGAAGGGTGGAATATGGTACAAAATATGGTAAAGCTTTAAAGGAGCTAATTTTGTGGCATGAAGGAACCAAACTACCTAGTGATGATGCATTACCCAATTAAAAGGATATTCGTAAAATGAATATCTTATCAACAAAATAGTGAAACTAATATTTGTATCACAAATATGTACTACATGTATATTAGTACAATCAGTACACATAAAAGTGTAAACCAGAAGTTTACAAGATTTGATAACTTGATAATTGGTTGGTCCGGTTAGACCATCCCGGATCTTGATGTGAAAAAGTTCTTTGAGAATTCATGAGAACATCATATGAGAAGTCAAAGAACTCTTCAACTAAAATGTTATCCGAGTATGCAGAACAATACATCAGTCATGTGGATCATTTATGATTTTTATGGGTTCCTGCATCAAATGGATGATCACGTGTATTTTATCTAATCGCAACCCGATGTTTGCTAGATTGGTTGCCTCACTATGGATACATTTTGATGGTTATTCAATCAAACATCACTTTGCTTAATAGAACATGCTGAGCCTTCCAGTCTCTTGTCGAGGACATGCTAGCTAGCAAGTGATAGTATTGGTTCACATCTAACCAACAAGTTATCATAAGTTTTCCCCTTTTTACAAATGGTTTTGGTCAGAAACCTAACATTTCCCATATGAGAATATAAGGGTGTGCCGCATACATCCCAATTGCTCCACCACAGAATTTCAAGTTGATTCTCATTAGAGATTGAGAATTTGTGTTGAGAGTTGAATCCCAAATGGGAAATTTGTTTGCGAAATTATTGTTTTGATGGATTACTTTTCCAACATTAAGGGGGAGAAAAAAAACAACTAGACAAAGAGATGAGTTGGAATGAGTTATCATTATCTAGTTTTGATCCTCAAAGTAAGAAACTTGAACCTGAAGTTCATAAGATGAATTATCGTTACCAACTATCAAATGCATTTACTGGCCATACGAAGTGGCCAAGTCACATTTACTAGCTGTGAATGCTCCAACTAAATTTGATATCCTTGTTGGATACTCTAATATAAAAAAATGTGTACGAAAGAGCGCATGAAGCGTGATAGAACAATCGGTTCGAATGATAAACATCCTCGAGAAAGAAAAGGAGATGTAATTAGAATGGTCAACTCGAGGGCATGAAAACTCAAGAAGAGTAACCAAGAATTAAGTATAATTTTAGTTCCAGAAGAACACATGTCTCTGAAAGTTGTGAAAGGGAAGAGATCTCAAAAATATATTAGACTACAATACTGGAACCGAAATGAAGTCATTGTCGATGAAATTTGTTTGTTGTACTTCAATACTGAATATGATATATACAAGTGAGGATCAAGAGTAAAACTCTATTGATGCATGCAAATGATGATGTTATTGGCCAATATAGAAAGAAATCACGAAAGTGCTCAAAGAGCATAAAGTTTAAGGACCAGAAGTCCTTACACCTGAAAAGGGCAAAAATAGCGGGATACAAACAAATTTTTGTGCTACTGGAAAGTATGAAATTGTGCGAGATATCGCACAATGTTTTGCAATGGGTTTCTCGAAAAGACCTATCATTGTTTAAGAGGAGTTATACTCCCCTATGGTGGGTGCAACTACTTTTTCAAATCAATGTTTGAAAATTGTTGTGATAGCCTATTTGTTTGAATTCCCCGAAGATGTTAAATATATTTGAAACTCCCAGAAGGATTAATTACTCCTAGAAGGATTAATTTACCTGAAGTAAACAAGTAAAGTTCTCGAGAACATATAATGATAGATTAAGAATATCCCCTGTATGGGTTGAGAAAATATAGACGAATGTGAAATACTCGTCTAAGTGAACACCTACAACAGTGGGGTGAATGGACCTTAAAAAGGTTAAATCCGGATAGAGTGCATTAGAGCATTTGCATTGTGCATATATAGTTGTGTTGTTTGTATGTGCTTCAAGGATTTTAAAATGTTGGTTTATGAGTTGTGTTTTACTTTAAAGTATGAGTTGTGTTTTATGACTGTGCTTTGTCTAGTTCATATGTTTCTATGATGTGAGTTTTGTTATTATCTTTCGTGATATAAAAGAATTGATTGCATCAATTTTTGTTAGTTAAGTTTTTTTTTTGTGATGATCTCATATTATGTTAATGATATGACTATTATTGGATCTCCTGAAGAGCTTCCTAAAGCAGTTGATTGCTTCGAGACATAAGTTAAATTGAAGGATTTAAGATCCTTTTTATGGGCAAGGAAGGTAATGTTGAAAAAGTGGGAAAGTAATTTTGCATGAACGAATTGTGTTCATCAAATAACATTAGGATCCTAAGATCACAAGAAGTGACCAAAGATCTATTTAGAAATCAAGAAAGAAGTGAAACATAAGGTCCTGAAGTACCATATGTTGATGCATTAGAGCACCAATGCACCTTGCTAGCCAAGCACCATATAAACTATCATTTTAGTGTTGATAATATTGGCAAGATACCATGTTTTCCTCATTAGAACGTTGGAAAATACTTTGTTACCTCCAGGAACAATATATGCGATTGTTCTATTATGGTATTATCAAAGAGAGATTTGGTAAACTATATATCCAAATCCTATATATCATTTGATCCTTATATTGGTTGATCGGAGACGAGCTATCTCTTACATATGGTAATATAAATGTTTCATAAAGAAACAAAACAAACTATAATGGGCAAACCCGAATGTCTTTCGTTACACTTTGTGATCCACCATATCTCAAGTACTTGTGGTAGTGAACTATTTTCAAATGAAATTATCCTGACGATCATGTATGAAGAAAATCTAAAGATCATGCATCAAATTGACAATCTAAAAGATTGTTCACTAACTCACTCCCGACAACAATCTTTCTAAAAGTTGTTCGTAAAATTTGAGTTCAACGACTCAATAATCTGAAGTGATGTGGTCATGAGGGGGAGCATATACGCACTGCACTCTTTTTCCCTTAACCATGATTTTTTCCCAATGGGTTTTCCTGGTAAGGTTTTTAATGAGGCATTATGATATAGCGTAATGCAATATAGTGGTCATCCAAGGAGGAGTATTATGTAAATATTGATATATGGATGACCAATGACCTACCACATTAGATGCTCACTTGGGAGTTACATGTAACCCCTATTTCTACATTATTATCTCTCATTCATATGCATTGATATAAGGATGTAGTGGTTACCAAAGTGTGCCTATAAATATAGCACACCATTGTATCAAAAGTGAAGAATGAATAAGAAGAACTCTTCTCCTCTCTTCTCTTGTGTCTTTCCCTCCCTAATCTTCTCTTGTAGTTGTTTATATTTTCATTAGTTTCATAACAAAAATTATATTATATGTATCTATTTTACCTAATTAAAAACCAAACCTATTTCACCTTAAAAAAAACAGTTTAAAACCCATTATTCTCTTTTTTAACCATTTTCCCCTTTACACTCAATCCAACCACTTTGAAAGTTGTAAAGAAACATCTATAAAAAAAAAAAAGTTGTAAAGAAACAACACCCCATTAGAAATTCAATATTTTCTAGCCAAAAATAAAATTTCCCCCAAAATTCCCGCTAGACCAGGTCCAATCTACTCATTCCCATCAATCCATAATTTTCAATTTCCCCCTTTTCTCCCCTACCTCTTCCAAGCTTTCTCCTTTCTCATCCCCATCTCCTCGCCCTCTTGTTTCCATTCGTCACCCTTCTTTTCTTACAATCATCCGATTTCTGGGCTAGGGTTTTTCCCTACTTTCCGTTGGAAAAAGATGACGTCGGTGAAGAAAGGTTTGCCGCCGGGCCTCGTTTCCAATCTCCAGGAAGTTCTGAGCAGCAGAAAGGGTGGTGGCGGTGAGCAATCGAACGATGGACCTTCTACTTCTTCTACTTCTGCTGAGAACGCTGCGGCAGGGGAAGGAAATGATGATACCAGACCTATTGTTCTGGTCACCAATGGCGATGGGATTGATTCCCCTGGTCTTCTCCTTCTCGTGGAAGCTTTGGTTCGTGAAGGAAGCTACAATGTCCATGTCTGCGCCCCGCAACTGTGAGTTTTATTTCCCTTTCGTTTTTCATTGTATGGTTGCCTTGCATTCCTTATCTGGGTTGGATCTGTTCAATGTAAGATATGATTTTTAGTTAGTTTTATTTACCACATGGATAGCATTGTTCTTTTTTAATGGTTATGGTCAACTTGAGCATGTTTAACTAATGTTTAAATGTTCCTTACTGTTCCAACTTGAGATTATTCGTGATTTGTTTAGTTTGTGTTTGTTGTTGGTTTCAGGGACAAATCAGCTTCTGGTCATTCTGTTACACTAGGAGAAACCATAGCTGCGACTTCTGCTCAAGTTAGTGGTGCTACTGCATATGAAATTTCAGGTACTACTTGCATTAGTTTCCTGGTGGCACGCATGCCGTTGTATGATGTAAACTCAGCTATATGCATATGTATACCAGTATATGTATGAGATGTTTTCTGTCCTGGAGCTTGCGTTATCTATAGATAGATTTCCTGTTGGTTGTATGCAAGCTTAATCAGTTTGGCAGTGAATGTGGGTCTCCATGTGCTTGGTTTTGCTGAAACGTTGCTTTGGTATTGATGGTCATTTCCCCCCCCATATTTTGGATGTTTTTTGTGTGATTGTATTTGTACTTGTTAATCTATCATAGTTGTAAAGATATACGGTGGTCTTTGTCGCTCAGGGACTCCTGTGGATTGCGTCTCATTAGCATTGTCTGGAGCACTCTTTTCTTGGTCAAAGCCTGTGCTGGTTGGCCTTTTTATGCTCTTACTATCTTTAGTTTACATATATCTAAGGTATCGCAGACTTCATGTGCAATTACATTTAAGTCATTTTGATTTTCAGGTCATTAGTGGAATTAACAAGGGATCAAGCTGTGGTCACCACTTGTAAGTGCCTGGCACTTGGTTCATTGTTTGCAAATTGCTCTTCCTTTTTAAAATACCGTGATATGTGATCTTTGAAAAGCATGAAGTCATGAACCTTGCTTAGTGTTTTCCTTCATTAGCTTTTTCTTAATTGAAGGCTAAGAGTGCTTATATCTTGCTGAAATTGACCAGGTTCTACTCAGGTGTTGTTGCTGGAGCTAGAGAGGCATTGATAAGCGGCTTCCCATCTCTATCAATCTCACTTAGCTGGTGATCATTAAACTGCCAAGAAAACTGTTGCTTGTTCTGTTTTCTCTACTGGTGTTATTGCTTAAGTAATTAAGTTGGGGTCAAATCACTGTAGGAAGAAGGATGAGAGCCAAGAAAGTGATTTCAAGGATGCTGTTGCTGTCTGTTTGCCATTGATAAATGCTGCTTTGAGAGATATTGAGAAGGGGGATTTCCCCAAGAGATGTTCTCTGAACATACAAATCCCTACCTCACCATCTACAAACAAAGTAAGCTTTTATATATAATTGATACGTGAAGTTTCTGTTTTAATGCTTTGCTGACTAGCTCCCTAGCTTTCAGGAGCCAATGCTGTGAAATGGAATTTGAACCTTTAAATTTGTTGTTCTTGAAGATATGTACAAGCTAATTTGGGGTTTTCTGAATGGCTGTCTTCACATTGTTTCTGCAGCAGTCTTTTCCCTCTCCTCTCTTAGACTCTGTTTTGTTGAGTTATAACTCACACTCCAAGTGCATCAAAATAGAGTTTCTTTTGGTAAATCTCATTTTAGCGGTGTTTTTGCTCTTGATTGATAATATCCCCGCTTTCTTTTATCTGGCAGGGTTTCAAACTTACTAAGCAAAGTATGTGGCGATCTACCCTCAACTGGAATGCTATTTCTGCAAACCGGCATCCTGGTGCTGGATACATGTCTAATCAACAAAGCCTTGGCCTACAGCTAGCCCAGCTTAGTCGAGATGCCTCTGCTGCTGTGAGTCATTTTCTGATCTTTTGCTATTTGTTTCTTTTTGCAGTCTATTTCTGGACTTTCAAGCCTTGTTTATTCCGTTTGATTCATGCAATTTTGGTCCGCTTTTCTTCAGGGAGCAGCACGTCGTGTTACCAAACAAAAGACGAATGTGGAGATTGAGTCAGTTGGGGCCTCTGGGAAAACCGAAGTGAACAAATTGAAAAAGTATTTCAGACTGGAGGTAAATCATTCCTACCCACTGTCACAGTTATAGTTTTGAGCGGCTTTAGTGGTTAGAGACGGCTTTCCATATCGTTTGCTTCAACCACTGATTCAAAGAATTACCTGCTTTGCTTGCTGTCAGTTTATGGAGAAGGAGCTAGAAGACACAGACGAGGACCTGGACTTCAGGGCCCTTGAAAACGGATTTGTAAGTCACTTTTTTCCTTTGTTCACTTTTTATTTCCGTGATTGGTATTCCTAGTACTGGTTCACGGCTCATTTGATAATCTCTGGACCGTTTGTTGGTTGGTGTGTGACTTTTGCTGGCATGTGAATTTATCATTAAAACAAGAGTGTTATAGATTGAAATTGAACCATACCACTTTCCAAAAGTTTATGTACATGATTTTGATGTGTCACTCTCACCCCATTTTTATGCTCCCAACCTTAACATGCTGGACCACCGTTCATATGTCGCGTAAAAAAACATCAAGAACTGTCTGGGTAACTGCAATAGTCAACAAGGCATTCAATCTGGACATGGAGCTAGGGTTTCCTAATCTTCATAACTAAACTGCATTGTCCATCTTTCACTTACCAGATTGCAGTAACTCCCCTCTCACTCTCACCACACATTGAACCCGAAATGCAAACAGCAGCCTCGGAATGGATCTCTTCTGCACTTCAAGAGAGCCAATAGGAAAACAAAAGGGGGCTTCTTCTACTACAGATACCAGTCAACTATTTACATCATCAGACGATTTTGTTACACATTGACAGGTTATATTTATTTGCTATTTCCCAATTTTTTTCCCACTCGTTTTTTTCTTTTCCTTCTTTCCTTCCACCATTTTGATGGAATCTGGGGCCTGGCTTGTTCTTGTGTAGCTTTTCTTCTTCTCCTTCTTCTTCCTCCTGGGATACTAGTGTAACTCAAAACTGCGGTGGCAGGGGTCTTAATTATATGCCCCCTTCCTGCAATGGCCTCTTTCATCTGATTTTTGTATTTATTTTGGTTTTTTGATATGTATTTGATCAAATCTTGTATCAGATTCTGGCTTTTAGAGTCCATGTATTCAAGTCTTCAAGTGGGTGGTATCCATTGCTATTCCTTGGTTTTTCATGATTACATAAAGGCTGGAGCTGCCAAGTCCTTTTCAAGTAAAAGGGTTTGATTCCTCACTCCCCAAATCATTGCCTTGCTCGTTCATAAAGGGAAGAAATGATGGAGCCTTTCCTTCGATGTTATGGTCCACAACATGACAACAATAATGCTGCTCGTACCCTTTTTTGTTGGATTGAAATCCAAGGCAAACTCAGTTTCACAATTGAATAAAATATCACTTTTTGAAAAATACATTATATATCACTGACACATGACAGTCACGTGCATATGCATAATGTTCATCCTTTTTTCTAAAAGCACGTCGAGTTTTTTTTTTTTTTTAACATAGTCAAACCCAGACCGAGGTCTAGATACATAGTCAAAGAACAGAAGCAATCCACGGACGAAGTCGATTAATCGTCAAACTTTTGATGAAAAAGCGTTTTTGGCCACAAAATGGGCTGCTCTATTAACTCGAAGAGAAACATGGGAGCAAGAACAAAACTCAAAAGCTTTTGCTAACCTGTAGATGTCTTCTAGTATCATCCCTCCTGTCACATGCTCAGAACCTCCCGCCAATAGCCGTCGAACAGCCACAATGGAATCCCCATGACAACGGACCAACATAAAATGATGGGTTAAGCACCAGTCTAAAGCATCACGAAAAGCCAACAAAGCAGCAAGAAAAGAGTCATCGATACCATCATAAAACCTACCCATGGCAAATAATAGATTGGTGGACGGATCATGCCCCACAGAGCCCACTCCAGCACCCTGTCCTCGACGGGCCCATCCAGCAAAGCCGACGACTATTGCCGTCGGGGGAGGTAATGCTGCCGACATCACCATGGAGTGTTGAGTACCTATTAGTGGCGGGCAAGCACCCCGAAGTTGTGTGTTTGACCGAGAAGGTTCCGAACAGACTGTATTACGCGATTCCTCCATTTGAAGAACAAATTGACGATGTAATGCAGAGGGAAGGAATTGAATCCCACCATGTACTTGTTGGATCGTTGAGCGCGAGACGATACAGCGAGATGAACACTTGATCCTTGAAACTTGGTCAATGAATTACCTGCACAGCTTTCATCGATCTCTTTACCAAGAACAAGTGAGATCGGGAAATTTAGGGATTTGACAATGAGTAAAGAGGATTGTGAAACACGATTGAGTGACTAAAGACTAAATCCGACCGAAACGTTTCTTCCACCCTTAAAGCGATCTAACCTAAAGCCCAGCCCACTTCTGTAAGCCTAGCCCAAATCCCAACTTTGACTTAACTCACAGTTGTGCAGAGTTACGCTGCGTTTTGAGGATTAGTAAGAAGAGTTCTCCTTCTTCTTCCTCTAGCCAGATTGCCTGCTCTGTTTCCTGCAAATCTCAGACACCAAAACAAGCAAATATGCAGAGAGCAGAAATCGACACACAGTAGCGAGACACACACGAATTTTTACGTGGTATCCGACTTGCAAAATGCAAAGTCGACTAATCCACGGTCAGAAGCTCACGATCCTGTGACTTCTGACTTTTCACTATCTTGATGTTTATATGATGAAGTGCAACTTGACAGAGAATCCACTCTGCACTCACAAACTATTCTAACCCAGCTATCCAGCTACAGTGTTTCCCAACACTTTATACTTGTGCTAAAATTCTCCCTGAATCAGCCAAGCCCTCTTTCCTTATCAAAACAACACTAGCTAATATCCTTAATCTCTCCTGGTTACTTTGATTTCCGAAAAGTGGTTTCAAGCTGCCTCTGGCTGAGTTACTTATACTCAGCCCCTTCTTCTTGATTTCTGCCCGTTGGTAATTGATTGATTATAATCACCACAAACCAAGCTTCTTTCCTTCTTTGATTCCCAAGACGCTCCTTTCCATCTTTGGTTTACGGCAATCCATTCTTTCCTTGTTCACTCCCAAAGCTAGCAGCCTGCTTCTTCCAGTCTTTATTTCCAACGGTTCTTCTTGTCCATTCTTTCCTTGTTCACTCCCAAAGCTAGCACACGTATCTTATCAGAAAGGATAGTCTGGAGGAGAATCATAATCAGAAATTGGGTCTCCACTTTCAGTGTCGGAATCCAAAGAAGGTTCTAAGACAGGTAGATCATCTTGTGTTGCCTTGAGCATCTTCAACCGATCTTGAAAGATCAGTAGATCAGCAGGAACCATCCTTTTTACTGAGCTACTGTCGTGTTTCTTGATCTCGTTAGACACAGCAGCAACTGCGGCATCTATCAGCGCAGTGATCATGTGAGAATGGAACAGTTCTCCCCCTGAGCCATAGACAGGCTTACGTCGTCCCACATCCGCATCAACCCGATTGAGAACATGATTTGGGCAAAGTTCTTCTCGGACATCACACACAGTGATCTTGTCACGAAGATCTATGCCCAGACAAAACAGGAGTCTAGTGATATAAGGGCCAAAAGGAAGAGGACCACTGTAGTTGCCATCACCAAACCGCAACATGTGAGCAAACACAAGAGAGGCATAGCTAATGCGCTGTCCTGCCTTAACATTAGAAATGATCCAAATATCAGAAGGATGCATAAGCTCAGCACTGGTCAGATCACGGGGAAGGAAACACCGAGTAATGAAGAACTGGAAGACTTTGAGCTCATCAGGTAGCCTTCCAGTAGAGAGCTGATTTGGATAGTGACGACCAGTGTCACGAGTGAAGACATTCAGAGCCATGCATAGTCAAAACCGAGATCATCAAACTCACCATTGAAGCCAGCCTGATGACCAGAATGGGGAAGGCCAAGGAGACTCGCTAGGAGAGTTGGAGTGACAGTGATCTCATGGTTATAAACTTGGGTTGTGAACAGAACAGGTTCAGCACCACGACCCTGCTTAATGTTGACATAGAACAGCCGACAGTGACTGAACCTTTGGTTCTCAAGCAGTGACTCCCACCCCAGATTCCTGATGAACAGAGGGAGATTCATGCCATACTTGTTAAAGGCAGAGGGCTGGATTGTGAAAGAGGGGTAAATTGGACGATCTCTGAACCGATTTAGGTACCTCTCATAGGCAGCAGGATTTTGAAATCCTTTGTTATTGAAAACAGCAGCAGGGTGAAGTTGAGGGTTGGTGGGAGCCATGGATGAAGTATAAAGATGGAAGTGTAAGATGAAGGGAATTTGAGGAGGCAAGGATGAGTGGTCGCTTGTTTCCAAGCCACTTTATAGTGAGGGAAAGTGAAAGATAAGGCAGGTATTTTGAAAAGAGGAAGGATGAGATTTGAATCGGCAGAGGCCCTGATTACTAGCTCAATTAAGAGCTGGTATTTCCTCATGAGAGAATAAGCCTAGTTCTCTCCGAATTGGTAAGAATTTATCTGCCCCTAAAGGTTTGGTAAAGATGTCTGCCCATTGCAGATTTGTACTAATGAATTTCAAATGGATCTTTTCTCTTGCACCAAATCTCGAATAAAATGAAATCTTACCTCAATATGTTTGGTTCGAGAATGTTGTATAGGATTTTTCGACATATTGATCGCACTGGTGTTGTCACAATAAATGGGAAGGGATCCTAGGTTGAGTCCGAAGTCTAAGAGCTGATACTTAAGCCAGAGAGCTTGTGTACAGCAGAATCCAGTAGCTATGTATTCAGCTTCTGCTGTGGACAAGGCTACAGACCCTTGTTTCTTACTAGACCAATAGATCAATGATGTTCCTAGAAAATGGCAAGCTCCAGAAGTACTTTTTCTGTCAACTACACACCCAGCATAGTCCGAATCAGTGTAATTGAGAAGATCTAAGCTAGAATCAGAGGGGTACCAAAGACCTAATGAGGCAGTTCCAGCCAAATAGCGGAAAATTCTTTTGACAGCTGAAAGATGACTTTCCTTAGGACAGCTTTGAAACCTAGCGCAGAAACATACACTAAACATGATGTCAGGTCTGCTTGCTGTGAGATACAGCAGTGAACCAATCATGCCTCTGTACATTTTGTCATTTACTTTGGTTCCAGTGTCATCCTTGGAGAGTTTTATTATTGACCCCATAGGGGTGGAAGCAGTTTTAAGATTTCCTAGATCAAATCGTTTCAATATGTTTTGCAGATATTTGGTTTGGCTGATGAAGGTTCCAAAAGAGGTTTGTTTTATTTGAAGCCCTAGAAAATAACTGAGTTCCCCCACTAGGCTCATTTCGAAGGCACTTTTCATGCTTGTTTCAAAGGACTTGCATAACTTTGGACAGGTAAATCCAAAGATTATGTCATCCACATAGATATGAACTAACAGATAGTCCACTCCAGAAGTTTTAATTAATAGGGTTTTGTCCACAGATCCTCTGTGAAAACCTTCATTGACAAGAAAGGTGCTTAACTTCTCATACCAAGCTCTAGGAGCTTGTTTTAATCCATACAAGGCTTTATTTAGCTTGTATACATGATCAGGGTACATTGGATTTTCAAAACCAGGGGGTTGTTCAACATAGACTTCTTCTTTTAAATCACCATTTAAGAAAGCACTTTTAACATCCATTTGGTATAGTTTAAATCCCTTAGAAGCATCAAAAGCACACAGTAATCTAATTGCTTCAAGTCTAGCTACTGGAGCAAAGGTTTCATCAAAATCAATACCTTCTTCCTGATCATATCCTTTAACCACTAAACGAGATTTATTTCTAGTTATGATTCCAACTTCATCAGACTTATTTCTATAAACCCATTTAGTACCAAGAACATTTCTATTTACTGGTCTAGGCACCAAGTCCCAAACTCGATTTCTTTCAAAATGACCTAACTCATCTTGCATGGATTCTATCCATATTTCATCTTCTAAAGCCTCTTCTATCGATTTAGGTTCAAGAGTAGAAACAAAAGCAGTATGTATGAAAGCAGATTTTGATCTAGTAACCATACCTTGACTAGGGTCTCCAATTATTTGGGAGGTTGGATGTCGTCGCTGTATGTGTAGGGGAGCCTGTATTTCTGTCGTGGCCTGTTCATTTTCTTCTGTTACCTCCTCTGAACGTTTAATTTGGTTCAAATCATCCTTTTGTGCATCAATTTTCCTTTCTGTTAGGCCAACCACAGAATCTGCACACTCACTTGGAGATTCATCAAATACAACATGAATGGACTCCTCCACTTTGTGAGTCCTTTTGTTAAAAATTCGGTAGGCCTTGCTATGTATTGAGTAACCAAGAAAAATTGCTTCATCAGATTTTGCATCAAACTTCCCTAGGTGATCTTTGGTGTTTAATAAAAAGCACTTACATCCAAATGGATGGAAGTAGCTTAGATTTGGCTTTACCTTTCCAAAGTTCATAGGGCGTTTTATTTAGTTTGGATCTGATAAGTGCTCTATTAATTGTATAACAGGCAGTGTTAATAGCCTCACCCCAGAAACACTTAGGTAGTCCAAAATCATTCAACATTGTTCGAGCAATTTCGATTAAGGTTCTGTTTTTCCTTTCCACAACCCCATTTTGTTGGGGAGTCCTAGGTGCAGCAAAGTTATGAGAGATACCAGACTCATCACAGAAGTTGTTAAACTCTTCTCCAATGAATTCACCACCATGATCACTTCGAATACTAATAAAACTGGATTGTTTTTCTTTTTCCACTCGTTTAACAAAGGTTTTGAAATTTTGAAAAGCTTCATCCTTGTTAGTGAGAAAGAGAACCCAAGTAAATCTAGAAAAGTCATCTACTATAACAAACGCATAGTATTTCCCACCAAGACTTCTTACATTGCTAGGACCAAACAAGTCTAGATGCAACAGCTCTAAAGGTTTATTAGTTGAAATTACTTGTTTACTCTTGAATGAAGACTTGGTCTGTTTCCCCTTGGCACAAGCTTCACAAAAAAACTCTCGTTTACTAAGAATTTTAGGGATTCCAGAAACTAATTCCAAGTTTACCAGTTTAGAAAGAGTACCTACACTGATATGCCCTAATCGTCTGTGCCATTCTATTTGATCATTCTTATCCACAGATACTAGGCAGGTTTCATTAAAAGCAGTTTTATCATTTAGATCAATGCAGTATAGTTTACCTATCTTTTTCCCAGTAAACAAGATTTTACCATCATATAAACTTTCAACTATGCACCTGTTAGGTTCAAATACTGCTCGATTTGTATTACCACACATCTGACCTATGGAGATTAAGTTATGTTTTAAATCTTCAACTAACATGACATTACTGATTGAAGGATTTGATCCTACTTGCCCTTTACCCAGAATATTTGTACTAAAGTTGTCACCAAAGTAAACTTTACCTTTTTTGTTCTTTACCGGATTGGTGAATAACTTTTCATTTCCAGTCATGTGGTGTGAGCATCCACTATCCAGAATCCAATTGCTGTCCTCCATGCTCACTTGGAGACAGACCTAGCTGTACAAAGATTACTTAGTTTTAGGCATCCAAACCAGTTTGAATGCTCCATATTTTGATCCATAGTTCTTAAATTTGACTGGATTGCTTATCCTACTGCATCTTTCTTCCTTAGCTATTCGTTTTCTGCACTTAGCTATAAAGTGACCCTCTTTGTGACAGTAGAAACAACTTGATTTAGATATTACTCCAAGATTATTCTTGCTTCTTCTATCTCTATCACAGCAGGCCTTATCAAGCTGAATCTTAATTTGAGCTAGTTCTTGTTTTAAATTTGGGCTAATACCACTGGAAATACCATTCTTTAGCAAAAGTGTCATTTATATTACGTAAGTTTTGATATGCCATTTGTGTAACCTCCGTTAGTTTTGCCGTTAGTTTCTTACTGAAATCCCAGTCAGCGCCACATCGGTGCTTAGGTGGACTTTAATTAATATAAAATTCAAACTTTTTAATTAGTTTTTAAGTGATAAAAGAAGATAAAAAAGGAAACATCTGACGGGTGAAACTTGATCTCCCCAAACGTCCCCATTCTTCTCCTCCTTCTTCATGTACAGTGCACATCGCCGCCGTCCTTCTCTCCATTCAATCCCGATCCAAATCCGGCGTAGTCCACATCGACGACACTCAATCTCCTTCTTCTTGACCTCCACAAATCCCTCGCCCATACTCTATCATCTTCTTCGAGCCATGTTTTCTGGATTTTTTGGGGCGGAGTCGCCGGTGCGTCAGAGGTTCGGGTCATCCATGAGACAAGCCCGACGCATGGGCTCTTGAAGCCGTTGAGCACAAGAACGAGCTCGAGCAGTAGCAGGAGCAACAACCGATTTCCCACCTTCGTCGCCGTAGCGGCAGTCGCCGATCTCAAGCAGTCTAGATCTGCCCTAACTGCGACCAACAACGCAAAAAACGAGATCTCGACGAGTCAGCCACGGCAGCGTAATCCATGATCGAGAAGTTAGTCGGCTCGAAGTGTCCGTTCTATTTCCCTCTCGATGCGGTGGTCGTTCTGTCGCGGGTTCCCGCTATGTAATCGAATCGATCGGAGCTAAACAACAACCAGACATCAAGAAATCGGGGGGCGATACCATATAGGAAGGGTTTCACATCAAGATGCCCTCGGAGAGGCATAAGCTAGATCCCGATTTGGAATTCGATCCCGATACACATATAGGGCTAGGTAATTCAGCAAAGTGGATGGCGGAGGTTACGGCGAGGCCGTCGATTTCGATAATCATGGTGGCTCTTCTCGAGCTGGATTCATGGGAGTGGTGGATTTGGTAGGCAACATAGTGGGAATAATGGAAGAAGATTGCTGAAGAATGGGCGATGCAGAGCTTTTGGGGTGGGTTGCATTCTCGGGGATGGAAATTGGCGCAGGCGACGAGGGTGGGTGGGTCGTGGGTGAGGTTAAAGCAATATTTATTTCCAATAAAAATATTAAGTATTTAATTATTAAAAATAAATTTAAATAGTATTTTCCTACGTGGCGTCTACATGTCGCATATGTGGATGACACATAAGCGCCACTTCATCAATGGTCAGACAAAGGTTGACCACCGTTAAGTCAACTGTTAACTTTAACGGTCAACAAAAATTCGCGTAACACAAATGACGCAAACCCCTAATACGTTGGAATATTTTTATGTTTATTGAAAGTACGTAATATAAATGGCACTTTTGCTAAAGTATGGTATTTCCAGTGGTATTAGCCCTTAAACTTTAATTTTCTTTCTTTGTTTCAGTTTTCTGAATTTCCAGAAGGTCTTTTTCTTTAATCAGATTTTCATAACTTGCACTAAGTTCTTTGAATTCAGTTTTAAGCTTTAGATGTTTTTCTTTAACATTTTTAAACTCCAGTTCTATTTCTCTAATGGTGTCTGTCATCTGCTCATCTTCAGATTCAGAGTGATAGTTAGAAAATCTTACTTGTGATGCGCTTGCATCATTATCATCTACTCAAATGGCCATATACGCTTCATATTTGCCGTTGGTCTCACATTCATCCTCGTCCTCTTCACTGCAGCTCCACATAGCAGCAAATGCCTTCTCTTTCCTGATCAAGGGACACTCAGCCTTGATGTGTCCTGTCTTCCCGCATTTGAAACAACCATATTGAGCAACTGGCTTTTCAATTGCTTCTTTTCTGAACTTGGTTCCTGATCGACCCTGCTTGTTGTATTCTCTTTCATCTCCTTCTCGTGATTTCTTGTTGAAGACTCCTCTCTTTCTTTCCTTGCGCATCTTGAGCAACCTTGCAACATGCTTGCTTAAGATGGCAAGCTCGTCGTCTTCCATGTCTTCAAGATTATCCATTTCTTCTTCTTGTAAGAGTGCTTTGAAGGCAATACTCTTCTTTTCCCTTTTTGGCTCCTCCTCATCTTCCTTTTTCAGTTTATCTTCATGGGTAATCAGTGATCCCATCAGCTCATCCAGACTCAGTTTCGTTAAATCTTTGGATTCTTCAATTGCAGTGACCTTAGGTGTCCACTACTTAGGAAGTGCCCACAAAATCTTCCGAACTAAATCACCACTTGCATATTCAATCTCCAAGTTTCTCAGATTGTTCACTATTGTGTTGAAACGATCATTCATCTCCTTGATTGATTCTTCAGGCTTCATAACGAATGATTCAAATTCTTGTTTGAGCTTGTTTATTCTTGAGATTTTGACATGTGATGTACCTTCATGAGCAACTTAGAGTTTGTCCCATATCTCCTTGGCAGTCTTGCACCCAGTGACTCGATGATACTCTTCCGGACCTAGAGCGCAGTACATCAGATTTGTGGCTCTGGAGTTCAGCTGAAAGTTCTTCTTATCCTGCTCTGTCCACTTTCCTCTGGCTTCTTTCACCTCGAACGGACCATCAAGGACTATGTTCCACAAATCCGGATCGGTGGAGCCAATGAATAGCTCCATCCTATTCCTCCAATATCCATAGTGCACTCCTTCAAACCTGGGTGGGCGCGTCTGAGAGAATCTGTCTGCCATGAACACTCTGCTTCCATTTCCCGAGCTCGAATTCATTTTCGCCGGAGGATTTTAAGCCCGCGTCTGTCGGCGACCTGCTCTAATACCACTTGTTGGATCGTTGAGCGCGAGACGATACAGCGAGATGAACACTTGATCCTTGAAACTTGGTCAATGAATTACCTGCACAGCTTTCATCGATCTCTTTACCAAGAACAAGTGAGATCACGAAATTTAGGGATTTGACAATGAGTAAAGAGGATTGTGAAACACGATTGAGTGACTAAAGACTAAATCCGAGCGAAACGTTTCTTCAACCCTTAAAGCGATCTAACCTAAAGCCCAGCCCACTTCTGTAAGCCTAGCCCAAATCCCAACTTTGACTTAACTCACAGTTGTGCAGAGTTACGCTGCGTTTTGAGGATTAGTAAGAAGAGTTCTCCTTCTTCTTCCTCTTGCCAGATTGCCTGCTCTGTTTCCTGCAAATCTCAGACACCAAAACAAGCAAATATGCAGAGAGCAGAAATCGACACACAGTAGCGAGACACACACGAATTTTTACGTGGTATCCGACTTGCAAAATGCAAAGTCGACTAATCCACGGTCAGAAGCTCACGATCCTGTGACTTCTGACTTTTCACTATCTTGATGTTTATATGATGAAGTGCAACTTGACAGAGAATCCACTCTGCACTCACAAACTATTCTAACCCAGCTATCCAGCGACAGTGTTTCCCCAACACTTTATACTTGTGCTAAAATTCTCCCCGAATTAGCCAAGCCCTCTTTTCTTATCAAAACAACACTAGCTAATATCCTTAAGCTCTCCTGGTTACTTTGATTTCCGAAAAGTGGTTTCAAGCTGCCTCTGGCTGAGTTACTTATACTCAGCCCCTTCTTCTTGATTTCTGCCCGTTGGTAATTGATTGATTATAATCACCACAAACCAAGCTTCTTTCCTTCTTTGATTCCCAAGACGCTCCTTTCCATCTTTGGTTTACGACAATCCATTCTTTCCTTGTTCACTCCCAAAGCTAGCAGCCTGCTTCTTCCGGTCTTTTATTTCCAACGGTTCTTCTTGAGCTCTTTCTTCATTTTCCTTAAGAGCCAATGACTGGCTTCTTCCAACAGTACAGTCCAACATCTTCCTTTCCATATCCTCCAGAACAAGAAAACAACATCCGCCACTTGTAGTTTGGACAAATGAAAAGAAAAGAATAGGCTTTTCCAAATATGAATGAGGTCTAGATTGCCGCCTTCAGAGTAGGGGTGGGCAAACAGTTCGGTAAATCCAAACCGAACCGAAACCGAATTAATGCTATTCGGTTCGGAATTCGGAAGGAAAATCCGAATTTCCAACCGAAAAAATGAAATACTATAATTGCAAGCTCCAAATGATGGATTTTTATGTTTGTAGTTGTTTTTAGACTTAAATATTTGAAATGTTTTAAGACTTATGTGTTGAAAAGTTTGATTTTATCATTGATGATGCATATAATTGATTGTTTATATTAGGGGTGAAAAATAATTTAAAAGTGAGAAAATACAAGTAGCTTCACAAATTCGGCTTTGTGTGAAAAACCGAACCGAATTATAATTCGGTTTAAACCAACCGAACCGAATTATAATTCGGTTTGAATTCGATTTGAGGTTTGGGAGACTTCGGCGACCCGATATTCTTAATTTCGGTTCGGTCGAAACCGAACCGACCTAATGCCCACCCCTACTTCAGAGTCCAAAATGAAGAAGTGAAGAAGAAGGATGGCACCCACATAGGGTCCATTTTATACTCCCAACGGGAAAGGCCTTCCCCGGCTCCACAGAAATCCCGGCACCGGTATCGGCGGGCACGCAGTGAGCGTAAATCTCGGTCCACTTCGCAGAGAGAGAAACCTATTTGTTTTTTTTTTTTTAAACCGTTACCGTGCACGTCGAGTTTGTCTTCGATGGATAGGCATGTGTAATGTGTTGCACAAGCCACAATGCATGTTTTTCGTGGTAGCACATATTTTATAGATAGAATATGAAGAATTTATGTAATGTCTTATTTTGCACGAATAGTGATTATAATATATTTGTGCAGAAAATAATAAAAACACAAGAAAATATGAAAATTACAGATTTGTCCTATTCATCTTATAGAGAAATATAAAGTGGGAGGAGTGCTAATATAGAAAATACTGGTATCCGAATTCAATATATGTTTATATAGTGAATCATTTTTTTTTACATATAATTTCTAAAAATATCGATAAAAACTACATTTAGTACCTAAAATTTTCTCTTTCTCTCTTACATTTTGTTATCTAAGCTTTTTAAAATTTACAAACATGTTAATCTTTTTAATACCTACGCTGATGGAATGCGAGATGTGCTGCTGATGCCAAGAAACTGTTGTCGCACACTTGCATTCCTAAGGTCGCTCTGCATCAAGAACACGTGATGCAAACCTTTTTCGGCTCGTCCCACGTTTCGACGATCAAGTTAGAGAGAGAAATTAAGAGTACAACTTTTAGAGCAATAGCGTTAATAGCCCGTCAGATAGACAATCGACCATCCAAGCCACCTTAATAGCCTAGAAATGATCACGCTTTGATCATGAGACCATGATTCATCCACCAAGCTCGAGTTCTTTTTGCCCGAATTAGGCCCAACGTAAGTAGATTTGGGACCGACCAATGGGCTAAAAGCCCATATTAGGCCCAACGTACATCAAGCGCTCTCACTTCGACTCACTTGCTCGTGTCGAATTCACTCAAATCGCCAATTCCCCCAATTCCGCCAACGCTAGGGTTTTAGCCAGCGGGAAGGAACATCGAGGGATTCTCCCCCGCAAGAAATGTCGTCGAGAACCTTGGCCCAGAATGGAGCTTCGCTGATCAGCCGACTGTTCCGGTCAAATCCGATTCTCCACCAGCAAATTCCTATCTTGCCGAATCATCATCAACTTCCTCAAGCTGCGCCTCACGCCCTGCGAATCACACCGCAGCTATTCCTTTCTCTCCACAAATTTCCGGCTCCTGAGCATCCGCCCCAGATCCACGACTTCTATTCGATCCGGAGACTAGCAAATGAAGGGTTCCTGAATCCTTGCGGTTTTCCCTCGCTAGAGTTCTTTTTGCCCGAAGGTGCTCGCTCCTTTCCCTTTCTCTCCCTCCACCGCTCATTGGTTTGTTTGTGATGACGCGGACAACTGTTAATTTTTCTGCAATGAATTCAAGAGGACCAGAGAAAGGTATGAACTTGAGATGAGCTGCTTGATTGGTTTTAGTATTGTCAAAGCTTGTGGGGCAGAGTTACATCCTTCCAATTTAGTCGCCAGTGCTGAAATGAAGAATGGTCAATGGAAGGAAAATTGGATCAGTTTATTGCCTGTTTGGGAGCATTTACTGGAGTTTTATTCTCTTTTGTTATTTTTTCATACTATCAGTTCACTGGCACTAGGTGAGAGAAGATAGTTGATCTACAGAGCAGTCTCTGCTTTTATCAGCTGAGGCTGTGTTCATCTAAATGGTTCTTATAACCCCCCGTCTCATCGAGTAATCTATCATGGGTTTGAGTGTAGTAAACCTTTGTCTCTGAGGTTGTTGTAGCCAGGTTCCTTTGTCTATCCTCCGCAATGATATATGATGTTGTAATGTGGTCAATGATGTAGAAGCAACGGGTCTTCGTCTTTACCATTTTGATCCCTGCATGATTTGTTTGCTTCTACTGTACATACAGGCGATTCTTCTGATGAAATGCTGTTGTTTCCGAAAAGGACATTCCAACCTAGCACCCTCAGGCGTAAAAGAAACCATGGATTCTTTGCACGGTATTCCTCCCCTCGACTTGTCTAAGAAACTTGGGAATTTAGTGATCGCAAATGTTCTCGTGCTTCCTTTTTGCTAACTGCATGAACATAATCCACAGATAAACTTGGTTATAGCCGAAGTATTGTCGGTTGCTTGCATTCACTTTAATAAGCATAAATGCAAGTTCGTGGTGTATGTTCAGAACCATTGCACTCAGTATCATGGTTAACATTGTCTTGTTTCATGGACAGCAAGGCAACCAAGGGTGGTAGGAAAGTCATTGCGCGAAGAGTAGCGAAAGGGCGATTCAGAATTACTGCCTGATTGATCGATGGAACTTGTGCAATAAGGATAGAGGGGTTAGAGTTCGTCTGTAGCACAAAGGACCGGCGGCAAAAGGAGGTCATTGTTCCCCTTGTCATATCCCCTGTTTATGGGATGAATTTTCATTGAGTTTTTAGAAAAAAGCTAGAATCAATTTTCTTTTTTCTCACGACTAGGCTGCTGTATAAATATTACTGGTGTGCTTGAATTGGGCGAAGAAGGTTTATGGACGGATTCTGGTAGATGGAGGTTTCATAATTTCTTCTGTCTCGCTCTCTAGTTGCTGTTTGCAATTGCAATGGTAAACTTCTCATTGTGGATTGCACTGCCCCATATACACATGCATAGTATATTCTTCTCTACCCGCACCATGTAGAAAGAAGTGCCCCATTTTACGAAACGCATCATTCTACTGATTTTCCTTATTTCCTTCATTACAATTTTGTTTTGTGTATAATACACAGAAATTATAATATACAGAAATTATCAAGTGTCGTATTTTTTCCGTTTCTAAAATTATTTTTCATCTAATTTTTATTGTCAATTTAAAAATAGGATTTAATAGAAATAGTGAACGGTATAGATTTTGGCAACCAGCTAACTCATTCCCCCTCCAAATGGGTAAATGTCACATTTAGTCACCGATATTACTAAATCGTGTCATATTTAGTCACTTGAAAAGTTCAATATCAATTTTGGTCATTCGAATTACTGGAACAAGTCACATTTAGTCACTCTATGGAGCTGGACGAAAACTAACGGGAAAGTGACTAAATGTGACCTGTTTCAGTAATTCTGAGTGACTAAATGTGACATGTTCAGTATTTCGAGTGACTGGAGTTGGACGGAGGCTAACGAGAGAGTGACTAAATGTGACCTATTTCAGTAATTCGAGTGGCCAAAATTGATATTAAAACTTTCTAGTTACTAAACATGACACGATTTAGTCAGCAAATGTGGCATTTACCCTAAACTGAATTCATAACCAACTTTACTAGACACAAGACATGTTCATTAGTCATTACATTATAGAGCTACACTAGAGAGAGTCCCATCCCAGAAGTTATTAGCCAATTTCGTCACAATTTTCAGCCATTTCAGAACCACCATTACACGACACGAATGTTTCCTTTCCATGCATACAACAAGAAGTTGAACTCTTTCTACTTTTAGCTTAGCAGCAGCAGGCCAGCCAAACAGCTTCTTCATCCCGAATTCCTTGAACTATGATCCAAATCGGATCTCATGATACGGTCTTCTTGCCCTGCGGCATTGGAGGGTAAAGATCTCTGGACAGTGGCATTGATCTCATACAGTACAACTCATCATCCTCCTCCTCCTCAATCAACTGGTTTCTCTGAAGACCTACATTGCTGCAATGCCTACTCCAAGTAGCCGCCTTCTGTTGTTTCGCCTTGGTTGATTCTGTGAGGCTCATGTAGCTCGGCTGCTGCTGCTTCTCACAACAACTCTGCTGCTCTTGATCAATAGATGTAGATGAATTTGTCGAGAGGAAGCTGGTTTCCTCGTAGAGTGTCTCGGAACTCATGGTTGAAGATGAGCCATTAGTACCATGATTATGATGATGAACCACCATGGATGGTGTTGGTTTGGCTGAGACTCGAGTGCTCATATTGTTCTTCCTCACCTTGACCGACGAGGAAGAAACCGGCTCATGGTGCTTAAGTTTTGAGGAGCAAGTTGATGTGTACATGTTGTCAGCACTTTTTCTTGACAAGAGAGGAGGTTGTGGTGGTGGTGGTGGTTGCGTTGGAGAGATCTCTAGTGAATCAGCTCTTGCATGGCTGTGGCTGCTGCTTTCCTCCATCAACCTGCTCTCCCATGGCTTTGCTGCCATCCAACGGTCGAGCCAGCTCCATCCGAGTGGGTTGTATTCATCCCCCTTTTGATGATGCTTGGGAGGAACTATTGGTTGCTGCTTAGAATTGTTGCTAGTCTTCCTACCCGGGCTTGGACATGCTTTCACAGCCTGCAACTAACATCGAAAAGATTGAAATGTTCAAGCCAATAACCATATATGGAGTAAAAAATTATAAAGTTATAAATCTACATAGCAAATCGACAAATTGGGTAAAAGTTGAAGTATGAGGTAGCTACAATTTTAGATAGCACTCTACTTATTCGAGTCCACTATTCGAAATTTGCATAGGTTTCATCATCAATCACAACTCCAGAGAAGGGATTTCGACTTGCATGATATCCTTGCAATTGGTTCTACCTGTTGAGATAGGGCATATGCAATGGCTCTTTCTCTCTTGATAGCTCCTTCTAGCCTCATTTGCAACTTCGTTCTCACTTGATCCACTGTTCCAGGACTGTTACACCAACGTTTCTGCAAATTTTCAGGGACCAAACAAGATAGCAATGTGAGGGTGACAGTTGATCCAAGAGTAATTATTTAGGTTTTATAATCCAAAATGTGTGGTCTTTATTAATTACCTCAGCTTGCTTAGTGGGATCAGCATGGTTCCTATAAGCATCCAGCATCTGCTGGACAGCTTGCCCTTCTGAGGACATTCTGACTGCAGTTGCCCTAACTCGAGCCTGAACTCGAACTAGAGCTTGCATACACCTTAGTGTCACTACAGCTTGCTTTCGAACCTGCCTTCCGCGGAATATGGCTTGAATTCTCACCACTGCTCTTAAGGCCCTCAATGCCCTCCTTGCCTAAAAGATACCAATCAAGTTCACACAGTTAGAACTTGGATACAGCAAAATTTTCTGATTCCTTTGAGGGAATTAAAATTTAGGAACAATTTCTTACTTTGTCAACCAAAAACCAGTAAAGACTTCAACTTTATGTTTCATGACACAGTAATTTCACTATTTTGGAAACCCAATACTCCATTAGAGCACTAAAGTATCAACATGCAACCAAATTAGTGAAATTCTATAGGAAGGTTTAGGTATAAGTGTCTAACCATACCACAGTCTAGATATTGTACTGAATTAGTAACTTGTCGGGAGCGATTTCCTAATTTGCAACATGGGAATCCAATTATGGACTTCAACATAACCCTAACAAGCCCTGAACTCTCAACTTCCATCCAGACAGAGAGTATCCAAGTTCCGAACTTTACACTAAATACTGAGAAATTGTGAGTTTACCAGCAAGCCTCGGAAGGCGGTTTGGATCCGGATGGCAGCCCATTCTTTCTTGACCGCGATGAAGTCTTTAGCCGGAGCTCTGGCGACGGTGGCCATAGCGGCGGTGAAAGAGTCGTCGTTTGAGAAGCAAGTAAAGCTGTTATACTCATCGGATTGAGCTACCACGTGACTCCTTTTGAAGCCTTCGACCGAAGGAGAAGAAGAAGAACAAGCAGAGGAAGCAGATGATGACGGATGATTGAACCCTTCGGATGAGCTTCTCCACAGCTTCCATTTCTTCTTCCCTCCTCCCTTCCCGTCTCCTCCTCGTTTCTCCTGCATAAAAACAAAATGAATAAATAAAAACTAGTACTCCATTTCGCAATAGAAAACAGAGCCGAGAGATTGCTCTGTTTTTGGGAGGTAGGAGCTCACGAGGTCAGCGGCGGAAGAGGTGATCTTTTTGAGAGGGATCAGCGATTTCAGCCATTTCCCTGAACCGCCCATTGCTTGGAAACGGATTGGCTTCCCGACGAATTGGCAATCAAACCGGAGAGGAGAAGAGAAAGCTTGTAGGCGTGGGGTTATGGGGAGGAGAGAGAGAGAGAGAGAGAGAGGCGTGTATGTTTGTGTGGGATCGAGACAAAAAAGGAAACGAGGATGGTTTACTAGTGGAAGAAAGAGAGAGGGGGGAGACAGACATGAGAATTCAGAATTTGAAATTTCAAATTTGAAATCTTGAATTGATAACGGATATAGATTGGAATTGAACTGTCTCTTTTTTTTTCCTTTCTTTTTTTTTTGGTAGAAAGACGGGCAAAAAACGCCCTAGTGCATAATACTAATGGAACGAGTCATGGTAATCTCTATGACGTCATACAACAACCATTGTTTGAGGTTGGGATCACACACATTGAAGTGATGTGTGCCAAAAGGAAGGGTATGACCCTTAGCAGCCAAAAAATCAGCAACAAAATCGTGATTGTCATGCCAGTGGTATACCGGTCGGTTGAACCTGGTTCAATTGATGTCGGCCATGAAATTTTTAATAATCATTATTATGATTGGTATTCGTTGATTTACGAATTCTAACCAAAATGATGTTCTGTTAGTGAATTTAAGTAATAAATTTATTATTTATTCCATGAATTTAAAAGTCAAAACTTGATGTGATTTGCTTAATTATAGTTAAATTGTCATCAAATATGTTTTATATTAAATTCATTGGATGCAATAATTTTTATATTTTTTTTATTAAAACAACACTGATACATCTCCTACTGGTCTTATCATTCCACTTGCCAACCACTCATCATCATAATGCGATAACCTGGTTTGACAACTTTGACCAAAATCTTTTTTAATTAATATTTTACATCAAACATCAACACATGCAAATTTCTCTAGCCTTGTTTGTTTTGTTTTTTCTCCTTGTCATAATGGGCCTCCCCAAATGGGGAATCCCGGGGCCTCTTTATTATTCGCATTACTGGACATGTAATTGTGGGCTTGTTATCCACAAACGACAAATTTACAGGCCCGAATCATCATTTCTTATCCCCAAAATCCCCTTGTCCTTTCCGAATATTTCATCGCCACCTGACAGAAGAAAAACAAATTGGGAAATCGCTTGGAATTTGATTCCCTAGTACTATTCGCCATTGTTGAATCAGGTTACAGACTACAGAGGACTCCGCCTCCCACTAAAGCTTTTAGCAGAAGAGCAGAGGAGTTCTCCTCCAATGGCGGAAAAGACACCTATCGACTCACAATCTGCAACTGGTACTACATCACGACTGTTCCTCTCTGATTCGGCATCTTTTGCTGATTTCTTCAACTGGGTTGTGAGCCCTTTGCACATAATTTCATCCTTGCGATAAATTATGATTCCAATCGTACGCTTGGCAGAGGGGGAGGAGGGTCCTTTATGCTTTCGATTTTTATGCACTAGTGAATCATGATTCAGTCTGCTTCTGCAATTTCAAACTGGACATATGGGATTTGGCTTATTTGATTTGTTTATGTATTGAAGAAGGGAAGCATCCAAACATCCACTCCCCAAAACATACCACGGAAACGCATGGAACAAGCAATGACATTGATGAGAAGACCACCATTGATGAAGTAAAAGGGCCAGGGGTGTTTCAGCGGGCGAAGGAGGAGATCGAGGCACTCGTCGAAACAATTCATCCCAACAAGGACAAGGATGATCACAAGTAATCTTCAACATAATAGTATGAAAGCTAGAAGGTTTGGCAAGTATCTTGTTGTGTTATGAGCTTTTGGGTTTAGGGTGAGAGATTGATCAGAATGTGCATTCAATGGTGGCCATTTCATACATCTGCTGAATGGATTGTAATATGATGATTCACCATTGTGGTAATTGCTCTATTCTGGAGTATGGAGAAATTTTCATGTTATCCCTTGCCTTGTTTCTTTCTTGTGATGTCAATGCTCTCTTTCTGTATGGATGTTTGCTATTGTTTTTTCATCCAAATTATAAAAAGATTGCTTATTTGTTCATCAAATTCATTCCTCAGACCTAAGGGCAAATGTTGATCTTGCCTTTAATGCTTGCCTCATACCTATGACGCCGTTTTTTTTATCATCGTGTTGCATTCCATTCCATCCCATGTCCCGAACTGTAGATATCGTTCATTTTGTGAAACTGTTTATTAGCTGTGTAGTAAATTTCCAACTTTCCACAAAACAGAAAGATAGTTGGATAGTAATTGATATGACAGGTCTCATAGGCACAAAAATTGATGACTGATGGGTCTCCAAGAAATCATATCAGGGAACTGCCCTTCGATTCAATGCATACAAATGACAAGGCCATAAAGAAATGGGGCAGTAAAAGAGCAGCACTGTTATTAATTAGCTACAACTACAAGGGAGTGCATTGAAGGTGTGGAAAGAAGTTATGAACCATTTATGTCCTCAATTTGACAGGAGGCTGGAGCTTGGAAATGGGACTTTGTTTTTCTTTTCCTTATTTGTCCTCCTAAGTTTGCTTCACAAAGAAATCACAGCTGATGGAATTGCAGAAAAACATCGATTTGTAGGTTGTGGACAATAGTCAGGTAAGAAAGCTGCAGTGCATTCCAATATATGGTGTCATGAACATGATTCATGAAGATGTGAAAGGTGCTGCCTTTAGTTTAGTGGCTTATTCTTTTCCCCATCAATCACTCTTGGCCAAGTTAAAAGTAGATCAAATCTTTTTTTCGTTGAGTAAAGTAGATCAATTCTTGTCCATTATCTTTTGTTGTTTTTCTTTTGCCTGGGCAAATGGTTGTTTTGATGGGAAAGCATGTTATTACATGACAAAATGCTTGTATGAAGAAATTTCTTTTGTAGGTGGGAAGAATAGGGTCCCTGTAATTGGGGACTGTGAGTATATCGGCACAAGTGCAAGACTTGTTACACAGCAACAGTAACCCCCTTTTTTATGTTAAAGAAAAGTGCAGTTGTTCTAACTTTTAACACTCATATGTAAAGCCTTTTATCTTGTGTTTACTTTCACTTCTGTTCTTGATTATCCACATCCAGTAATATCATGAATGATTTTCTGTTGTTTTCAGTGCCACAAAATCATTACCAAATCAGCCATTTTAGATCAGCAGCAGATCCTGTAAAAGACCAATCAATGAAAAATGGTGAGATGAGAAGAACCGAGCTTTGTTCTTTATTATTTTCTGCTACCTTTCTGGCATGCATTCATTTACTTGCCATTTCCCCACAACAGAACCAACAAAAAGTGACAAATCTTTGATTACATGATTTGCTATATTAGCTGGCCATTTGGTAATCAAATTATCATGTTACTGGAATCTTTTATTCGTTGCAATTGTCAAAGTTTATGTGTCTGTTGTTTGCACATCTGTTGCAGTCTTGCAGATGTACTACTGGAAGGGCAATGAAGGAGAAAGGAGAGAAAGAGAGCGAAGGTTTGAAGGAGGAAGAACAAGCCAAAGAAATGAAGTTGCAAAATATATATTCCTTTCTTATTTACAGCTTGGGATGATTGATATGACGAAGGGCAAAGAATCACTAGCCTGAGTGTTTCCCAGCGAACCAACCTTTGTGGGAAGGTGTTGACCTTTGGTACAGCTATTTATTTCATTTAACAAACTCATTAAATGGTTTGTTCTGACACCAGTACTGCATTGTTCTCAGACAATTGATTGGCTCTTCTGGTTTTTATTTCTCGGTTTATCACATTTAAAAAAAGTGTCACTGCAACTGGAATCCCTTTATCCCCAAAACCTTTTCCCCATCCATCCATAGGAATGAAACTATGAGAGGGGAGGGTGGTGGCTCTGCAGTCTAGACTCTAGACTATGTTAAAAGATTAAAAAGAACTCTTTTTCCTTTTCATTTGTGTTATCTTCTGAGAAAATTTTGTGGTGTGCCATTTGCAGGTATTTTCTTCCAGTACCACTAAAATAGGTATTGGGTGCAGAATCGGATCATCTGTGCTGCATTGGAGTACAATCCTAGAAGGATTTTTAAGCTGAAAGAAAGATATGGCTTGTTTTCAAAGGTTAAGCAACCAAAAGAGTGTTGGGAAAAGATTATATTTTTCTGATTCTACTACACAACAAGGTGGGTCCTTCTGATGAGTTGTCAAGTGAAGAAGACAAGAAACCGAAGATCACTTCACTTGTCTTAGAAGTAATATCTCTGAATCTTTCTCTCTCACTCACTTTCTCTCTGCTACACCTAGAAGGAAAACTAAGAGAAACCCAAGAAAACTATTGGGAGCTCTTTGGACTTTGGAGGGTTCTGCCTTTTGGGGAAATACTGTTATTTTTAATCCAGTTTCAAAGCTTATGGCTTTTTGTATATATATGTGGAGACAGAGTTTTCAAAATAATCATGCACGGTAGTAGTTGTTGTAGTGTGAGAGCTTCCTAAAGAATCAGCTGCATATTTCCTTCACTTCTGTCTCTGTCTGTGTTTGACATAGTTGGTTATCATTTCCAATCCAGAGATCATCATCATTAGTCAAGAGGGTAGGCAGCTGGCTCTCTTTCTACATAAGACCCGCAATGGATCCCAAAACCATCACTACTTGCTCTCTTCTTCTTCTCGTATTAGCTCTGCAAATGAACTTGGTCTGTTCCACAAGTAGGCCTCTTACAGCTAATCAACCAGGTAAGCAAGCTGTCTCATTTCACTGCTTCTCTTCTTCTGCTGCTTAATGAAAATCAGTGGCTTAAAACTTCCTTCAATCCTCTCGTCCGATGATTGTTTTCCTTACCAGTGATTAGTCAGCAGCCATCACAGTCTGTCCTGGAAGTAGAATCTGGAACCCATCTGAGCTCAAATCAGGTACTTTCTGATTTGCCTGTTGCCAAAACAGCTTCTTTCCTTCAGCATTAAAATTTCAGCTTTTAACCATGAGAAAATGTGGGAACTCTTTTACAGGGGATTGGTGAGGAAGCTTATAACTCAAAAGGGTTTGGGAAAATAGGATCAAGCCCACCAAACTGTGAGCACAAGTGCTATGGCTGCTCACCATGTGAAGCAATTGAAGTGCCTACAACTAGCAGAAGCCACAGCCATGGCCTGAGATTGAGCTATGCTAATTATGAGCCAGAGAGTTGGAAATGCAAATGTGGGCCTTCTTTCTACAGCCCGTGAAAGATAAGAGATTAATGAGTACTATTCAGGGATTCCTGACTTTGAGGGAAAATATGAACTTGAGTTAGATAGTCACATATATAGATTTAGAGTTGTGTCTAATCGTTTGTGTTACTGATCTTGTATGTGTAGGAGATTACTCTGTTTCTGTTTGTGTACAAATTTTGTTCTGCCGATTGTCTTGATTATTTGAGTAGTCAGGAAAAGGAAAAGAAGAGGTTTTGGATCATTTGTAATATTGCTATTGCACTCTATGACGTTTTTCTTTGTTCTTTTTGGTGGAATGCGACGGTGTTCTTCAGTTTTTCTTTGTTCTCTGATTTCGAGCATGTTTTGGCATGATGTAAAACACAATAAAGCCAGTATTGTTAAGGCATCATCTTCCCATGAGATAAACCATTAGGGGTAGTGACTTATTTCCTTTTTTATTTTTTTTAATAAAACTTATTTCCTTTGTTGCATGTGTTTTCGAGAGAAGCGATTGCTAATGAATTAAATTCATTGTGTAGATATAAATTTGTGCACATGTGCTATTATGGGATACATCAACCACCATGACTTTGTATGTTTAAAAACGAATTTTGGGGTTGTTTTGATGATAGAATGCTATGAGTCAATTTGTTCTAATTAGGGCTGGTAATCGGTCGGTATCGGTATAACCGGTTACCGATTTACCGGTTATCGGTATTACCGACATGCCCAGCTTTGAATCCGACTACCGGTACCGAGTAATTTCCGGTTAACCGGCTTACCGGATTGTCGGTAACGGTTATGGTTCCCGGTTATCCGAAAACCGGTAAGCCTTTCTCTTTTCTTCGTCTTCAACTCTTCATCTTCCCCCAACCGACCCACTCTTTGCAGAGTACGGAGAGTAGAAGCAGGGGTCTGGAGAAACTTTCGAGACAGAGTAGCATCTCCAGCGCATGGCGGCTCTCCATCTCCCTCCTGCATGCAGTCGTCGCTGGTGGATCCGGCCGTCTGCGAAGGTGCTGCGACAGCGGTGGATCTCCAGATCTCTGAATCTCTGGTCGGAGTTGCGGTCGGGACTCGAGAACGAAGGTAAAGCAGCCTTCAGAGGTTGGGGCCAGGACTCGGGAACGAAGGCGAGGCCGCCGTCGGAGGTTGCGAAGCCATCATCGGAGGCCGGGGTCGGAAATCTCTGGTCCGAGAGAGTTGGGGTCGGGAATCGGCTGATTGGGGATTTGCCGATTTGGAAAAGGTAGCGCATGGATTGGGGATTTTTAGTGGGCTGTGGCCATTTGAGATTGAGAATCATGAACGTTGGTTTTGGATTTGTTGATTTGGAGAGGTTGAGGATTTCTTGTGCAGAGGTTGCTGGGGAAGAAAAAAAAAAGAAAGAGAGGAGAGAAGGGTTGCAGAGCTTCTCGCAAGCAGGTGAAGGGAGGGTGGGGAGTACTGGGGAGGGTTATTTCACGGTATCGGTAAAACCGGTTGACCGTCGGTATTATACCGAAACTTAGTCGGTATACCGGCTACTCCTTTCTCCCATCCGAGTACCGCCACACACCGGTTAACGGTATACCGGTTACCGCCGGTTACCGGTTCGGTTTCCGGTTATACCGTTAACCGGATACCCGATTACCAGCCCTAGTTCTAATTGTTTTAAAATGAAATTATTGTGTCAAACTGTTTTGTTTGGCAACACAAAATAAGGATGCTGTAATTTGGTTAAGGCAATTGGAATTGCCTTGTTTTATATTATTTTGAATTGTTAGGTGGAGACAAGTATTTTGAAATGATACGTTTTTGTGTGGCAATTGTCAGATATTTCAAAAATCCACCATTCAATAGACTCTTTAAACTAGATGGAAAAAAAAAATAATGTCCCGACTATTTCTACGAATTGAGAAATTGGAGGATCGATAGAGCAAGAAAATGAAAGCAAGAAAAGAAATAAGACACACGATTTACGTGGTTCACTAACACAATGTGTGTTAACTAGTCCATGGACAGGAGAGAGCCAGTTTCACTATACTTCGAGGAGATACATATTACATAGGAGTTTGAGAAGTATTTATTGTACTTCTCCATGTGGTCTAACCCTAATCAAATATGATAAGAATAAGGTTACAAACCAAGCCCAAAATAGAAACTTACATGTGTATAAACCCATTCACTGTGGATAGTAAACAAGACAACCAAAAACTTTCAGTAAAGAGTAATTAGCTGGCTTACTAGACCACACACCATAAGGAGTTTTGCACTCGATACCTGAGTGAGGTCCACGGTTGATGAGGTTGCACGCCATGTTTACTGCTTCTACATAGAACCTTGTTAGTGGGTCTTTGAAGAAGGTGGTCCCCAATGGGGTATCGCCATATTTAGGATTCAAAGAGATACCTCTCAAGTCCAACATTAGAGAGCATGCGTCTTGCTCTATCCAACAATGTATGTTTCATCCTTTCTTCGCTGTCATACTACTGTGGAGTGTCTCTAACAGTCCGATGACGGGCAACCCCTTCATCTTTGCAGAATTCGTTGAACTCAAAATTACATAACTCCTAACCATTAGCGATTCAAAGTATCTTGATCTTCATTTAGGTCTGATTCTCCACCAAGGCCTTCCACAACTTGAACTTCTTGAAGCCTTCACTTTTCTGCTTTATCATGAAAATCCAAGTAAATCTTGAGTAATCATCAATAATAGACAGAAAATACATGTTGCCTCCAATATATTCAACTATTGAAGGACCGTAATAGACAAAGTGGAGGTAATCCAATATCTCATTCGTCCGGTGGATACCCTTCTTAAGAATCTTACTGTGATGTAATTTTCCAAACACACATTGTTTGCAAAATTCTAAACTCTGCACCTTGTGCCTGCAAAGAAGATCTCTCTTCGACAAAACTTACATCCCACATTCACTCATATGATCCAGTCTCATGTGTCAGAGAGTTGTCATATCTTCCTAATGAACCTGAGCTGATGCAACGACAACAGAGCCTGACAACACAGATCCTTGCAATGCATACAAGATGCCATGCTTCACGCCTTTCAGTACCTTCCTTGAACCTTTACAGACATACAGAACTCCACATCTTCTCTTGAAACTAAGACCTTTGTTGTCGAGAAGACTTAAAGAGATCAAATTCTTTGTCATTTGTGGAACATCCTGACATCGTTCACGGTACATAATGAACCATCATGTCTGAGACCCTAGCCTGATTTCCAACCACTGCTCTTATATCACTTGATACGACTATTTCTATGGATCGGGAAATTTGAAGATCAATAGAGCAACAAACAAAACAAGACACACGAATTTACGTGGTTCACTAACACGATGTGTGCTAGCTAGTCCAAGGGCGGGAGAGAGCTCGTTTCACTATACTTTGAGGAGATATGTATTACATAGGAGTATGAGAAGTATTTATAGTACTTCTCCATGTGGCCTAACCCTAATCCAATATGGTAAATAATGAGGTCACAAACGTGTATAAATCCATACACCATGGCTTCCAATCATAGCCAGATAGTCTAATTCAAGGCATATCAACATACACATTAAGTGAGGAGGGAAACAAATTGGATTCAAATCTTTAATTTGATTTAGCATCCATAATAGAATATGAAAAGTAACTAAATTTCATCTCACTCACAATCACAAACTTGCTCTGTCATGAAAGAGACACTATTCAAATCAGGTAGAAAGATTTTAGCAGCTGAGGCTATCATCATTGGTATGATAAAGATGCAAGGGTTTCGATGGAGAGAAAGGGGAGTCTTTACTATCTTTACCCAACGGAGAGAAAGATACAACGATTTTAATTTGATCATATTAACTTTTAAGGATTATGTGAAACTTAGATATTTTATGTTTATTTATGGTGACTGGGCAGTGTGGCGGTTTAACTGTTAGTTAACGGCCTTGACCACAAAAACTAAACGGTCAACTCTCGAGTTTAACCAAATTAGTAAAGTGCAGTGATAGTTCAAGGTTGGATGTTAAATGCCAAAAGGATTTTCCAGGATATTAAATATGAGAAAAGTTCGAGCCAGACAAATATATTAATCCTAATTACAACATTGTCATTTTGATTTTAGAAGAAAAATGAATGCTACTTTATCAAGGACACACAAATCTAAAGATTGACCACGATTGTATGGTTGTTCTAGTAATCATATTATATTGATAATAAAAATGGCCACACAAGTTTTAAGAAGTTAACAAACTACCTGTATAAGTGTGTTAAGATCAATGTGAGTGTAACTACCAATGTTAGTATGCATAAATTATTCTTTGACATAAGCCGATTTACTCTTTTCAATTTGAACAACTTCTTCAATTTTAAACACACATTAATCATTTCACTTTTACTATATGATGAATAAGTTTTGATTATACTATATTGCTTCATTTAAAAAAATCCATCATGCAAAAGACCCCTTAAATTAGATGAAAAAACGCATTAAGTGAAAAGGGGAAAATTTTGGAAACACATGCAAAGCATTCATTAAAGAGTTCGATGCAAATCTTTAATTTGATTTAAAACGGAGAACATGAAAATTTTTTTTTTTTTGGCCAAAGGTATCCCACGAGGGGAAACAACAAGATACGAGATTATGAGTACAAAACCTTTGCAGGTCGAATCACAAAAGATAAAAAAAAAAAAATACTCCATCATTAGAGAGACATTATTCAAATCAGGTAGTAAGATTTCAGCAACAAAAACTATCGTCATTGGTACGATGGAAGATGCTAGGGGTTCATTGGAAAGAAATGAGAGAATCTTTACTATCTTTCCATATACAAATGATGATATGGAGAAGGCAATTGGGGAAGTGCTTTCAACTACATGACATGATTTCTTCTTGGTAAACCGAACACTTACTCGATCTTTTCTTTCCTCCTCCTATACATGGGTAGCTGCACTTCAAGATGCCTCTTCTAGATCTCTGGGGGCTCTTTTTTATGCAATACCCTTTTCAGCTCATGGTCGTGGAGATCCATCTACACAAATAAAATAAAAAAGATGCAACCACTTATGTATAAACTAGAAGAAGAATCAAACACCTAAAACAACACAGAAATCAAACAACTAGAACACCACATAAATTAAACATAAATGGTCCCTCAGCAACAGACCAATAAGTATTGAAATCGAAGACACATAGAGGAGATGAGTAACTGGATAACACCAATTGAATAGAAAGAACAACAAAAATCATGTTCTCAAATCACCAAAACCTAATTTTGTTTTCAACGAACTATATGCATACCAAGAATCAACAACAGAGAAATTAAATTAAGAGTATGTGAAATTGGAAATAACGGAGCAGCAAGAATTGAATTCCGGCAAACAGCTTGACAGGAGATGATGAAGATAGAGAAGTAGGCAGATATCACGATTTATTTGAACAGAACAAGAGAATTCCCTTTTATGAAATCACATAATAGAAACCAGAAGCCAAGCAGAGAAACTAGAAAACATACCAGAAACTGAATTCAACGAAAAATGTGGAAACATAAATTAAAAATCAAACTACAACTAGGCATTTAAAAAAGGGTAATGTCTATTTTTTATCCAAACCTTTTTCAAATTATTGTATATTATCCAAACCTATTAAAATGCTATTAATTAGCCAAATCTTTCGCAATGCATCAAAATATTAGCTATTTTTACGTTATCGTTAATAATTTTGTAACTCTTTTCTTAGTTAAAATACTAAAATTTTGCAATGTTGACCTTCATGTGTCTCTTCCTAGTCAGTATCATGTTGGCAAGTCAATATTACTAAAAAAATTGCTAACGAAAAGTTAACATTTGGTTAATTCTTAGTATTTCGATAAAGTTTGGATAATATAAAAGAATCTGGAAAAAATTTGGATAAAAAATAGACATTACCCTTTAAAAAATCATCGAAGGTGACCTAAGATAACGGGATCTCGATAGCAAATGAACATGAATGGAATCGATGGCAAAGAGGGAAACTAGAAAACAGAGCCGAAATAGAATTCAAAGAAGAATGCAAAATCGGAAATCTCCTTGAAGAACGTTGAGCTTGTATGTCTCACCTAGAAACAACAACTAGACTCGCAAAAAATAACCGAAGACTACCTAGTGTAATGGGATTTCAAAAAGTTAACAAAGTGCTTATATAAGTATGTTAAGTTAAGTGTGAGTGTGACTATCATTTTTATATCATGTAGTATGCGTAAATTATTCTTTAACATAAACTTATTTACGTTTTTTACTCGAGAGACACCTTCGATTTTAAAAACACATTGATCTTTGCCCGTTTTAAAGGATGACGAACAAATTTTGATTCTTCAAAATTTTGAAAAATCCATCATGCAAAAGAACACTGGAATAAGATGAAAAAACAGATTAAGTGAAAAAGGAAACAAATTAAAACACATGCAAAACTTTCATTCACGAGTTTGATGAAAAGTGACTAAATTTCATCCCGCTCACAATCAAAAACTTGCTCCACAATTAGAGAAGGACTATTCAAATAAGGTACTAAGATTTTAGCAGCTAAGTCTATGATCATTGGTACGATAGAATCAGATACAAATATGTAGTATCCGAATTAAGGTATCCAGAAACCCTATGAAATTTTGCAAAGCATGCATCAACCCTGTCCTCTACTACTTCAAGACATTGCGAAGCAATTTTCAACTCGTGTTTAATCATAGGACTATCCCCCATGTTGTATATAATGACTCCAATATAATAGGGTAAAACCCTTGACTAGAACTTTCCTTGAACCGATCTAATAGGAAGGCTTTGATAGCCCTATCACTTGGAAACTACAACTAGATTAGAAAAAAAATAATAAATGACGTTGACCTAATATAACGAGATCTCAATAGCGAATAAACATGAACAAAATTAACGGCGAGGAGGCAAACAAGAAAAGAGAGCAGAAAGAGAATACAATGATAAATACGGAATCACAAATCTCACTGAAGAACGTTGTGATCGTATCTGGCGGGGATTCAAAGAGCAGTATGATGCGATGCTAAAAGAAGATCAAATGGACAGTTGGACATGGCAATAGGAAACGAGAAGGGAGAAGAAAATAAAAATAAGAGGGCAAGGAAGAGCAAAGCGAAGAGGCACAACAACTAGATACAGGTTTTCTTTCCACCTTCCTTACCCCTACAGCTAGACCCTACTCGCTTTCCTAAGTCAAAATTCAAAATACTCACAGCTCATGTGTCCATCCTTTTCTTCTTCCACCCGCCATGCAAAACTAAACAACCATCCATCTTTTCTTAATTACAACTACGACATTTTGATTATCAAGGACACACGGATCTAAAGAGTGATCACGATTGTATGGTTGTTTTATGAATTATATTATACGAATAAATTGAAAATGGTCACACGACTTTCAAAAAGTTAACAAACTGCTTGTATAAATATGTTAAGATAAATATGAGTGTGACTATCATTTTTAAAGGGTCGTTTGGAGGATTGGAGTCTATATCTTTAGATTTTAACCAATTTAAAGATTCTAACTCTCTGCATAGTTGAATACATATTTTTAAATATTTGTTATTTGGTATTACAATTTTTAACATTCAATAAAAAATAAAAATATTTTTAACAATACATGTTTACCCTTAAATAAAAGAATCTGAGTGGCTCGAGAATTATTTAGAATTTAATTGTTAAGTGTATTTAGGGGAATAAATAAGAAAATAAAGAAAAAAGTAGGGGAAAAAATCTTCAATGGATTTATAGGATCTCTTTAATTATAAGAGATTTGATATCTCTAAATTTTAGTGATATGACATTTTTTTATAGAAGTGATATGACATTTATTAAGATAATATCCACCTATATAAAATAAGTCCGTAAATTAAAATTCTTTCTTATAAAATCTTAGGATATGAAAAGTTTAACCATTATTTGCAAGATGGACTAGCATGATTTTTCATGGTCATGACGCATGAACATAATTTATTGATTTTGGGTATTTTAGACTCTGAAGTAAGTGGCGTTCCCTTTTGGTTTTTTTGATTTAGTGGTCAAGAAATTGAAATAAGCTCATAATAACTAAGTTGTTTGGTCAATACTCAATAGACATCTTGGGGTATGAAATTAGACACAATCTACACTTGTATCGCTAGACTACACTACACCAACCTTATTATTTTAATTTTGTCAATAGAAATGTACCAAGAAATAATAGACAAATTTGATACGTTGGATTGTAATTTTGTTAAAAATTCAATGGTTTGTTGCATGGGCTGAGTCAGGAGTTTGGCTTGGGAGGCCTGAATTTTTTAGTATATTACTGTAAATAGACGAACAATTAAAATATTATATAGATATATAAAAAATTAAAGTAATTTAATTATCAAAATATTAAGAAATTAAAGTATAAAAATTAAATCTAGATTGATTTTCCATCAAAATTACAGTAATTGGAGATTGAACCTCTTGGTCAAAGTATAAATCTTAGATAACTAAATAGATTTTTCATCAAAATTAAAATCATTGTCAAACTTATTAGGGAAAACGTTATCACTAAAAAATTATAAGATGAATAACTTAATTTCAAACTCACGAAATCAAAAATATAAAGTTAATGAACTAAATTAACTTTACAGCTACACTATAACTATTGACGAAAAATAAATATATTGAAAATGGGATGAACCGTTAAAAATGGTAAAAACTATAGATTGATGGTGATTGAATCACCAACCACTTATAATAATCCACTTAGGGGTCATTTGCTTCATGAATTTGAAAATGAAGGTTTTCTAATTTAAAAACTCAAGGATTTGTTAGTGATTTGTTAGGGATTTGTTGCATTACGGATTTGGGAAGAGTCCATTGTTTGCCTAGATGATTTGATCATAGATTTATGGGTTATGGATTTATATCTTTAAGATGTATATTACCTTACTACCCTTCTTTATGTTAGATTTATATAACTTTACTTGTGTTTCTAATTTTATTCTTGTGGTCATATTGTTAATTTGTGCTTTTAAATTGACATTTTATAGCCAGCTCGTAAAATTAGTAGCCACGAGATATTAAAATGTATAGATAATCACAATATATAGTTGTAATCTTACAATTCTTGACTAAAATTTGTTTGTTATAATTAGTATTTTAACAACAAATGTAGTTTGTAGCTAAAGGGTATTACTTGTCATCCAAATCAAAATAATCATATGTTTATGGCAGAATAAATGTGTGACATAGACCTTCACAAATAGCCATGAGGAATAAATTATAGTCATTAGCATGTTATTAGCTTATGGCATAGATTATGTAGTCATTAGCATGATATTAGCTACAATATTACTTTTCATGGCTAAGTTTGTAGCTATAAGAGGCAATTGTAGTAGTGCAAAGAATAACTAATGACGGGTAAAGTTGGAATAAATAAATTATAAAGAGATATATAAGTCATTTTTCATGAAGGATTTGTTCCCTTCTTCAAATCCCAAGTAAATAGGTGGGATTTACAAATATGTGGGGCCCATGGATTTGGAGCCCCATATAAGTGGACCCCACGGATTTGGTACCCCCATTTTGGCTCAACAAACAATGGCTTTTGGACAAATCCTTCATGTGTTGGATTTAAGAATCAAATTCCACATCCAAATCTATGAAGCAAACGACCCCTTAATAATTGTTGAATAGCCATTCCTCCACTAGGCCAAATCACTTCTTCTGTCACACTATTGCACAAGCAGTAACTTATAAAACTACTTTAATTACTACGTAATTCTTAGAATGCTCGAGCATTCATTCGTGATTCTGGTAATTCTCGAGGGGCGGGACCCCTTAGATCCTGTGTAGCTCCGCCCATGGTTTGCTGGATACGGAGTTCAAGTGAATGTTACAAAATACCAGGAGCTCATTAGAAATCTGTTAGTTACATCAATCAAGCTAGTCTTCTTGATGCATTTAGTGTTGAGATTTTTATTGATGTGAATGGAAATGAAAGGGGAAAGATCTAAAGTAATCTCTTGAAATACCATGTTGGTAAGAATTACTCGAATTCGATCGATTTGATATAATATGTGGGTAATCGGTTAAATTGGTTTGTGTAATCAACCAAACCAAACCAAACTGAGTTAAACCAAATCGATATGACGGTTGGAATAATCAAACAAGTCCAACTTCCATGGGCCGAACCGATGCAATGGTTGAGAAATTCTAAACCAACCAATGCAATGGTTGGGGTGCAACCACCCATACGAAGAGTTGCCTCCCTTCATACGTACCCCTTCATTCTCTATAAATAAGCACCTACCCCTCTGGTTTTGATACGTTTTTCCCTAATCAAAAACTCTGCCAAAATGTAAACTGATTTTTTTACATTGTTTTCAAAAGAAAAATCGAGTCAAGTGTGGTTCTCGCCGCTTCGCTGCGTTCGATGGTTTTTGGGGTTTGAGGTACTGCTACACCGGAAAGGTACGTCTTTTCTATCGTGGGAGGAATCATCCATAACCTTGGGTACTATAGGGAATAAGATTCCTTGAGGGGAGATATTGAATTATGTCGGCTAGGACGATTACATATGTTTGCATGATTTTTCATGATCTTACATGTTACTTGTTTTGCAAGATATAGTATACATGAACAATTTCCACAACATTTAGTGTGTTTGCTTAGAAAGTACATGGAGCTCTAACTAGACAACATATGTTTGCTGCTAAAAATTGTTATGAGTAGGGTGGTTAATCGGTTATTTTGTTAGCAGTTAAATAGTTAGTAACTGACGGCTAAACGATCAACCGACTAACTGATTACGATCATTCCCACTGTTATGGCATAAAATAATAGGTCTCAATGAGTCGCAGGCATACGCAGAAAATAATGGTATGTTTGAAAACCTAAGATCCTTGACTACCTGATAGCATCAATGTTTGTGGTAATCAAATCAATGCAATCAAAGTTATAAATCCTAGAGATGTCTAGGGTCGTATTCCACAAGGCTTTTTAATAATATTTGCATCTTATCATCTAATGCTCAAACAAAGACTCAATAGAAATAGATAGGTTGAGATTCCCTAATTGTAGTTGGTTTTTGAGATGCATATAATGTAAAACATAACATAAAAGACAAGAAAATCAAAGTAAAGATACAGATTGATAAGAAAGTTAATTTTTTATGGTCATGCATTTCAATCTCAATGATGATAAGCTATGATGCATCTTCTATCATGTATCTCTTTCCCTTCCACTAAGGTAATCCTATCTGAGTTTTTACCCCATGTAATAGGAGCTATTACTAGCTAATGTGTGTTTTCGCTTAATGCCAATAGACTAATCAATCAATAAGGGGAGTTTGGATAACACATCACTATATAAGGCCTTTACAAACCATAGTGATGGTCTATAGCATTGATGATCTAAGATATCAAGCATTAAACATAGTCGAGTATAGATGGGTGATTAATCCATTCCATACATGACTAATACAATGACATATCACCTAAGTTGGGTTTTTTATACAACATATAATGATATTATAAGCAATACTATAATAGAACACAGTAGATGATATAGGCATCGCTTGATTTAAGCATTGTATAACTAAGACATTCGATTACCATAAGCATCACATGACTATGACATCTAATGATACAAACATATCACAAAATAGATAACAATGAATAAAATCTCGTCATAATATCATAGAAAGATGATGTTATAAGCATAAATAGAACTCGCATCCTTAACAACGAAGTTGAAATAGCAATATGTTGAAGAGAAGGATTATACCACCATCAATGATCAAGGAATCTCATTAGTTGCACCCTCCTATGACTGCTAATTACAACTTACTGAATCCCTTAACCAACCCTTCTATTTATAGTGAAAGAACTAGGGATCCCTAGGTACTTTTTCCTCCTAAAATGCGGCCAAAGGCATCCTGATACCACTGTGATAGAAACCAGTATTTAGTAATTTTAGTTAATTGTCGGATTGTTGCTATTTCAGATTATTGGGACTATTTCGGGAATTGGGGATAAATTATTTGTCGGGTAGTATTAGGAAATTAGCCAATTATTATATAAATAACTTGTAAGTGGGATTAGTCCACTAAGCAAGATTAAACCTAAAAACTGATTCCCTCTCCCCTCTGTCTCCCTCTCACTCGGCCGACTCCTTCCTTCCTCTCTAGTTGCTGCCGATCGGCAGTCTTCCCCTCCCCTCCTTTCTCTTCGTCCCAATCCCTAAAACCCACTTCCCTCATTTCCCCAATTTCCCCGGATCAATACCTAATTGATCTCTAGTCCTCAATCGTTCGGTAGAGCTTGATCTAGAGCTCTATCATTTGGTATCAGAGCCTGGCTCTTGATTCCGGAGCACAGAAGAACGTCGATCAAGATGGTGGCAACGAAATCAAAGGCTACAGCTGAAAAGGCCGCGAAGGAGGCGCAAAAGGCAGAGATCGCGGCGGCCGGACCCCTGTCCACCGGCGATGACGGGCTCGAGTTTCCCGGTCCACGGGATGGAGACATGGTGGATGAGACGCTGGGAGAGGAGCTCCGTTCGAAGATGACCAAAATGGCGGAGGCCATGGAGCAGGAGCGTCGGTCTCGCCTGAAGGGCGAGCGAGCTAGGGAGATGGAGGCGCGAGTCCGCGAGGCGGAAACGCAGAAGGTTTGGCTCGCCATCGGCGAGCTGAAGGCGATGCTGGCCGAGACCCTGGGGCGAGCAGGAGGAGGCGGCCGCACCACGGGAGGCCCCGGCGCGCTGGCGGTCACCGCGGCGGGGGGGTCGGGCCTGGAGGGAGCGCCCGACGGCGAGGGCGTGGCGGCGGGAGCCGCGGCCGGCGGAGGCAGCGCGGCGGCGGGGGCCGCAGCGGGCTGGGGCGGCGCGACCGCGGATGGAGGAAGGACGGCGACGGGAGCGGCGGTCACCGACCCCGACGCGGGTCTCGAGGCCGCTGGGCAGGATCCGGCGGCGCTGACGACGGCCGGGACCGGGCCGAGAGCTGGAGGAGGCGGGTCGGGAACAGGCCCAACGCAGATTGGGCTAGGTATGGGCCCGGGTCTGCTATCGACGCCTACGGCCCAGGAGATTGCAGCCCGGAAGGGAAAATCCAAGATGCCCGGTTAAGATATAGACGGGCCTCTCATGAACCGTGAACCGGACCTGATGGGCCAATACACGCAGATCCATAACGGCCTGGGCTGGTTAGGTCTCGAGGACGGGCCCGAGGGTGATGAGCTTAGCTTGGCGGACCAACCGGTCAAGTGGGCTGAACCAGAAGTGGATCAGAGGGGGCCGGGCGGGCTGAGGAGGACCGCCGAACCGGGTGGGCGACCAGGAATCGGTCGGGCAGCTGCTGACCGAGCCGAGATGAATCAAACCGGGCCGGGTCGGGCCGGCATGGGTCGACCGGAGGTGGGCCGGACCAGTCATCGCCCGAGTCCGACTGCTCAGCATCACAGGAGGGTGGACAGCAGGGAACCAGACAGTTGGGAGGGTCCATACGCGGTGCCTCCTGCGCCAGGAGGGTATCCGAACTTGCCAGGCAGCTACCCGGGTGACTATGGCCAGGGGAATCCGAACCGGATGTCGGGCTCTTCTTTTGGGTAGCCTTGGAGAACTCCGGGAAATGACAGGTATGGGTCCCACTACATGAACTATGAGGGCATGGATGGAGTAGTCTTTCGAGCTAAACCTCCGACCATTGAGTTTCCTAAATTCAATGGGCAAGAGGATGCAGGTCTCTGGCTGTATGCAGTTGAGAGGTGGTTTAGAAACCACCCGATTCCGGAGGAGAGGAAGGCCTATCTGGCACCATTTTATTTGGAGGGAGATGCACTGCAGTGGTGGGAGTGGATGGAGCGGTCGTACACAGCCGCATCCACTCTAATTACGTGGCCTATGTTCCCGGAGGAGCTTCGCTATCAGTTTGGGAAGTCAGAAAGGTGGACCCCCGAGCAGCTGGCTAAACTGAAGCAGACCGGCACGGTGGCTGAATACCGAGCAGAGTTCTTCAAGTTGGGAAACCAGTGTAAAGGAGTCTCAGAGGACACCTTAGTTGGGCTGTGCATGGCAGGTCTGAAGCCCGAGATAGCGGCGGCAGTCAGGGTGTTCGAGCCTGAGTCCCTGAAGGCGGCTTTCCGTCTCGCAGGTCATAAAGAGGAGGAGCTGGCTAGCTGGAGGAGTGTCATTGGCCGTTTTCCGAAGTCAGGGGGCGGTGGAGGCAGTAACGGGAGTAGTGGAGGCGCGGGAGGAGCGTCTGGGGGAGGCACGACCGGGGCTAACATTGGCAGTGGAGGTTCTGCTCCTGTGGCTAGGATGGGACCGCATCCCATACCAAAAGGGTTCGTGCGACTGTCACCACCTGAGATAGAACAGAAGAGGCGGGAGGGCAAGTGCTTCAATTGTGATGGTCGGTTCACCATCGGGCATCAGTGCCCGAAGCCGGACTTGATGATGCTAGTGGGACGCTGGGAAGATGAAGCGGAAGATGAGGCCGAGGTAGATGGGAATGGCAAGGAGGAGACCCAGTGAGCTAGAGGAACAACCTTAGGGACAAGGTTGTTTTTCGAAGGAAGCGGGGATGATAGAAACCAGTATTTAGTAATTTTAGTTAATTGTCGGATTGTTGCTATTTCAGATTATTGGGACTATTTCGGGAATTGGGGATAAATTATTTTTCGGGAAGTATTCGGAAATTAGCCAATTATTATATAAATAACTTGTAAGTGGGATTAGTCCACTAAGCAAGATTAAACCTAAAAACTAATTCCCTCTCCCCTCTCTCTCCCTCTCACACGGCCGACTCCTTCCTTCCTCTTAAGTTGCTGCCGATCGGCAGCCTTCCCCTCCCCTCCTTTCTCTTCGTCCCAATCCCTAAAACCCACTTCCCTCATTTCCCCAATTTCCCCGGATCAATACCTAATTAATCCCTAGTCCTCAATCGTTCGGTAGAGCTTGATCTAGAGCTCTATCACACTGGGACTCAGATTTACTGTCTTGGAGACGAAGAAAGGAATATTCTAGATATTCTTTTGGGGATGTAGTGAGTAGTGACTCAACAGTGGTCGGACCCGCCATGGGTTTCTTTGCTCCATTGGGTTGCTTGGCCCTAAAATAACTCTTCCTTCGAGTTTCAACACGACTTGATTGTCTTGGCTCAGTAGTGGCTACCCCAATCATAAGGCCACCATGGATTTTCTTGTGTGATTGAGATGAAATTTCTCTAGTGGACTCCTCTTGAGCTCTTATGATGACTTCATGAAGACTTTCCCTTGTTGTCGCATTGTTTAATGGACAAAGCACCCATATCTTCACAGTAAATATCCCTCATGATCCTCCAATTTGATCCATTCATTGATTCAAGTCAACCTAGAATGTGTTTGACCTTGAAAATCACAAAACACTACCAAAAAGGCATAAAATGATACAAAACACATCCTAGTTCTATTAAAAACCTCTGTTTTCAAAATCGGAGGTTGAACCAGAAAAGTTATTGGTTTAGGGTTCATTAGTGAACCATTATAAAATCGTTGATAGAACTGTTCATGATATATAACATACAAGACTTGTATATTTCACTAATTTAAGAATGAATTTATCATTGACCATAAACAATTTCAAATTCATTTCATCACCAAAATATCTAATAAATCATTCAAATTGTCTCACAAAAAAAATCTTAACTTTTATAAATAAAATTAAAAATTACGATGCCAGTAGTTAATAGACCACATAAAGTCGATAACAAGGTTGGAAATGAGAAGAGTAAGCAAAAATAATATTAATAATTATCGTTTGATGATCTTAGTTTATGTTAAAGTATTTTTTTTAATTTTTTTGTCTTTAAAATAGTGAACCAGCGGAATAGTTAAATCGTGGTGGTTCATCTGGGTTTATGTTAAACCGTGAAAAAACGTTAGGTCCATCAATAACAGTCCAAGCAATGAATCAGACCGCTATGGTAACTAATTTGACGACTCTACTAGCCTAGCTGATAAGAATGCGAGCTTGTGAAAGCTTTGGTTCTTTTGTCAAAGTCGTGCAACTTTGACCTTTTTAGGGTTTTTTTTAAAATTTTTCTCTCAACAACTCAAAAAGTAAAGGATAGGGCGGAATTGTCGTGCAGCTTCAACACAAATAGGGAAGAGGCTTGAACAATATAAAGGGTTAGCAACTCGACCACAATCAAGGGGAATACCTGATTGGTACAGAGCTCGGTCGAATGCTGGAGATCCACCAACAAACAAGGACAAAATCCACGAGTACAAACTTAATGAACCGAAAAAGGGTTTTCCATTATCAAAGTCTAAATAATCTGAATAGTCCCCTAAAATTCGTGGCTTACAACCCTTTAAATAGGTATGAAAATAAACCTAATGAAAGCACAAAAAAGGAAAAGAATTCTAAACGAAAAAGGTAACAAAACTCGGATCAGACCAAACTCGTAGTCTATTAGTAAAAGACATCTTAGAACCAAGAATCGGACCATCATTGCGGTCAGTCCATTTGGTCTAGTTTGTCGAGTCCAAATATCAGTTCACTCCATCATTTATTCAATAATTGTAAAATTCATGTGGACCAAGGATCAGACCCTATTATACTCGGTCCGGTACACTCCGATCCAAACTTCGGCTTGGTCCAATGCGGTCTCGCACTAGACCATTGAAAGCAAGTGGAAAAGTTTGACGTGAGAATCAACCGATGCGAACTGGACATAAATTACTCAAACTCATTAGTCTTTCGATTGTGAATATCGAGGTTGTCAAACCGATTTAAACCGTTGCGTTGATTTAGTGAGTGGAATGATACGACCGATTTGTTTTGATTCATGTCGGCTAAATAAAATAACAAGTACTCATATTTAAATACAACATTTAACGTCAATAGTTACATGTTTGTACATGAATCCAACAAATTACATAAACTTTTAACTTTTGTATTAATAAAATATGTAATAAATTCATAAAATATGTAAAATTCATTTTTTATTTTAACTTTACTAAAACGACGTCATTTTACTTACATTTTGTAAATCGATCGTGTCGATTATATCGATGGTGCCATCATGTTCAACCGACTGACATGCCATGGCCCATGCGTGAGGAATATGAGGATCAAGACGACTAGACGAGGCCCGGCCGGCGGCCTATAATGGGCGAATGATCCCGTCCCAATGGGCCACAAGCCTACAACTCAAAGTGTTCCCTGGTAGTTATCATAAATGGTCACAAAACTATTCACTTTGTACAAAACGGTCACAAACCTTTAATTTTTGCACGTTTCAATAACATATGTTTCAATTAATAACAAAAAGGTAATTCCGTCCATCTCCATCCAAAATTCTGTTAGTTTGCTCCAGTCAGCTGCCACATCATCAAAATAATTATTAAAAAATAAAATAAAACCAATTAAACCCTAACCAACCCAATCCAATCCAATCCAACCCAACTCATTCTTCTGTCTCCTTCCCTCTCCGCCACAATCTCCGCTCCGCCTTCTCAGCTTCCACTCAAATTTATCGTCATAATAACAATCTCTGCACCGCCTTCGAGATCCGTCGAGATTCGCACGTTCTTGTAGATCCCTCTACTAAGCTTCCGCTCCAATTTTGTACCTCTGCTAAGTTGAGTACAAAATTGTACATGGTGGGCAGAGCTCTGCTTGCAGATCGAGCTTGTGCCTCCACTGTTAGATTCTAAAATCGGATTTCGATGGTGGGAAGCTCGATCCCACCTCTGTATCAAATCAAAGCGCGCCTTTCGGACAAAAGGAAGAAAGGAAAAATAGAAAAGGACAGAGCATATGATTTTGGTGAGCATATTTTGGTTTAGTTTTACTACCCCATGAGATTGACCCGCAAGTGGATGCTCAACTCGACGAAGAGCTCATACATCTGGTCCAGATCGGCGACGTTCCCATGGGAGTAAAGCATAGTGGAAGTAGCCATGGGATGTCTTATGTACATCGCCACTACCTCCGTCCCCTTTCTCGTTGGCAGCTATAGGATTTTCACGTTTTCCCGGTGCGGGAAAGAGCTCAGCAGCAAAAGACTCGTCATTTCGTCTGCCACCGACTTATGGTGGGTTCGGCGGAAAGAAGGCCAATTTCGACGCCATCGATGAAGTAACCCCTCCCATCTCCCTCTATCTGCACTATGTTCCCCGCCCTCCCCTGTTTCTACCGAACTGAACTTGCTCTGTTTTTTCTTTCCTCCAACGGAGCAGAATTTCTTCACTGTTCATCAAACCGAATGGGTAGGAAGAAAGAAGGAGGAGGAGGAAAAAGGGGAAAGAAACATTCCAAAGGTTTCCAGAAGAACAAACAGACCTTCTTCTTCTTTCTTTTTTGCAGGAAAAGTAAATGCAACAGGGGAAGTTCCTTTTCCCTTTTGTTTATCTGCCTTTACTTTGATGATGTGGACAGGTGACTGGACAGCTGACGGATCAAACTAATAGAATTTTGGATGGAGATGGACGAAATTATCTTTTTGTTATTAGTTGAAACATATGTTACTGAAACGTGAAAAATTAAAGATTTGTGACTCTTTTGTACAAAGTGAATATTTTTGTGACCATTACTACCGTAGCTTAATTTGGCGGGAAATGCGAGACCAATAAACAATTGAGGATTGAAATACTTAAATATAAGAAATAGAATGGATGGAGATGGCCATGCGTTGACTTCCTTGGTCAACGGAGAAGCTGTGGGAATCAAAAAGTTCCAGTTCCTCATTTAAGCATTCTCAGGCAGTGAAGTTCGATCCAAGAGGGCTTCTCTGTTTTTTTTTGTGCATGCAATTGTACTTTTGTCGCCAATTGATCTGACCTGACTCGCTCTGCAACCATGATTCTAGTCTCCGGCATCGTCTCCACCGTCGTCGAGCAACTGGGCTCGATCTTGGTGGAGGAGCTCAAGCAGAGCGCGCGTCTCGTGGTCGGCGCTGACAGAAACGTCCGCAACCTCACCGCAACCTTCAAGCTCATCCAGGCCGTGCTCGCGGATGCGGAGGAGCAGCAGCTGGAGGACAAGGTCACCGAGCTCTGGATCGACGAGCTTCAAATCAAAGCCTACGAGATGGAGGATCTACTCGACGAGTGGTCAACGGCGATCCTCAAACGTCAAATCGAAGGATCGGACAGCCGGGAGGAGGAGCAACTCAGCTCGCTCGAGACTCGCCTTCTCCAGATCTCAGTTTTCTTCAGCAGCGTATGTGATTATCTCCCTACCTCCTGCTTTTCCTTTCGGGAAATCCCCATGCGGTACGATATCTCTAGGAGAATCAAGGATCTGAATGCGGAACTCGATTTCATTGCCGAAGGGAGAAATCGTTATAAAGAGATTGTTCCCACTAGTCAGCCTCAGAAGAAATTTGTTGCGTCTAGGGTGACTAGTCATGTCCTGGATGCAGCAGTTCATGGTAGGGATTTGGAGAAGAGTCAAATCTTGGAGTTTCTAATGGGGGGGAACATTGCAAATCTCAAGATTGCATCTATTGTAGGGATGGGTGGATTGGGGAAGACTACATTTGCTCAGCTTCTGCACAAGGAAATGAAGGGTCATTTTGACAGTAGCATCTGGGTGTGCGTCTCTAATTCATTTGATGAGTTCAAGGTTGCCAATGAGATCCTCGAATCTCTATCGGGTGAGAAACCGGGCTCTTCAAGTTTGTCTGTGATTTTAGGGAAGATAGAAAGAGAGGTTGAGAAGAAGAAGTTCTTTCTTGTTCTGGACGATGTGTGGGAAGACTCGATAGATAGCTGGAGGTCAATAATGGCTTCTCTATCAAGCGGTTTATCTGGAAGCAGAGTCTTGGTGACTACTCGTCGTAATGATGTTGCTAATGCTTTGAGCATGTGTATTGCCAATAATCTTCTGGTGGGTAGCAATGAGTCCTCCCGAACACTGGAACTAAAGGAGTTATCTATGGAGGCTTGTATGGCGGTTTTCAGTCAATGGGCATTCTTCAAATGGGATGAGAAAGAGTGTGGACGGGTAAAAGATATTGCCGATATGATAGTTAGAGAAAAATGTCATGGTTCGCCTCTGGCCGCAAGGATTCTAGGAAGCTTTCTTTCCTCCAAAAAGTCTAGGCCAGAATGGAACAAAGTGTTGCACAGTGGGATATGGGGAGTGGAAAAGCTCAGAACTGATCTCTTTGCACATATGTGGTTAAGCTATTATGATTTATCCCCACAATTGAGACAATGTTTTTCCTACTGTGCAATTTTTCCTCAGGATTTTGTGATTAGAAAAGACACACTGATTAAGTTGTGGATGGCTCAAGGTTATCTTGGATCACCTTCGAAAGAGGAGGACCTGGAATTGATCGGAGATATGTACTTTGAAAGTTTAGCTGCTCGTTCTTTCTTCCAAGACATCAAAAAAAGTAGCATGGTTGATAACATTGTTACATGTCGAATGCATGACTTGGTGCATGATTTTGCTGAATTCGTTTCAAGCGATGAATCTTATGGCAATGATGTTGATGTGATCAAGGAGTCTAAAATGGATACCTTCAGCAAAAGATTGCATCATTTGAGAGTTGTTGTATCCTCCAACGGACAACTTCACTTCCCTTGTTCTCCTGATGCTTTTAAGAGCCTGCGCACCCTTTTGGTTCTTCGTGTAAATTTTTTTCGTGTGAGTAACCTCCCTAATGATCTCGCCAATTTACCAAAGTGTCTACGATCATTAAGCCTAAGTAATTGTGGTGTCAAAGGGTTGCCACCTACTATAAGCAGGCTTGTACAGTTGAGAATGCTAGACTTATCTCATAATTTTGACTTGGAGGAGTTGCCTAATGAGTTATGTGATTTGCTTAATCTACAAACTTTGAATGTAGAGCACTGTCTCTGTTTGAAAAGATGGCCACAATGGATGGAGAAACTAGTCAGCTTGAGACATTTAATTAATGTTGGCGGAAGAGGGTCCATTCCTAGAGGGATCGGTAGGCTCACAGGGCTTAGAACATTGTCAGAGCTGAGACTGGGCGAAAATGGTGTTACACCTTCTCTTAGAGATCTGCAGAACTTCAACCACCTCTCTGGAAACTTACTCATATCGGGATTGGGAGAATCATCGGAGCATGCAAAGGATGCCGAGCATGCCCAACTGGAGAGTAAAAAGCACATCACCAATCTGTCGTTGGCATTCAAAGAAGATGACCTACCGTCAAAGCAGATGATAGCTGAGCATCAAAAGATGGTTGAAGCACTGAAACCATCAATGAATCTGGAAGTTTTAGCCATTCGACACTATCTAGGCAAAGTGAGTCCTAGCTGGCTGCCATTGCTAATCAATCTGACCAGGCTTACACTCTATGATTTTACAGAGTGCTTGCAATTGCCCCCTCTGTGGAAGTTGCCATACCTTGAGTATCTCGAACTAGATGGCTTTCGTGGAGTGGACGTTGATTTTTTCGGGAGAAGGGAAATTGGTAGTGACAAGATTGTTGCATTCCCTAGTCTAGTAGAACTGAAGATTACGTCGTTCAAATACTGGTATCAGTGGGAGTATACCAAGGAAGAAACGACTAGATATGCAGAGATCTTGCCTTGCCTTCGCAATCTGTACATAGGATTCTGCGATGATTTGGAGAAGCTTCCGGACCAACTTATCCAGAAGCCAACGCTGCAGACGCTAAAACTCACATATTGCTACCACCTTTGTTCTTTGTATCAACTGGGCGGAGAAGAACGCCACAAAGTTGCTCACATTCCTGCAGTCGTTATTGGTAATTTCCTTTGAACTTCTTTTTTATCGTCGTAATGATCAATATCACAAGAAACTAATATTATTCTGAATGATGATATGGACAGATAAAAACGAGTGCATTTGCGGCAAAGCACTCCCATTCAGTGAGTTTGTTCTTTCAACCTTCAAAATCTTTTTTTTCTTTCGTAATGGGGTTTATAACTTGAATGTTTCTGATTACCAGACGAGCTCTGCGATTGTTCATCCTTTGATTACATGATGGATGGAATGTCCTACGACTGAACAACAGGTAAATTTCAGCGGCACTTTCTCCTTTCACTACTTAATTAATAGTATGCAAATCCTGCCGGTTCCAGTTTCTTACCATACAAACAAAGGGAAAAGGCTTATGTCTCAGACCAATCTATTTATCCACCATCTAGTTTTGGTGAAAATATTAGGAATTTAAATAAATTTTAGCAATCACAAAATAGTTAGTGCTCGATGGGATAAAGTGGTACCAGTTAGTCGAGTTCTATGAGATTGTGTAAATAAAATAAACCGGTTTATGATATATAATATTGATTGATGCGTGTGAAAAACTAAGTTATGTGTTTGAATGTAAGTGAACTTACAAATGGTATAGATAGTAAGTGAACATGATCCATTAATAAAATTGTGTGAAAACCACTTTGGCCAAATCGATAGGGAGGTTAGGAATCATTTCGACAAGCAAATTTGGGTGTGTTTCTCTGATCCCTTTGACGAGCTGCGGATTGCCAAAGCAATCCTTGGATCTCTTTTTGGGGGAAGAAGCCGGAGCTAGATGAGCCATCAGCTAGGTTGGAGGAGATATATAGTATTGTTAGTCAATTAACGTACTTGTTGGTTTTGGATGATGTGTGGGAAGCAGATTTCAGTATGCGGGAAGAACTACTGGGCTCACTGGGTGGTGGAAAAGCAGGGAGCAGAATTTTGGCGACTGCCCGTAAGCTGCTGCTTTGCTTTGCTCTTCTGAGGCTCACATGTTTCAGTTGCGGCCATTGTCATAGGAGGCTTGTTGTTCAGTATTTGAGCAACACGCTTTTCTGGGATATGATGGGAAACATCATCCTTAGGTTGAAGAGCTTGGTAAGGAAATAGTGAGACAGAAGTGTGGTGGGTTTGCCTCTTACAGCGAAAAATCTAGGATGCTTTATGTGTCCTAAAGAAATCCAGACAGCATCAACTGTGGGACTCTGCCTCTCCGCGCGCGAGGGAAATTGATGTCGCTCGAGCTGCGTGTGATTTGCCTGTGAAGAAGGTGGGGCTCGAGTTCTTGGGAGGCAGTGTTGCTGATGCTGCATTTCCCAAGCTGGTAGAGCTCCAGTTTTCTCTGGACTACTTGTTAATTGTCTAGGGTTTCCACTACCCTATATCCAGTGTGACAATTAGTTCATGTTCTTTTGTCATAATGATGATCACTATTATGTGAAGTGATGATTATGTATAGTAAGCAACTCCTGCTGATTCGCCATTTCTGCAGTTGAAGATAATGAACGAAGGTGTCACATCGCTCTACCAGAAACTTTTTTATTTTTGTCCAGATAGGTTTTGCTTCTTCATTAATCTATCATCATCAATTGCACGATTTGTTTGTTTCCTCATACAAAATCGAGATTATTAGAATATTACAACGACAGCGACACCCCCACTATCCTCTAATCTAATATGTCGACTATCCTTAAGGCGGCCGGCCAGCTTTTGTTTCCATGGATAGAAATCATAAGAGCTGGATTGACAACAACGTTAAGAATTGGTAGATGCAACAGTCGTGAAAAAACTTTTAATACAAATTGAATACAAACCGAATTCGTACCATAGTACATATTCGTTGACGAAATAAATTGATCTATACTTATAACGTTACGTTACAAATTCAATTTGTATCTCAAAGAGTACCAATTATTTAGAGTGCAGTAGATGACTAATAACGACTAACTAATGAAATAATTTTGCATAATTTGTATGAAGCACATATTTGGTGACCTAATTAATAGTTGGTCAAATTCTAGTTAATGCGACTTTATGTATCATATGGCATGTTATTTATTTGCAAGCATGGTATCATAGTGGGAGACCTCAATGTAGGCCCTAAGTCCTACTACTGCACCTCAACAGTTGGATATTAAACTTTTTTTAATTAATTAATTAATATTATTTAAGTATAATAATAATCTGTAAACAGATAGGATAATAGGAACATAGTCATAGACAGCCGTCTGAGATAACCAAATTTTTGTTGGAATTTTTTTTGGCCAGAAATGACAAGTCTGGACCTGCAAGTTGTCTATCAGAGTTCATATTCATCTTATTATATTATTGTGATTTGCAGCTAATTATTAGACACAACAGCTTCCATATGATCAAAGATATTCTTAAAAAAGAATACTTGATCTTTCTTACATTTTATCTGTCAGATAAGATTCCAAATATATCCTGCTATCAGGAAAAATAAATTTCTCACAGAAATATAGTTAATATTTTTTTGTCTTTTCGTTCGGGTTATTTCAAAATTAAGAAGGTGAAACCACGCGTTTTTACGTGTTTAATTGATTAAAATTAGAAAAGAGGATTATAATTTCGATTTATTAATAAGATAGAATATTGCACATACATAGTTTCGAATATTCACAATCAATCAACTTTCATTGTAAAACTAATGTTGTTAACTAAGAATTTTCACAAACCAACCAGTACCAATAACTCGAGTTATTTAAAAAAAATGAAGGTAATTGTGATATAGTATTATTAAAGATATTAGAATAAAGTACATGTGAATTATATATACAATAGGCCGTCACAACTCCTGCATATTTTCTCAGTTAAGTGTCTAACAAGTGCATTCATTCAAATACTTGTTGTGAATGCACCTTCTAACAAGACTTTGTTGTGAGAAGGTTAATTGTGAACCATATACTGCTCTTACACGCTCCTTTCAAATTAAAATCATGGGTTTGAAGTTTGTGCACTGCAGGCTCACCATACCATGTACTTTAATCAACTATTAATATTGGGGGACCGTAGACTGTAGAGCTAGATTTGAGCACACGACCACTTGGCCAAACCAGCCTCGATATCATGCAAAAAAAAACTATTAAGTCCAAAAAACTCGAATTATATTATTGAGAGAGGTTCCATTATAGATCTTATACCATTTATTAACATGCTCCATCAAACGAAAGCTACAAGATCCAAATGCAATGACTCGTATCGGCAGGCACACGATTAGCTTTATATTCTTTGTTTTGTTTATGTTTAGTTGCCTGATCTCCTCGATCTCCTTGGTTCGTTTTCTTGTTTCTAGTCGTGATGTTTGGTAGTCAACTGGTGGGACTATATATATATATGCTCTGGACCAAATATTAATTACCACAAGACTCAAGACTTTAATCTTTTGCACGCCACCACTTTGATTGATTTCAAGATTGCATTGGGTATATGGTTATGACTTGTGCACGATGGAGTTTAGTGTTGTTGGGTTGTCAATGTTTCCGAGATGCGCGGTATGGATTTTCCAAGCATTAAAGATCGAGGCTGGCTGGTTTGGTTGCAATGTTGTACCTGATTCGATAAATTGGAGTCAGTTCGTCAAATTTAGAGTTAATGTTAAAACAAAAATTATAGCATAAAAGCGAAATCATGCGTAAAAGTCAAGGTACAGAAGTGAAAGGTTTTAAAACATTTTTTAGATTTGATAGCAATCTAACTATCGAAGAGAAAAGGTTATAAACATTAGGATATGAGTTTTGAAGGAAGAGAAAAGAGGGGAATTGAGATTGGGGGAACACACCAAAGAATTTGAAGGAAAGCAATTTGGGATATTAGTTCTGCTGCATCAGTATCTTCAGCAATACCAAGAATGGGTGAGACTTCCGGTGGACCCGGCTCTAGGTTTGCAGACTCCTTTCTCTCTTCCGGGTCCGATCGCTATGGTTCAGTCGGTTACCTGTATGTGGGATGATGCAACCAAGCCTGGGTCACATGCGGCGGGAGGGATCGTCCTTAAGGATCTCGCAGGGAATATCATGTTAGCTCGTGGTGTGCAGTTTCCGGGTCTTGATAGCCCTTTGGTGGCTGAGGCACTGACTCTTCGGGAAGCAGTGACATGGTGTCTTGAGTTGGGCTTTCATGTGGTTTGTTTCCAAGGGGACGCTCAGAGTATCATTGACAAGGTGACTAAGAGGGATGTGCATGATGTTCAGATTGGGGCAATTCTGGAAGAGATAGTTGGGGTGTTTGCAAATCATAGTGCGCTTCAAGTTCGTTTTGCAGGTCGGAGTAACAATAGGGTAACCCATTCGGTGGCTAGAAATGCCCTTGTTTTGTTTCCGGCTACTAGTTGTTGTTATGATTTCCAGACTTGGCTGACATCCAAGATGTAATATCTTTTGATCCAATCAATTTACATGATTATCTTTTGTAAAAAAAAAAAAGAACACACCAAAGAAAAATACTATATCAAATTTTAAAAAAAAAAAAATTCAAAGTGCAGTTAACCGCAATCACACTGATTTATTAAGAAACCCCACAGTTGCAAGCTCTTCGAGGTAGTCAAGTTGACTAGTTAGTGGCATCAATGCTCCATTTCTTTCTCCACGTTCCATCGACAAACTGCTCCTGTTTACTACCCATTTATGATTTAACCAATATCCCAAGTAGCAATTAATTACTTACTTTCCTCACCACTTGTCATGGCGTTAATCACATAATTAATCTCCATAATCTCAGAAGCTGATTCTTGTTCTTCCCCCACCACCAACTTACTAATTTTTTAATTTAGCTACAGCTACAATTAATGTCCCTTAATTAATTACTTTGTCTCCACAAAGTTTCAAAATATGTCAACATTAGGTAGGTCCACGCGTCGCCCTGTTTTGGGAAAATGCATGCCTCTCTCTGGCTACCTTGTTCGAAGGAAACGTGTGATTTGCTTCACAAACGATAATGGGGAAAACACCATTTCCCACTAATAAAAACAATTAATTTCTAAAAGAGGAATACATTCTTGAAGCAGTTTATTTATTATATTTGACATGCTACTGAAAAATAGTTAAGCTGGACATCATATGAAAATACAAAAAGTTGTTCAAGAATTGTTCAAAGAGTAAGAATCTATGTGTTTTCTTATAACTTAAAAAAGAATTGCAATGGATTAGCAAAGTTGCTACCTAAATTGTTAAAATTGGTATGGGTATATTGCTATATACACTAAGTTAAAGGGTAATATGAGTATAACGAGATGTATCCAAAACAGAAGGTTATCCTATTTTTTTTTTTTCGTGAGGATCTATAAGTACATGTTATCCTAATTTTTCTTTTAGGAGGATTAACTTTTTGATCTTTTAATGCGTTGATAAATAAATTATCCTTACTCATACACCATGAACCATCTAAAAAGAGTGGTTTGGTAAAATGTTGTATCTTGGTGGTTTAATTTCCCAAAATACTGCCTTATAGTCTGACCCGTCGTGTTAGATATGATTATAAAAATAGACAAACCGAATCGAGGAGAACTTGCTACTTATCCTCTTCTCATACTCTACAAAGCAACTCATGAGCCTAAAATCTCATTGTTTGTAACTATATATTCATGTACAACAAAGGCAAAATAAAATGCCGTGTATTGACATGCCGTGTCTTGATATGCCATACTAAGCGAGGAACGGGGTGAAAGGAGTTGGATTGCATCATCTTTACCCTTAATGATAGATTCCACTACTCCAAAAGATAAGGAGGATGGCCTCAACGTTAAGTATGTTTGGAGAGAACGTTGTAACAAATTGTTCATAACTCCTTGAGGAACTCTTACTCTTGCCTTGATTTTCCCGTATCATTAGAGTTGCATCCCAACTTAGACTAATTCAAAACTAATATTAGGTTCTCTTAATAAGAATCATTGACATTGGAACAACTAGTAAACAAGGCGTCCCATACAAAAATGAAGAGTATTTCATTATTTCCATCAAACTATAAATTGTTTTTGGATCACTTTCACTTCTCACAATTTTTTGGACACTTCCATTTCACATTAGAAATCATGGTTGAAAACGACATGGTGTTTGCAGTCCAGATCGACAAATGGTGTCGTATGAGGAAAATGATGAATATTATTTCCTAAATTGTTTTTTTCGCACAAAATAAAATGTCGAGAAGAACAAATCTTTGCATACAACAATATGTATAATATAATTCCAAGAAGGAGAAGGTATACCGGAAATTCCTGGCATTGTTTTTCTGAACATGGAGGTTGTAGAGAGAGACAGAAGGGATGAGAAGAAAGAAAAGGGCATAGAGGTAGAGAGAGACTAAAACCTTTCTGTTCTTTCTCCTTTAATTTTCTTCTCTTTCTCTCTCAAAAGAGTAACAAAAGAAAATTTAAGATGTCCTTCATTCTCGTTTGAAATTTCCTCTTCTTCTCTGTCCTCCCTCTCCTGTTTATCCAATCCCAAGGCTCTCTTCCTCTTCTTGCTGGGGAGGACTTTCGGTTCTTCATTCCCTTTTTTCTCCCCCTCCAAATCTTAGATCCGCGAAGTCCTCTCTTCCCCGTCTTTTTCCTTCCCGAGCTGCAATAATGGCGGGTTGTTAAATTCTGGGTTCGACGAGGACTGAGAATAATCCGCATTTTGCAGGTAACCCATCTCGAATTTCTGCTGAAATTTCGCTCTTTTTCCGCTTTTCTTATTCTGGGTTCCTCTGTTTTTTCCACCCTTGTTACAATTTCTGAGCTGCGAATGGATGCAGAGAAGATTTGTTGTTTGAGAAATTTAAGGTCAATGTTGGAATTGGTTTTTCGTGTCTAGGGAGGAAGCCAGCTAAGAATTCCTGCGTATGAATTCGATTCTTGAGTTCCTGACTCGTGCATATGAATGCAGAGAAGACTTTTTGGTTTTATTTTCCTCGTTGGATTTTTGCCCCCGGTTCGTTGTCCGTTTCCCTTTTTTGTTCTGATGGTTCTAGATCGTGGGAAGTCTTTGTTTATGGAAGGTTTTGTTCTGATGGCTTAGACTTTGGAATGTGATCCCTTGTTTAGTTTTCAATCCTTTGTATGCCCAACTGTTATGCTGCTGGAATTTGATAAAATGCATCTTCTTTGTGCCATTTGCCCCTTTCATGCCATTCATTAATTTTGCTTCCCTTTGGTTTCATGCTGGTCTGATCAGCCATAAGCAGATGACATATTTTGCAGAAGGGACAACTGGAAAGTTGTATCTGCTTGGAAGCAAAGTGTAGGATTTGCTAAAAGTTGGTGGTGATATTTCCAGAGCAGCACGATTGAATCTATCCTTTTAGATTGAGTTTGGAGAGAGATGGGGCGGAGTAGGATAAGGGCTAAGATTCGACGCAGCCATCTTCATCCATTTTCATGTCTAAGGCCAAGCACAAAGGAAGGGCAGGAGCCACATTCACTGGAAGGCCCCGGTTTCTCCAGAATTGTCTATTGCAATGAACCCATAAAGCATAGGAAAAAACCCTTGAAATACTGTTCAAACTATATCTCCACAACCAAGTACAATGTCATTACATTTCTACCGAAGGCTTTGTTTGAACAGTTTCGTCGGGTTGCCAACATCTACTTCCTCTTGGCGGCCATCCTTTCGCTAACCCCAGTAACTCCATTCTCAGCCGTGAGCATGATCTTCCCTTTAGCTGTTGTCGTTGGTATTAGTATGGCCAAGGAAGCATTGGAAGACTGGGGGAGGTTTATGCAGGACATGAAGGTTAATACGCGAAAAACTTACGTTCATCAGGGAGAGGGTGAGTTTGGCTACAGGGCTTGGGAAAAGATTCAAGTAGGTGACATAATCAAGGTAGAGAAGGATCAGTTCTTCCCTGCTGATTTACTTCTGTTGTCCACGAGTTATGAGGATGGAATTTGTTATGTTGAGACTATGAACCTCGATGGGGAGACTAATTTGAAGATCAAACGAGCTCTCGAGGTAACATTGTCTCTAGATGATGATGACACTTTCAAGAACTTTTCAGGGATGATAAAATGTGAAGATCCAAATCCAAGCCTCTACACATTTGTTGGTAACTTTGAGTATGATCGTCAGGTTTATCCTCTCGATCCTAGTCAAATACTCCTCAGAGATTCGAAGCTTAGGAACACGGGTTTTATATATGGAGTTGTTGTGTTCACTGGCTTTGATAGCAAAGTCATGCAGAATTCGACTAAATCACCTTCCAAAAGGAGCAGAGTGGAAAGGAAAATGGACAAAATCATATACATTCTCTTCAGCTTCCTTATCCTGATTTCATTGATTAGCTCAATCGGCTTTGCAGTCAAGATAAAGTACCAAATGCCAGATTGGTGGTATATGCAGCCATGGAATCCTCAAGATCTGTACAATCCTAATAATCCTTCGAAATCCGGGTTGGCTCATTTGATCACAGCTCTCATCCTTTATGGTTATTTAATCCCCATCTCTCTTTATGTTTCCATTGAGGTTGTGAAAGTTTGTCAAGCGATGTTTATTGACCAAGACATACATATGTATGATGAAGAAACTGGTAATACTGCTCGAGCAAGGACATCAAATTTGAATGAAGAGTTGGGTCAGGTTGACACTATCCTTTCAGATAAAACGGGTACCTTGACATGCAATCAAATGGATTTTCTGAAGTGTTCCATTGCTGGTAATCCATATGGCGTGAAATCCAGCGAGGTGGAACTTGCTGCAGCAAAACAGATGGCTATTGACCTTGAGGATCGGGATGGAGAACTTTCTACTGGTTCCAGGAGCAATACTGGTACAAGAACCTCTTGGGAAAGGTCTGGAGATCCAGAGATTGAACTGGAGACTGTCATTACTGCTAGAGATGAGAAGGACCACAAACCGGCTATAAAAGGGTTTAGCTTCGAGGATAGCCGACTTATGGATGGGAACTGGTTGAATGAGCCCAGTCCTGATGTCCTTTTGTTGTTCTTCCGGATATTGGCGATCTGTCATACTGCGGTTCCTGAACTGAATGAAGAAACTGGAACTTATACATATGAAGCTGAGTCACCTGATGAAGCAGCATTTCTCGTTGCAGCAAGAGAATTTGGTTTTGAGTTCTTTAAAAGGACACAATCCAGTGTATCTGTTCGCGAGAGAATGCGTCCAGGACAAGTGGTTGAAAGGTGAGGATTCTTCTTTTTTTCGTTTTAGCATTTGGCTTGCGTGATAATGTCAGTTCCTAATTTTCTTTAGTGTCTGTTTTGGATTACTGCAGAGAGTATAAAATTCTGAATCTGCTGGAATTCACAAGCAAGAGAAAAAGGATGTCGGTAATTGTGCAGGATGAGGATGGGCAGATTCTAGTCCTTTGCAAAGGCGCTGACAGGTCAGATCTCTGAGGAACCCTTTCATTCAGTTGCTAAAAGGAATCATCTTTTGCAAAATTAATGAATTGTTGACCATTACAGTATAGTTTTTGATCGGCTGTCAAAGAATGGACGAACATTCGAGGAATCCACCACGAAGCATCTGAATGATTATGGAGAAGCTGGATTACGTACCCTCGTCCTTGCTTACAAAAAGCTCAACGAGGCGGACTACAATGTGTGGAACAATGAATTCGTCAAAGCCAAGACTTCAATTGGTGCTGACAGAGAAGTGATGCTCGAGCAAGTAGCAGACATGATGGAAAAAGATTTCATTCTTGTGGGCGCGACAGCTGTCGAGGATAAGTTGCAAAAAGGGGTACATAACTATCGTCCATCTAATTAATTAATTAATATGGAAGTGGTAACCTTCTCTGTTTCCTTGCACTTACTTTCAGTTCTATTATTATCTCTCTTTATAGGTGCCACAATGCATAGATAAACTCGCACAGGCTGGTCTAAAGATTTGGGTTTTGACAGGAGATAAGATGGAAACTGCAATCAACATAGGGTATGTATCTTTAACTATAATGTTATGTATCTTGTTTTGACTTGCAATAGTTATAACTCAGCTTTGCCTGCTGCAGATTTGCTTGTAGTTTGCTTCGACAAGGGATGAAGCAGATTGTTATATCATCGATGAATTCGGATAACTTAGCCCAAGACTCTAATCAGGTATCTCATGATTGAACAAAAGAGGTGCAAAATTTCTGCGTGTTGGAGTGTTGATTGACAGCCGTTCATTTTTGTCTCTCCCCAGGCTGTGAAGGATAATATATTGAACCAACTTACCAATGCCTCTCAATCGATCAAGCTCGAGAAAGATCCACATGCTGCATTTGCATTAATCATCGATGGAAAGACACTAACTTATGCTTTGGAGGATGATATGAAGCACGTGTTCTTGGCTTTAGCTGTTGACTGTGCATCCGTGATATGCTGTCGTGTTTCGCCAAAGCAGAAGGCATTGGTATGGTAATTCTATCCATCTCCTGCTCTATTATTGTTGAAGTTACTCATCTCTATTCTTTTTCTTATCTAACCATTCTTGTGATTCCAGGTAACACGGTTAGTAAAAGAAGGCACAGGAAGAACAACCTTGGCAATTGGTGATGGGGCAAATGATGTTGGAATGATTCAAGAAGCCGACATTGGTGTCGGAATCAGTGGGGTTGAAGGCATGCAAGTGAGTAATGCATCATAGAAATTGATTCTGTGTTTCAATATAGAGCATACCTTTCATTCATACTTTTGAATTGGCATTATTATGCAGCATGCTCAAAAGTAATCTGATGTATATTTGAGCAGATTTAATGACGCAAATGCTTAGTTTTAAATTCCAGTGGAAAAGACCGTGTCTTGTATGATCTTGCTTCTAAATTTCAAGTGGCCTCACTGAATCCTTGAAATTAACTTTTACAGGCTGTGATGGCGAGTGATTTCTCAATTTCACAATTCCGGTTCTTGGAAAGACTTCTAGTAGTCCATGGACACTGGTGCTACAAGAGAATAGCTCAGATGGTGAATAAACCAAGTCACCTTTCCTTCTATCTTGCGCCACAAGTTGTATTTTTTTCTTTTTTCCTGAATTTTAACCGGTATCTGTCCTGCTATCAGATCTGCTATTTCTTCTACAAGAACATTGCTTTTGGTCTCACTCTCTTCTACTTCGAGGCATTCACCGCCTTCTCTGGGCAATCGATCTACGACGACTGGTACATGATTCTGTTCAATGTCCTCCTCACCTCATTGCCAGTCATCTCACTCGGAGTCTTTGAACAAGATGTTCCTTCAGAAGTCTGCTTACAGGTACATGCTTCTTCCCATCCAGTCCTTCGCAATATAATTTTGTCACCGATTTCCACAATGACATCTATTGATCATTGCAACGCGTGATTGAACTCTTATGTATTGTGCAGTTTCCCGCATTATATCAACAAGGCCCGAAGAACCTGTTCTTCGACTGGTACAGGATACTGGGCTGGATGGGGAATGGTCTATACTCCTCCCTCGCCATCTACTTCCTCAACATCCTCATCCTCTCCAACCAAGCATTCCGAACCAGCGGACAGACTGCTGACATGGCAGCAGTGGGGACCACGATGTTCTCTTGCATCATCTGTGCCGTGAACTGTCAGATCGCCCTCACAATGAGTCACTTCACCTGGATCCAGCATGTCTTAGTATGGGGCAGCATTGCAACGTGGTTCCTGTTCCTATTTGTATATGGGATGGTGCCTCCAGCCCATTCAGGAAATGCATACCAAATCCTTGTGGAAGTTCTTGGTCCAGCGCCACTCTACTGGTGTGCGATCTTGTTGGTGACAATCACCTGCAACCTTCCTTACTTAGCTCACATTTCGTTCCAAAGGTGCTTCAATCCCATGGATCATCACATTATTCAAGAGATTAAGTACTACAAGAAGGATGTTGAGGATCAACATATGTGGAGAAGGGAAAGGTCAAAGGCTAGGCAAGAAACCAAGATCGGGTTCTCGGCTAGGGTTGATGCAAAGATCAGGCATTTAAAAGGTAGACTGCAGAAGAAGAACACTTTAGCAGTGCACAGTAATAGGCCTTCACAATCTTGATTAAGGGTTTGCGGTGAATCGATCTTTGGGGTTACATTCTTTCCCCTCTTAACCCTTTTTTCGGTTGGTAAAGTTTTTTCTTACTTAGGGATTATTCTTTGGCCATTAGCACAATTTTCCTGGTTCCTTCTTCATGAGGCCTCCCCTTCCTTGTTGAGAATCTGTGTGTCTCGCAAAATTTTCTTTCGGTTTTGAGCTAGTGGAAAGGAAGTAGGGAGGGAAAAAGGAAAGAGGAAAATGTGAAGAGAAAAACTGGTTTGGGTTCTGTGTATGTAAGTTCTCTGCTTATTGAAGAGCGAGAAAGTGGACCAAGTTAACAGCTTGTGAATGTGAAGAAAATAGTTGAAATCTAACTTTTTTACGGCAGCAGTAGCACCATTGTTCTTGTTTTTTACACTTCTTTCTGGTTGCCCACCTGTGTGTATTTTACTTGTAGTATTCTACTGTAATATATTAGGTCACACAAATGCCTTCATGATAGAAACTCAGGAGGTCGAGTTTTCTATCTGTGTCTCGAAATGGAGGGGTGGCGGATCACCAATGGGGTGATCAACCCTTCCTGTCGAAAATGGAAGGAAGTGAGAGGTTTAGGAAGAGAAGGGAGGGGAAGAAGAAGTGCAGCGGCGACTGCAGTAAAGGGAAGAAGGAGAACTCGGAAGAGGTAGAGAGAAGAGAGGGAATTAGGGAAAATAAATTATTCTTGATTTTTTGACTAATTATCATCCATTTACAATATAATTTTTTTTTTGTCCATTGTGAAACGCTCTGATGTAAAGTTAGCAGTGTTTATGCTTGATATTATTAAAGATGTTTACAGAGATTGTTAACAAATTTTTACTAATTAATTGCTAGTTACCTATGAATCAATGTCCAATATTTAAATCATCAACGTTTATTGGTCCATTGTTATCAAACAAAGGTAACGTTATCAACCTTTTTGCTATGAATTATCAACTATATAAAAAGATTTTATCACAATTTTCAAAATATGTTTTTGTAGTTTGTAAATGGTTTCAGGCCCATTTTTAACAATTTGTTGTAATGCTATCAACGATGTAATGTAAGTATTAGGCCCATAATTAACAATCTAATGTAATCTTATCAACATTTAAGCTATGTATCATTAACAACATAAAATCATTATTAATTTTAAAAAATAATTTTTGTTACTTGCGAAAAAATTGATTATTACTATATTTTCTGATATTGTCAACGTTATTAGGTATATTAGCTTGTCGTGTTCATGTTAGGAAGACTTCGAATAATCATTATTAATTTCAGATGTTAATAACCCACTCGGTTTTATTAACAAATATGACAAGCCCAATTGGATTAATAACACTCATGGTCATCAATATTTTTTAACATCATTTTGTGTTATCATTGTTAACGGAAACGTTGCATTCTTCAATGAAAATATATCGCTTGTCAACTGGATTATGATGACATTAAATAGAATCGTCCACACGAATACCAACAAGTATTAATAACTACAAGGTCGCCGATTGACGATAATCACAACTTTCGTTAGTATCATCAAACATCAGTAATATCGTTCAAAATTACTTATTAATATTCCAACCACTTTTTATTAACAACATTGACAAAACCGTTAATAACATGTTGTTACAGACAAACATTGATAATTGGGCTACAAAAAAGGAGCCACTGATAAAACATTATCTCAACTCTCGTTAATAACATAAAATAGTACAAATGCCTAATGTAATTACTTGCATAATTACTCTACTCCTTAATAAACCGGCCATTTTTTCATAAAAAAATGGAAAAGACCGGTAATAACATATTGGATTTTAACGATGTTAATACTGCAGTCTAATTTTGTTAATAACATTCATGTTTATTATTAATTATGTCAATGTCCTTTTGTTTCACGCTTATTTGGACGATGAGAGAGGTGAGTGTTTGAAATGGAAAATGGTGGGCGGCTTTTAGGGGAACTAGCGTGTGCCCCGGCCAGTTGGCCGGAGGAAGGTGAGGTATGAAATTTGATAATGTAATGGTGTGTATAGCTTATTGTTGTATAGTTTTTTTTTTGGAAACACGTGATAAAAATAGTAAATTTTAGCAGGAAAGAGACATGAACGATGCAACGAATCAAAAATCGGCCTTATGAACCAAAATCAAGTACATGTTACCTTGTGAAACAATATTATTTCTGGTAATATGATGAGGTGGAGTAAGTTTTATAGAAACCGAATTCCAGAAAATCGAATAAAAAATCGCATATCCCGTCGGTTTTCGGGAAATGAGCATCTCACAATCGTTGCTAGCTTTTACTCGGCCCGTTGGCCGATTAATTTGCTTTATAAACCTTTCATCTTGTCGTCATTGTGCTTTCCGGTTTTTGTCAGGCTATGATAAAATCTCAGGAAATCAAGAACGAACAACACGATTTGGGATAGGAACCGTCGTTGTCGTATCCCTAGAAAATGGTGGTAAACACGGACTCACCTTCCAAACTGGTTTGGATTGAGATTTTTATCGGGTATCAGGGAACCATGTGATTATAAATTAGACTTGATCAAAACGGGCCAAAACTTGAAATTCAGCCTGTTTGACCGACTCATGCCAAATTCTAATTATTCTTTACTTTTAAACTTTCTATTTGAAAATAAAAAATAGTGAAAGAAAAGAGATGACTGCAATTCACCATTTGCACATCACTTATTCGGGAATAAAATCATAGAAATTCAAAAGGAACGGAAAATGTTTAGGATCGTTTTAATCTTTAAAATAACCAAATAGATCTTTCTGTTTAGTTTTTTACTAACAAATACCAAACGATTCCCTATAAAATACACTATAATTTGATCATTATGATATCAAATAATTATATAATATATATTGGAAATGATAAAAATTGGACTAATTGGGTTGGTCGAGGTTGAACCATTGAATAACTTTAAAATACATTATATTTTAGCCACTAAGATATTAAATAATAGCATGATATATATTATGCCAGAGAAAATAGCTTGTTTTAGAATGGCAAACCAATAATTTTTTTTATGAGGATGATGAACTTTTATTAAATAAGAGAAAGGAAAAGGTACAAAGATGGGATCATTAGTTCACAAGCAGTGAAAGTGATCGGTAATAAGAGAATGACAAACCAATGATGTTCATTTGTTTTACTTAATGGTCAAATCCCGTGTAGGTCAGACCCATTCAACTCTTTTATTTTATGGTTAGCGATTAGCCCATTGGATACCATGCATTAGTTTATTGTTAAATTTTTTATTTTTAGCAATAAAAAGGAGTATTGTTTTTGCCTTTTCGTATATATTTTATCACCACGGAGAAATAAAAGAGTTTAAAGAAAAAAATTGACACTCCTAGACTCGTTTAAATCCGCATGTGTACGGTAGTTGGCCCGTTCCACAGAGGCAATTATTATTATTAACAACATTAAATAATTAATTAAACTACTGCATTTGCCCTTTTAGTTAGTTATTTTCCTCCTATCTCTCTCCTCTCCTTATTGGCCAGCAAAACCTTAAGGAACTCCTTAAGTTTTGGGCTTAAGTATGGGATCCAACCCGTTAATCCCTCAGATAACTCTCCATAATTCCCAATCAAGCATAAAACAATCATAAACCGACAAAATAGTTCAATTCGCAAAAGATAGAAATGCAGGTTTCTATCATCCATGCCTCCTTCGAAACGGCCTTGTCCTCAAGGGCGACGGTCGACCTTCAGTTCTTCATCCACATACTCTGCAGCCTCATCCTATGCCTCGTCCTCCCAGCGTCCTACCAGCATCATCAGGTCCGGCTTCGCACACTTGTGTTCAATCGTGAACCGCTCAACACAATGGAAGCACTTGCCTTCCCGTCTCTTATGCTCGGTCTCAGCGGGGCTTAACCAGACGAACCCCTTGGAGGTGCTCGCAGTCCCAGCCGTGCCATGACAGGCGTCGTTGCTGTCGTCGTGCACGCCTTGCTGCCTGAACCGGCGGATGAACCCCCGCCACTGCCACCCTGTTGCTGCCTCCGCCGCTAGCCTTCGGGAATCAGCCTATGACGTTCCTCCAGCTTGCTAACTCCTCTTCCTTGTTCCCTGCAAGGCCAAAAGCAGTTCTCAAAGAGTCTAGCTCAAAGATCTTAACCTCGACTGCAATCTCTGGCTTAAGACCCGCCATTCACAGCCCCACCAGGGTCTCCTCCGGTACTCCTTTTGATATGATCCCAAATAGGCCACTCTACAAGTTGGAGTTACTTGACGAAGAAGCAAGCTCAAGCTGCCTGAAGAGCATTCATTTTTGTCAGTGTCATTTTTCGTGTTCAAGTAGCCGATTTTGGAGTCACGTTTCTCTCAATTGGATCAATGGAAATTCAAGTTTAATGGCTTGTATTGAACATGGAGTGATTATCTACACCTTGGTATGCTTGGTTTCTCAAGAAGAAGTGATTAAGATTGTTTTCCAAAGTCTCAAAGTTGCTACCTCAAAACTGGAAAACTGCCAAAATTTGGTTAAGGCAGAAACTGTGTTCAAGAAGCCTACTTTGGAGCTCCATTCCAGAAGCATGGATGAGATTCGAGTCCAGAAGCTTACACCACATGAAAGTAGGTATGTTCTACTACAAAGACATGGCATTGGATGATTGGAAGCTTACATGGAAGGCTTTGATCGAGAGGCACAAAGATGGCATCAAAGCTGTTTTGTTACTTGGAGCTAAAGGCAGATTTTCTTTTCTTGTTTAGTTAGGATTTCATTGTTTTGGTAGTTTTTGATTCCTTTTCGTATTAGACTGTAATTAGGAGTTTATGGGACGTGTGTAACCCTAGCTAGGCCTATTTAAGCTTTCTATTTCGTTGTAAAACTCACACTTTGTTGAATAGAAATCAAAACCGTTTGGTTTGTACAAGTTGCAACTTGTTTTAGGTTTGGTGGATTCCAAATAGGGATGGCAATTACCCACCCATGGGTAATTTTACCCAAATCCAAATAAATCCATTTAGTATGGGTAGGGTTTGGATGAAGTGTATATGGGTTTGGGGGTTTGTAGATGGGTTTGGGTTAGGTATGGATATTGGTTTCATAATGCAAATGGGTATGGGTTGGATATGGATATCCATTTACTTGAGGGTGTTTTAACTACAAACTCAAAAATTGGACCTATTTGTAAAACTTGAAAAGTTTAGGTACCAAAATGTAAGACCAAAAAAATTTAGGTACCAAAACGTAATTTTCCATCGATATTTTGAGGACTTATATGTAAAAAAATTAAATTTAGGTACTAAATCTGCATATCTATTAAGTTTAGGTACCAAACTGTAATTTGCCTTTGGGCATGGGTACAAACCCAAATCCATGTGTTAAAAATCCAACCCAACCCAAGTAAATGGGTATGGGTACAAACCCATCAAACTCTACCCATCTACCATTTATTTGGAATCCATACCCAACCCAATTGGGTTGGATAGTAAAATACCCATGGGTATGGGCAAAATTGCCATCCCTAATTCCAAACTTGCTGAGCTTGTGTATCGATTGAATAGTCACTTCAATCGTGGTCGAGCAACTACCCTTTTATACCAATCGAGCTATCCCCAGGTGTGGATTTGTCCTTTTGGTTCCGTTTTATCCATGTTCGTTTTAAGAACGTTTCGTTCTTGATTCAATCAATCTTCGGATTGATCGTGTTGCTGCGTCACTTTGAAAACATACAACCCCCCAGGGTCGTATTACCTTTGCACCGATTTTCCAGTTTGAGAAATTCTGCCTGGTACTCTGCTACGAATCACGTCTGCCTAACCATGGCCAATTGTTCTGAAGCCCAACCCTCCGATTTGCCAAATTGGTAGCAGAGCTCCTCCTGAAACATCGGCCAGGTAATCAGTGTCTCAGCTGCAGCGTAGAATCTCTCCAGCCATTCCAACCACTGTAGAGCATCACCTTCCAGGTACAAGGACGCCAGCCTTCCGTTCCCTCTCGTGGGATGGTTTTTGTTTTACATGTCAGCTGCATATAACCACAGACCTGCATCCTCCTGACCATTGAATTTCGGAAACTCAATGGTCGGGGGTTTACCCCGAAACACCAACCCATACTCATCATCACAAGCACAATCGTAACCACCATACCTGCCAGCGCCGGAGGACCTACCAGGGTATCCCTAGGAACCCCGTAGATCCTGAACCTGTCCCCATCCAAAATCGTTATCATCCTGGTAGAGCCCGTACCTGTCTGGCTAACTTTTCTCGACCCCTAGGGCGGTGAATAGAGGAACCAGCGCGTCTGAGATAACCGGAGGACCCAGCTAACTGATAGTCCGACTGTTGTTTTCATCGACCCAGTGTCTTCCGAATTGGTTTGGTTTGACCCCAGTTCGATCATTTATGGTCCACTCGATCTTGGTTTGACCGGTTCTGCCCGGTTGCTTCCACTCGGTCAGCCTCTCGGGTCCGCCCAAACTCCTCCAGCTGGACCGCTCGACATCCCAACCTCACGGTCGGTTTGCTCGGCTTTGCTCGTCCCCTTCCGGACTCGTCTCTAGGCCTTGCCACCCGAGCCCATTGTGTTCTTCCACGCGTCTTGCGGCTTCGCTCTGATTCTTCGAGCCCAGAAGCCTGGAGCCCAAATCATGGCCCGCAGTGTCGTAACCCGACATCTTCTTTCCGCGTATCGCAGCTAGCTCTTAGGTCGTTGGAGGCGGAACCAACACATCCTGTTTGCGTGGCCCGCTTGCCGCTTGGCTCGCTGGCGCCTGGGGCTCTCGGCCGAGGGCTGCCGCCTCCGCCGCCGAGTTCTCTGTTGTTCCCTTGCTGCTCGGGGACGTTTCTTCTGCCGCTGTCGGCTGCCCGGTCGAGCCTGGTCCCGCCCGCACCATGTCCAGCCCCACAGATTGCGCCTCCTCCTCTCCATCATCCTCGGGCAGCCCAATGAAGGCCTCAATTCGCTTCTGCTGTGCATGTACGCCCATCAAGATCTTCATCATCATGGTCCTCTCTTTCTTGGAGGCCTTCGCCTCTGCTTGTAGCCCCTTCACGCTGTCGTCGGTTCGCAGTTGGATTACCGCGAGGTCCCGGAATGAGGCGTGGAGAGCTTGATTGTCTGTCTCGTCCACCATGACCCCATCCCAAGGCGGCTCTCCCTGCGACGTCAAACTCTTCGACTGGACCTCCTTGGTTCCACCGACGGTTGTCGTCTTCTGCGCCCCTTCTGCGGCTTTCTCCATTGGCTCCTTCTCGGCCTTAGTAGTTAGTGCTTACGGTTTACTAGATATAACAGCAAAGAGTTTCCTTTTTATACTAACAAAAGAAAAAAATTAATAGTGATCCACCACTGTGGTTCTATGTTGATACTAATAAACCACCAATGTGATAAGTGGTTAGTACTAGTAATGATCCACCAATGTGGTATCTAATGTTTTTCAAATGGGTTACTTTGTTATACTAATAGTCAATACTCAATAATTAGTATGTAAGGCTCCACCAATGTTTTAAGTAGTTAATAGCGATCCACTAATGTGGCATCTATGGTAAAAGTGGCTAATGTTTGAACATCACACACAAATGACTACTACTTATCCTTAACAAAGCATTCAACACAAAGATCTACCACTTTACTCTCAAATCAAAATTGATATGACCTCATTTCACTAACTCCGATCATTCTACCTCAAGATCTACCTCAAGGTTTGATCACAATGGGTGGGGAGGGAAAATAGGGTAATTTGTATATGTTTTTGTTTTTCCAAAATCAATCTAGAGTTGATTTCGTCACTTTATTTTGATAATTTGGTTAGTAATTTTAAAAGATAGTAATAATTACTTAAAACGAACATTTCGGTATAATATTTTTAATCACTAATTGAATATGATGTCATCAATGACAAAATCACAACAATTTGTATAAGACCATGACTCATCGCATGTTCATAGAATAAGTGTTGCCATCAATTTTGACCAAATTTAATCATATTGAGTGGTAATATCGCCGTTAGAATAATGGTCGTTGAAAAATATGGTCATTGGTAGTCTATCATGTCCATTGGGAACCAAAAACAAACAACACAAAACCGATTTAAAATTTAAACCAATAGAAAAAAATATAAAAAATTACCAGACGAGCGGCTCAACGTCGGGCTGCATACGCATCTATCCCCATTCGTCCCCTACCCCCCCCCCCCCTCTTTTTCCATTGGGAACCAAAAACAAACAACACAAAACCGATTTAAAATTTAAACCAATAGAAAAGGATATAAAAAATTACCAGACGCGCGGCTCTACGCCGGGCTGCGCACGTATCTATCCCCATTCGTATCCTATCCCCCCCTTCCTCCTCCATTTGTCTTTTCATGGAGTGTCTTCCCCCTTATTTTCCTTATTTTCCTCTCACATTGTGACACATTTTCTCTTCTTTCCCTTCTAGGCACATAAAAAACTAGTGGCACAGTCGTCCTACATGTTAGAGAGTGGTATAAGATCCAGCATAACCTTCTCCCAACAACTCGAGTTATTGGGATCAACTGGTTCATGACATGGTATCAGAGCTGGTTTGGCCAAGTGGTCGTGTGTTCGAATCTCCATGACCCCAAATATTAATGAGTAGGCTTTCGTTTGAGGGGGCGTGTTAGAGAGTGGTATAAGATCCAGCATAACCTTCTCCCAACAACTCGAGTTATTGGGATCAACTGGTTCATGACACTACAATACCATAGTATAAGATGAGTCAAACTATCCATACCTTTGAACATCTGCTTCTGTCCCACCAAAAAAAGAACACGGGTAAGCTCTAGCCTCGATATGCAGCCCATTTGGCCAAACCTCAGGGAGGTACTTATTTGATCAAACTGAAACCTATGAAAATATAGTATCATCTTCCTGAGATGTTGGGGGTTGAGGCGCTCAGCTAATGACCTGAGATGTTCAATAGTGTCTGGCGCGCATTTCATCTCGAGGCTTATAATCATGTAGACAAGGTTATCCAGTGTTTTAAGTAGTTAACAGCGATCCACTGATGTGGCATCTATGGTAAAAGTGGCTAATGTTGGACATCACACATAGATGACTAATGATTCTCCTTAACAGAGCATTCAATACAGAGACCTACCACTTTACTCTCAAATCAAAAGTGATATGACCTCATTTTCACAAACCCTGATCATTCTACTTCAAGGTTAAAGCTCAATAAACATAGAGTATATATGGAAGCCAACCTCTCCTCAGCCTAAGGCCTATTGTTTCCTTTCTTCTTGTGACCAACCCCATTAGACAAGCCCTTCACATGTGAAATTGAAGCACATCATCAAGGCAATTTACCAAGCAGAAGTGCAGAATTTCAAAAAATTGCAACCAATAATCTCATTGTCCCTTCCTTCCACTTGATTGGAGTAGCAATAACTTCTGTTGTTCCTTCGCCTAGGAAGGTAAAAGTCTTTGTGAGCTTTGTGTCTTCAAAATAAGGATTTGACTCAAAGTTCTACGATGAGAAGGTATCATATAAGCAATTATATCCCAAGTGTTGGCCAGACCCCCTTATCACTTCCATGTTCTCTAAGTTTTCTTCACAAATCCCAAATTACATCCCTCAATCTTCCCATATCCCTAATCTCCATATATATATTCTCAATTCTTTAACCCGACTAGCAACACCCTAGATCCGGATTCCCATAAGATATTTACCAGTTTGGTCGAAATCGAGTTGTCTCGATGCCCACCCCTTCCTCATAGGGAACCGGTTCTCCCACTCTTGTACTTGTGGATGGATCATCTTGCCCTGTACTAGTAACTATGCACTATTGTTAACCCATTTCTAGATTAAGGATATCCCATGCTTATAATAAGTTTGATCTTCACATAGAAAAAAAAAAGAACGAAAAATACTGAGTCAAGTGCCAATTTTATATCAATATCTTATGAAATAAGGTGTTTTGAAACTTATTTGCATAATGTTGTGTTAGGGACGCAAGATGCATACAAGTTTAGCTCAGTCTGCGAGGTCAATCACATCATGATTTGCAACGTACACAATACCTCAAAAGGGTCATAGACATTTGCCTAAATAGGAAGATTTTTCCCGACAAAAAGGACTAGAGAGATGCGGGAGCTGGACTAGATGAAGGATGGTGAAGCATCAAGGGAGTTGGTCGACGACCTTTTCACCATTCAGGGTACAAATTGAGAAGAGTTGATAGAACAAAACAAACAAAGGGGAGGGCAAAGAAATTTCACGAATATGGAGGAAGAAGAAAGGTGTTTTAAGTCAGTATGCGGCGCATGGATGCTGAGCTCAGGAATGACAATGGGGCAGGTCCGGGGCGGGTTTCTTGGTACCCAGACCCGCCCCGTGGCAGGTCGGGTAATTGATCACGGGTCGCGGGTCGGGGCAGGTCGACCCAATGAGTATGCAATTTATATGAAAAACATTAGAAATATTCGTTATTTTTATTATAAGACTAAGAAAACAAACAATATTATGACAATTGTAGTTAAATTATTGGAGAAATTGAGATTTTTACTAATTTACAACTTTATTATAGCTAAAATATGATGCAATAAAAGGAAAATTCTCAGTAATTTGACTAAGATTACATGTGATTTAGACAAGAATGGGTCCAGAATGGGGCGGGTCAGGGCAGGTCAGGTCGATGAGACTACCCATGCCCGCCCCGCCCCGCCTACGGGGCGGGTCGGACCCGCCCCAAAACAGGTCAAACAGGTCGGGTAAAACGGATCAGGTCGAAATTGCCATCCCTAGCTGAGCTAAGATATCGTTTGTTTTGTTGATAGTTTGGTTGAGATAGTTACAATACTTGTATTGTTCACAATGCATTGTTTTGCACAAACAAACCAAACATTGTTTGCTTGATCATGTGTTTAGGTGAGATTATTGAGATAATTTAGTATATTTTATTCCAACTATTGTCCTAACTTTTTTATATCTTGCTGTTTCTTTTTCATTAAAACAAAAAGTAAAATTGATATTTCTCTAAAAAAGTAATATAACTTATTTAAGTAATATAATAACTACAAAAAACTAAACAATATAATTTATAATACACCAATTGCTTTAGTTACATGTATAGTAGTACACATAAATTACCAAAAAATAATAATATACATATATTATTTACAATACGTTGGTTTAACTATCATCAAAATCCAACAACTCAGAATTTCAAAATGTGTCCATCCATCTTGCATTCCAAGCACAATATTTATGTAAAAGTTTCCCTAACACTTTATTTATGATAATTCGTTTATTTTTTTCCCTAATATTTGGATAATACGAGCGTTCAGAAAAATAAAAATAAAAAAGATATTGAAGGAAGAAAACCGGAGGCCAAGACAAATAATGCCCCTCTTCTCTTTCTATACCATCTCTGATCTCTCTCTCTCTCTCTTAAATTATCTCTTCCTTCTACTGAGAGAAAGTTCATAGTTTAATTCCACCAAATATCCCCTTCTCTCTCTCCCTCTCGCTCCGCCGTCGGTCCTCTCGATCGGCACCGTTACTCGTCGTGTTGCTCCCGGTTGTTTCCTCCAAGAAAAATGAACGGGAAGGATTTCCGATTGGCTTTACTGGGTCAGGATTTCGTTTGATTTTCAATCCTTTTCTCCGCGAGAAATTCCGTCGTTCGCGCGAGCGGAAAAAGCACAGAGCTTTAGGGTTGTTGGGGGTAGGAAATCATCATGGAGCCTCGCGTTGGTAATAAGTTTCGTCTCGGTCGAAAGATCGGCAGCGGATCGTTTGGAGAGATCTATCTCGGTTCTTTGCTTCTTCATATTCATCCTTTTCAATTTCCATTTTCTTTTCTTCAAAAATTTCTTTAGGAATTTGTCTTATTGATCTTCCTTCACAGGTACTAATGTTCAAACAAACGAGGAGGTTGGAATTAAGCTCGTAAGTTCTCTCTTTCATTCTTTGTTAACCCCCAATTCCTATTCCTTTTTTTTGTTTGCGTTTTGCTTTTTCAATGCAAATGTATCTGAGATTCGCTCTCTGCTGTTCAATAAGCTATGTCTTTCATTGTAATGGAAATTGAGGGTACTGAGAGGTGTGCATTCTCTGGCATTCCGAAATGGTGATCCTGTCTTTTGGATGTGGTTGTTTAAAAGGTGTTTCCTTTTTGGGTAATTTGATTGTTCTACTTAAATGGGGTATCTGCAAGATATTTCTTTATGGTTTCATGTACTGGGTTTCATTTTCAATCCAATTTTCGTTGGGTTTTCTACGTAGAGTTCACTGAATGCTGAAGTGTGATTGAGCCCTTTGTGGCTGAAGCTGGTGGCATTAGAATGGGGATGACTTGATTTCAATCTGATTTTGCTGGAGTTTCCTCGTAGATGTACTTTCTCCTTACATTGATAAAAAAAAAATTCAATATGCTACTCTTTATGATTCAGGAAAATGTGAAGACAAAGCATCCTCAGTTGCTTTATGAATCGAAGTTGTACAAAATACTTCAAGGAGGAAGTGAGTAATCACTTCTCTTTACTATGTTGGTTTCTATTTTGTTCATAATCAATGTTGAAGAGTGCAGTTTTATATGGGAAGAGACTCATATATTAGCTGCTTGTGAATTTTGCAGCTGGAATTCCGAATGTCAAATGGTTTGGAGTGGAAGGAGAGTACAATGTTCTTGTGATGGATTTGCTGGGACCGAGTCTGGAAGATCTATTCAACTTTTGCAGTAGGAAAATGTCTCTCAAGACTGTTCTCATGCTTGCGGACCAAATGGTAAACATTTGTGTAGGATATGGTTTTGGTATCTTCTTTTGTTGGTTGCTTTATATATATATTTTTGTTGACACGTGGAAGTTCTGATGCTTCCTTGCAGATTAATCGAGTTGAATTTGTCCACTCCAAATCGTTCCTACATCGAGATATCAAACCTGATAACTTTCTAATGGGTTTGGGGAGGCGTGCCAATCAGGTATTTTGTTGGTGACCTGTCCCTATTGATCATGGATATCATTGTTACTTATTCGTTCTGTGTTCACTCATGTCTTGAATACTGGTTCTCTTCAGGTCTACGTTATCGACTTTGGGCTAGCTAAGAAGTATCGGGACACTTCCACTCATCAACACATTCCTTACAGGTCAGTTATTCCAAAGCATGAGTTAACTACTTCATATGAAGTTCAACTTGTTACTCTTTCTAGATGTTTTATAGCCGTCACACATGGCTCTTTGTGCCCCTATTTTTTGTTTCAGCCTCTTCTACTTGTGTAACTTGACCTTGAAACATTGCAGGGAGAACAAGAATTTGACAGGAACTGCAAGATATGCAAGCATGAATACTCATCTTGGGATTGGTATGATTACAATTATAGCCTATTTGGTTTTAGTGATTACACTTGAAATGTGCAAATACTAATATCTAGTTGCTGATTTAATATTCATTGTTATGTTATTTCTTTGCTTCATAGAACAAAGCCGCCGGGATGATCTGGAATCGCTCGGATATGTTCTTATGTACTTCCTCAGAGGAAGGTGACACCTCAACTCTCTTTCCATATTTCAGTTATTTGTTATTATATATAATTTATTTTTGTTTATGACCATATATGTTGCTTCAGTCTTCCTTGGCAGGGACTACGTGCTGGAACTAAAAAGCAGAAGTATGAGAAGATTAGTGAAAAAAAGGTGTCAACTTCTATTGAGGTAAGTTTTTGTCTAGGGTTCGAAGTCTTAATTTATTTAATCTTTAGATTATTTCCTTTTTAACTGATTTGAATCTTGTTTGTATCTTGTAGGCTCTATGTCGAGGTTACCCTACTGAATTTGCATCCTATTTTCATTATTGCCGGTCATTGCGTTTCGATGACAAGCCTGATTATGCATACCTGAAAAGGCTATTCCGTGATCTTTTCATTCGCGAAGGTTCGATTCATGATGTACATCGCTTATTTTACTTATTCATACTTGTTAGCCGCGAGAACACTCTTGACAAGAATCATGGGCTTTCTTATTCCAATCCAGGTTTCCAGTTTGATTATGTTTTTGACTGGACTATATTGAAATATCAGCAGTCACAGATTGCTAATCCTCCTGCTCGTGCTGTTGTAAGTCACTGGACTGTTTTCTTCACTTTGGTGTTTCCTGGTAATTTGACTGACTAATGATCTTGACTGCAGGGTCCCACTGCTGGACCAAGTGCGGGAATGCCACCTATTGGTACTAATGCTGGTAGACAAGGTTTTTCTGTTATCTTCCGCTTTAAGCTTTTCTGCAATTATTGGCCTTGTCTCTCGTGCTTATAAGGAATGTATCACACTTTTTTGGATATGGGTAGGTGGGAGTGGAGAAGAAAGTAAACCTGGTTGGTCTTCAAGCGATCCTCGAAGGAGAACTTCAGGACCAATTCTAAGTTCGGCAACTTTATCCAAGCTAAAGAGCCCTCTCGGCAATGATGCAAAAGATGCTCCGGTATGAATGCCAGATGCAAAAAGTTCAGCATTCAACCCTCCATTCTTGATGATCATTCCATTCTAACATGGATTTATGCAGTTATCTGGCTCAAACCATATGCGAACTAGCTCCTCTACTAGAAGACCTGCAATAGCAAGTACTCATGACTCCACTCAAGCTGTACCTTCCACAGCAAGAAACAGCAACTCGAACAGTAAGAACTTGGAATCAGCTCTTAGAGGCATTGAGAGCCTCCGGTTCAATATCGATGAGAGCGTGATTCATTAGGCACAGAGAGAAAGCCTATCTTAATCCCGAGAAAATGGTTTGCCCTTCACTGTAAAGTTGAGATCTTTATACTCTTGGTGAATCGGACATGGAAATGTCGAATTCCCATGTTTGCGGTCGTTATATTATCGTTGGGTTGCTGCAAACCTTGTGCAAACAAATTATGGTGCTAACTTTGTCCGTCTGTTTTTACTCGTCGAGTGGATTCTAGGGGTCGATGATGATGGAGCTCATGAATTCATGTATAGCAGTAAATCTTTTCTAGAGCACCCATTATAGTTTTCAGATCCATAAAATGCAAGCAAAATAAAGAGCCAAGACTATATTGCTGCTGCTGATGTACATCCTCTGTACGTTTGAATTGTACTCTACTGCTCAGGAGATCACGACCTTCCTTTTCTCTAGAATGTGGCTGAATCTGACTTTTTGATGAATCAGAATGTGGCTGAAGTGCTTCTTTCACATCTTAGCGAGAACCCAATTTGGTGTTATTTGGTATTAGCTTGAAATTTCTTACTGTCTTCATCTAATTGCATTGATGGTCATAGATATTTTGTAGTCTTCACAGATTAGCCATTGAGTCAATTGAGAACTACAACATGGTTAACTGAATCGTTATTCGTCCCTCTAAAATTTAAATTATTTCGCCCTAAATCGTGCTAAATTGATGTTTATATCCCTATACCCATTTTCAATCACTAATCCCTAACTCGGATTGCCGCCGCTGTCGTTCCCCCAAAAATGTCAGCCCCAATCCAAAACGACAGTGTAAAAAGTCCATATTACCCGACTCGACCCACTTACCTCCCTAGCACTTACAGTAGCAGCCGCCGCCGTAGCAGCAAAGGAGAAGGAGTAAAGCATTAGGGGTCGGTTTCTGCTTCTCTGTTTTAATCCAAGCTCCGCCCAATCTAGTTATGCTCCTAACAGGCCATTTTGTTAGGAGATACTGATAGGGTTAGATGGGCAGCCACGTCTCCAAGCCACGATCCAGCGGTGGAGGTAGAGTGGCGCCAGCATGTTAGGGAGGAGAGCCGATTCTATCGGCTGGCCCAAGCCTACAGAAAAAGAAAATGGGGCCCACCAGACCCCCAAATTCAAAAAACACCACTTTTTTTTTACTCAAAACCCTCCCCTCTCTTATCTTTCTCCACCAGACACGTTTCCCCCCCCCCCCCCCTCTCTCTCCAAAAATCAATTGTTTTCACTCCCTCTCTCTTTCCTCTCCCTCTCCCTTTCCTCTCCCGACAACGACGACGGCGGCCAGGTTGGTTTGACGGCGGCGACGGTGCAGACGAAGCGGCGGCGACGAAAGGCGGAGATCTCGGCGGCGACCTTGCTGCGAAGTCGGAGATCTCGGCGGCGGCGGCGGCAGCGAAGTCGGAGATCTCGACGGCGGCGACCTTGCAGCGAACTCGGAGATCTCGGCGGCGACGACTTTGCAGCGAACTCGGCGGCGGCAATCTCGGCTGCAGCGATCTTGTCGGCGGCGACGAAGCAGCGAACTCGGCAGGGAACTCTCTCTCTCTCTCTCTCTCTCTCTCATTATTCACCTTGCTTATTGTGATTCAATCGAGTTTCTGAAAGCGATTGTTCTATTTTTCTTTTGATTATGTTTCTTGGATTCTGATTTTGTGTTTAAAAGAAATAAGTAGTGTTTGAAGTTAGGGTTTCATGGATTCTAATAGATCTGGGTTTTCCTTTTTCTGCGTTTTTTGTATGAGTTTGATGGATTTGTTTTCTGGTAACTTAGATTTGACTGGATCTGAGTTGCTTTCTTTTGTGGATTATGTGGATATGTTTTCTGGGTTTGTGGATGTGACTGGATCTGGGTCTGGGTTGCTTTGTTTGTGGATTTTGAGGATCTGATTGGATCTGTGTTGCTTTGTTTTCTGGGTTTTGTGGATATGTTTTGTGTACGTTTCGATATTAATTCTGTTCGGGTAGGATATCACTTTTTAATTGCCTGGATAGTTGTTTGATATATCTGGATATTCCTACATTGATATTGGTTTTGGTCGACCATGATATCATATGTGAATTGTCTGGATAGTTGTTTGATATATTTGGATATGACTTGTTTGATATTACTTCTGATCGTTGGGGTATTCATTATGTGAAGTCCAGATATTGGTTAGCTAATGTCAGGATATTCTACTGGGCAGGGAAATCACAATGACAAGAACTAAATCAACTGCAATGAGGACCACATCAGAAGGCGAAACCTTTAGGCCTAAATGTGCCAAACAACAACAACAAAATGAGGACCAAGAAATTGAGGATGAAGAAAGTGATGACCAAGACGATGAGGGAAAAGGAAGAAAAGTTGATTTTAGATTTGTGTAGTGTGATATTGGTTTGTAAAACTGAACTTAGGGTTAGATAATATTAAGGGAAGGATGTTGATTTGTAGCAAGATGGATAATATTTTGTCAAATGTTGGATATAATTACCAACATAAGTTCTTATTCAAAAATATATCGTAACCTCCGAGAAAAATATCCGTCTTAATGTAGAATAATATCCTTAAAGCTCAGACTAATACTTTTTGTGTGCCAAAGCATATCTTGAAAGCCCAGACTAATATCCTCGATCTCTTTGCCTTTTCACGATTCTTCGATTTGTTTTTCCCTTTAGTCATCAATTAAACACATTTAATCAATTATCCACATTTAGTCATCAATTAAACACATTTAATCCCTGTGAGGTCAAGATATTATCGAGGCGGGAAAAAGTCCAAAAGATGATCGACATTTTGGAGCAGCAAGCCCACACTTGAACTAACAATTTTCTTAAGTAATATTTTTTGTTTGGAATGTTATCATCGCCATGTCAGAATGGCTTTGAATACTAATTGTATCGAGTGTTCTCACTAGTTTTTCTTACTTTGAATACTAATTGTATCTAGTATTCTCACTAGTTTTGTGTACTTGAAAACCATAGTAGACCAATATCCGTACACCATAAAAAAATATCCACACCACCCAGACAAATATCCTTTCCTACCACAATAAATATCCTCACCAACACAAACTAATATCCACTGCTTCGAGACTAATTTCTGACTGTCTTATACTAATATCCGACTACTGAGCACAAATATCCACACATCTCATACTAATATCCTCCAATCTCCATGTTTGGATATTTGTTTGCTCTTTATTGTATGGATTATAGTTACCTTATATCGGTTCACCATAAACAAAATCCAGAATACCCAGACTAATATCCCACCGCCTAATATCAATATCGAGTCAGCCCGTAATTAATATCTTCACCATACAGACTAATACCCACCACACACAGATTAATATATGGATGTCTTAGACTAATATCCGGCTACACAACAAAAATATCCACACATCATGAACTAATATCCTCCAATCACATAATAATATCTTATCACCACACACTAAAATTTAACACCACCCTAACTAATATCTATTATTGGTTCATGGGCCTTCGGCCCATGGGCCCTAGGCGGGCAGCCCTAACTAAGGTTGCAAGCCTTATGTGTTAGGTCTTGATAGTGTGTTTAATTTGATGGAGACACAATATTCATTACTTCGCAAACTAATATCCATCACATTTCATATCAGTTCATGCAAAAATAAATATTCATACCGCCGAGACTAATATCCAACATTAACAAATATCAGACCTGCAAAGATATAAAGTGCTTCACGAAGAGGAGAAAAAGTGGAAAAAAAAGAAATAAAAGAGAGAGGGCAAGGTGGGTGAGTATTTAATGCGTATTCTCTCCCCTCCAATTAAATCTCCTTTTTTCTTTCCTTTTTTTCCTGTCACTTTTCTTTCCCTTTTCTCTTCAATCCCGCCCAAAAGCATGGTGGACCCGCGCCACTTCACCAGCTCCTCCTCATGGCTCGGCTCAACAGAAAAAGCCCATCCCCTTTCTATTATAGCTCACTTAAATGAGCCTCTCCCTTTCAACCATTGGATCACGATTGAGCCTCCGTGGCCATCATCCTGGCCGTATCAGTATATGCTAACAGATTTCCCTGTTAGCAGTTTAACTTTTTCGAGCTCCGCCTACCTCCAAACTCCTTTCTCCTTGGTCGCCGGCGTGCGTTATCTTCCTTCAATCCGTCTATGGCGACCGAGATCTGCACCTCGGATTGGGATCTGCACCTGCCGCTGGGGAAACTCTTTGGGCTTTCAGGAAGAAAAAAACGAGCAATCAGGTCAGATGCAAGCCTTATGAACAGCAAACTCGGGTTCGATCTTCTCCTCGAGATTCTGATTCGCCTCCCCAATCCTAGATCCGCTTGCCACTGCAAAGTCGTCTGCCAGCTGTGGAGGTCCGTCATCTCCCATACCTCCTTCAATCGCCGTTACGTTTCTCACCGACAGACTATGAGCCCCAACGATCTGAAATCGATGATCCTCAGCTTTCTCCCTCCCCTGGAGAGCCAAGTTGGGGAGGGTTTGAAAGTTTTGGATTGCAAGAGAGACTTGGTTTTATGCGGGTTTTGGGTTGAACATAGATTGTCCGACGGCGGGGAACGCAGCAGATCCTACTTGATCTGCAATCCGTTTACGAAGCAGTGGGCTGCTAGTATCTCTAACGGAATTGAGAGCTAGGGCCGCACGACCAAGAGTAAGGCCGTGACAGTGCTCTTCCTCTGGCACCGAAGAAGTTGGTGTTGCATCTTGCTCCGGTGACAAGGTTAGTGTTGGAACCCCAACAACCTGTTTCTCGGTTCCGGGTGGTGTGTATGTATCAACAGGTCGACCCAATACTATCTATCAAACTCGATGTGTTTTGTTCCGAGTCTGGAGAATGGATCAAGGATGCTCTTGTCCGCGACGATCATATCAAACGTACAGAATTGATTTCGTGGAATGGGGAGTTGTTTTGGATGTACCAAGTTGACCACCATCGGTTTGTTATTCATCAACCCGTGCTGGCGGTGTTTAATCCTTTCCGACTCGACGTGCCTCCCACTTGCGTCGATGTTCCATCTTCACTCCTCGCGCAATCGCAGTGGATTATAGCCCTTTCTCAAGATGCGCTGCACGCAATTGCACGACAAAGAGAAGACCTGCCTTTCCGTTTGAGCGTCTGGAGGCTGGAAGAGGACCGCAAGTCTTGGAAGAAACAATGTGAGGGGCTGGTGAACAAGACATCAAAGTGTTGTGGTAACTGTAGAGCTAAGTTCATCAATCAACCTTTCATGCATCCACAGAAGCCGGAAATCGTCTTCTTCAACTGTGCCAGCAACAACAACGCTGTGTTGTTCTGTGATTTGACAAGCGGGGAGGTAGATTTCTTAGCTAAACTAGCAGCAGGAGGAGGAGGGTTACCTGACTTTTTGGAGTTCCAGCCAAGGGTTTCTAGCTGGGTTACTCCAATTCCAAAGTTGGACGACAAGGGCAGCTGCTTCGGATTTCTGTTTAATGGTAGTAGTGATCCAACAAAGCCCTGCCTCAGATTCAGAGATGCGGCATTCGCTCCAGCCAAGAGTCTCTTGTTGACGGCCAAGGCACCAAGGGTTGCGAGGCGTCTAGTTTCCGGGCGTGTGCTGCGTAAGCAACAGGTTTTGGGTTCAAAACAGCAGTAAAGGTAAAGCAACAACTCCCTCACTCAATTATGTTATGTGTAATCACTTATAAACTTACATTCTTTTCTGCTGGCTAGTTCGGGAGGGCATAGACCAATCAATCAATAATATATATGTTTATGTCATTGCTTGGTACGAGTTGGACGTTTGTCGGTAGAGGTGGCAATTTCAATCCAATCCACCAATCCAATCTATCAATTCATTAAAATTATCCACTTAATCCAATCCATTTAAACCCAATCCATTTAATCCAAATCCAATTGGATTGGTGGATTCATGGATTGGATCCATGGAGTACCTATTATTTTTATTTTTTACATTTTGGTACCTAAAATTTAATTTTTTATATGAAAATATCATTGGAAAATTACGTTTTGGTGCCTAAAAATTTTCATTATGACATTTTAGTACCTAACCTTTTTATATTTTACATATTGGTCCTTGGTTGAGGATGTCATTTGGATTCATGGATAATCCACCAATCCACTTGATTCAATCCATGAATCCACCAATCCATTAGATCCAATCCATTTAATCCATGAATCCACCAATCCAATCCATGAATCCACCAATCCAATCCATTTGTCACCTCTATTTGTCGGTAAACCGTTATGTGCATTAACTTATGGTAGATTTTAGATTAAAAAAAATTAAACTATTTAATTTTTAGTTGAGTATGAATTATCTAATTGTGAATTCTTATGTTAATATAAAGTTGCTTGCAAAAAAAGATTCAAAATAATTTAAAACTAATTTATCTATATGACAAAAGATTCTGACCAATGGGCTGGATAGTGGAGACTAAGCTAGTTATATTAAAGGATTCCTGAATATAATTTTTTCAATATAGAACTAGATTTGAAACGGCTTGTTGGTTGAATGAATTATCAATGTTATAAATAATAATAGTAATTGCTCCCATTTTATTTGGTACCATGAAAAATTCAAATTCTTCAATCACTAAAAATATTAAAAAAAATATGGACATACAACATAAGTTTTTATGACATTTTGATGATTCATGAACAAAATCCGTTATAAAAAAAGGGAAAACACAACTCATGCTATGAAATCGACTCCTAAAAAATCAGTATTCAAAATGATTTTCGATTTACTTCTAGTTGTTCAAAATCATTGAAAATTTCCTTTCAGTTGTCTTCGCAATTTCTCCACCATAAAAAAACATCTTCTCCATGCAGCGTGATCTTCATTAATTAAATCTTTATTAGTGACCGCAAACTGGACCTGCGCAACAGGTTTTCTCCAACCCGACCCGATTGGAGCGGGTAAAACCCAACCTGTCCTACAACGGGGTGGGCCTTGACTCGACCTACTAGCATAACAGGGCAGCAATGGTTAGAGCACTTCACCCGCCTCGTCCCGTCCCGTCTTTTCTATATTGTTGATTATCATACGAGGGTTGGCTTTTTATATGGAACCCCAAATCCCATGATTTCCATCTCTTCCCATCCCTTCTCCCTTTCGTTCCGCCGAAACAATTGATGCCATTAATGCCCCACAACGCGCAATGCCCCAAATCGGTACTACTTAAATCGATTAGTTTTTAAAGGGGTTGGGTGTGTTATTGTTTGCGCATTATTGCGTATTTAATTATATGATTTGATTTCATTTGATATTTATTAATATACGATTCGATCATTACGTGTTTACGTCTATTGACGTAATTCCCGAAAGGTAAAGAAAGAGTTTTATTATTAGTTGGACTCGAACCTATTGGTTGCCTACGTATCCGAGTAGTCGGAATCAAAGTCCGCGTAGTTCAATGAAAAAAGAGTGATTTATGATGTGATTTTAACACGTTCTATTGATCGTGATTAATATAATAATTATAGTTTTTTTTAGGAAAATGCACTTATAATTACTCTTGTTGATATAAATGAAAATATGCGTTGCACAATTTTACCATGTAAAGGATTATTAATTAATTCATTATTAAGTGAAAGATTTTATCTTGCTCTAAGCAGTTGTGGTCCAATCGTACTGATCAGATTTCTTTATAGTTTTGATGAGAGTTGCAACAAGCAGTCGAGGTTGTCTAAGTGGTTAAGGAGTTGAGTATGAATTATCTAATTGTGAATTCTTATGTTAATATAAAGTTGCTTGCAAAAAAAGATTCAAAATAATTTAAAACTAATTTATCTATATGACAAAAGATTCTGACCAATGGGCTGGATAGTGGAGACTAAGCTAGTTATATTAAAGGATTCCTGAATATAATTTTTTCAATATAGAACTAGATTTGAAACGGCTTGTTGGTTGAATGAATTATCAATGTTATAAATAATAATAGTAATTGCTCCCATTTTATTTGGTACCATGAAAAATTCAAATTCTTCAATCACTAAAAATATTAAAAAAAATATGGACATACAACATAAGTTTTTATGACATTTTGATGATTCATGAACAAAATCCGTTATAAAAAAAGGGAAAACACAACTCATGCTATGAAATCGACTCCTAAAAAATCAGTATTCAAAATGATTTTCGATTTACTTCTAGTTGTTCAAAATCATTGAAAATTTCCTTTCAGTTGTCTTCGCAATTTCTCCACCATAAAAAAACATCTTCTCCATGCAGCGTGATCTTCATTAATTAAATCTTTATTAGTGACCGCAAACTGGACCTGCGCAACAGGTTTTCTCCAACCCGACCCGATTGGAGCGGGTAAAACCCAACCTGTCCTACAACGGGGTGGGCCTTGACTCGACCTACTAGCATAACAGGGCAGCAATGGTTAGAGCACTTCACCCGCCTCGTCCCGTCCCGTCTTTTCTATATTGTTGATTATCATACGAGGGTTGGCTTTTTATATGGAACCCCAAATCCCATGATTTCCATCTCTTCCCATCCCTTCTCCCTTTCGTTCCGCCGAAACAATTGATGCCATTAATGCCCCACAACGCGCAATGCCCCAAATCGGTACTACTTAAATCGATTAGTTTTTAAAGGGGTTGGGTGTGTTATTGTTTGCGCATTATTGCGTATTTAATTATATGATTTGATTTCATTTGATATTTATTAATATACGATTCGATCATTACGTGTTTACGTCTATTGACGTAATTCCCGAAAGGTAAAGAAAGAGTTTTATTATTAGTTGGACTCGAACCTATTGGTTGCCTACGTATCCGAGTAGTCGGAATCAAAGTCCGCGTAGTTCAATGAAAAAAGAGTGATTTATGATGTGATTTTAACACGTTCTATTGATCGTGATTAATATAATAATTATAGTTTTTTTTAGGAAAATGCACTTATAATTACTCTTGTTGATATAAATGAAAATATGCGTTGCACAATTTTACCATGTAAAGGATTATTAATTAATTCATTATTAAGTGAAAGATTTTATCTTGCTCTAAGCAGTTGTGGTCCAATCGTACTGATCAGATTTCTTTATAGTTTTGATGAGAGTTGCAACAAGCAGTCGAGGTTGTCTAAGTGGTTAAGGAGTTGATTATGAATTGAAGGTTTCGGTTTTGAAACTCATTGTAAGCTGTTTCATTTTTTGTGACTCGTTTTCGAGAGAGGAAACTGGCAAGGAAGAGTAATTTTGTGGCAAATTGAGGGATAGTTCGGTCATTACGAAAGGTGTATAGAATTACTGAGAAGGGAACACAATTGGAACCCTGGCCGCATTCGATCTTCAATTTCCTCTCATTCTGCTCTCTCCTCTCTTTCTCTCGTTCGGTTTGGTAAGAAGTCGCTATGCTATCTTGAGCATGTAAGTTTCATTCGTTCTTTGGTCGACAGATTGTTTCCTATCGACTAAATGAATTTTCCTTCTCTGCTCCGTGCTATCCCAAACGAAAGCCCGGATCTTCTTATCGATATACTCTCGAACACTGGTCGGTAGGAAACTTGTATGCATGGTATAAGTTGGGAGAGAAGAAAGGACTGACTGTGTTAATGTAATTCGTGTAGCCAACGATAACGCATCAACTTTCCACCCTGCAAGACATGCATCAATACGATCAATCAGGTCAGTAAAGGTGGCTTTGGACACTCGATCATGGATGACTGGCACTCCTAAATAGCGCCACAAGTTAGCAATCTCCGGGATCCCAAGCTCTTCACTCAATCTCTCCCTCTGGGATGTGGTAGTGTTTGCGGAGTAGTATACCCGTGACTTGGGTTTACTAGCCTGTCATGATCTCCTGAACCTGTACACTTGTGGCTTCACCAAAGAGGATAAGATCATCTGCAAAGAAAAGGTGAGATAATGGTGGTTCATCTCGGGTCAGCCTAATAGGCTGCCACCGACCATTTTGAACAGAATCATCTATTAAATGTCCAAGTCGTTCCATACACAAAGTAAACAGATAAGGTGAGAGAAGACATCCCTGGCGAAGTCCTCTTGTCGGTTGAAAGCTCTTAGTAAGTCCCCCGTTCCATTGGATATGCATTGACGCTGTTGAGATACATGCCATGGTAAGGTTGATAAAGTTGGTTGGCGAGCATGCAACCTCCAGAGTGTCACGCACAAATTCCCAACAGATTCGGTCATAAGCTTTGGCTAGGTCAATTTTTAGGACCATCCAACCTCGATTCCCCTTTCGCGCCCTCATAGTGTGAACTACCTCCTGCAGGATGCATATGTTTTCTGTGATATGGCGACTTGGCACAAAACTAGTTTGGGTCTCATGCACAAGAGATGGGATGAGAGTTTTTAATCTCTCAGCAAGACACTTTGTCACTGTTTTGTACACAACGTTGAACAAGCTGATCGGTCGAAACTGCTCTATGGAAGTCGGTTGCTGAACCTTCGGGATGAGGACTAGGATGGTCGAGTTGATTTCCTTAATCCTCTCTGGGTGGCTCCAACACTCTTGAGCCAGTTGAGTTGCCGAGGCGTCAACTGTAGGCCAACATTTTTGGAAAAAAATTGGGTTGAGGCCATATTTCCCTGGAGCTTTTAGAGCCCCCATGCTATGAATTACTTTCTCCAACTCTTCAGTGGTGGGCACGACCTCAACTGTAGTCCAACAAGCCATGTCGGTCAAAGGGAAACTTGCTGGCAACGAAATGCGGTCCCCTCCATCGTCCCTATACAGACCACCAAAAAAGACTTGGGCCATATCTAGGAGAGCTTCTGGTTCTGAGATCCAGCCCCCCTCATTATTTTTTAGTGTAGTTATCCGATTCTGCTTCTTTCTCCGGATGGTGCGAACGTGAAAATAATGGGTATTTCTATCACCTGATGCTATCCACTCGAGGCGAGACTTCTAGCACCAGGTAAGCTCCTCTTGGAAGAGTACGAGTTCCAATTTCTCCCTCACCTGGTTAAGCTGAGTATCATCTCCATGACCTTGAGCTACCTTCTCCAAACGCTCTAGCCAACGTAGAAGTTGGTCCTTTCTCTTTGTGATGTGGCCAAAGACCTCACTATTCCAGATGGTGACATCTTTCACAAAAGCATCGGCCGACCCTGTAAAGGATGAGCCTTCGGCCAATGCATTGGCTGCCATGCTTTGGAAACTAGCATGGGTGAGCCATGCCGCAAGGAAACAGAAGGGCTTGCGACCTGCTGGATGGTGCGGATGTGTTAGACAAACTAGGATCGAACGGTGGTCTGACTTTCTCATGCGAGGTAGGTGATGGACAGCAGCCTCCGGTAAAGTCGCGACCCACGTGTTATTAGCCAAGTCTCTATCAAGTCGTTCCCTAAGTCCCAAACGAAACCAGGTATAGGCTGGCCCTGTAAACCCCAGATCATGTAGGCCAATGTCATTCACGCACTCCTGGAAGTCCCTTGTTCTTGACGAGTTGAAAGGGGCACCTCCAAGCTTCTCTGTAGGACTTAAAATAGAGTTGAAATCGCCCACCAGAAGCCAAGGATCTTTCAGATCTTGAGCCAGAGAGTGCAGCCTAGCCCAAAGTTCACGACGTTGGACAGGAGCTGGATTGTCGTAAATCGCAGAAAATATACAACCCTCATCCTGTGAGCTCGGATGTTTTACCTGCATATGAAGATATCGAGGGTGAGTTGAAAGTTCTGTCACAGAGAGATACACTTTAGATTAGGGCTGGCGGACGATTTTCCGGTTAGCGGCTAACCGGACGGTTTCAACCGAACCGTTTGGTTTTCGGCTAGCTGAAAAACCGATCCCAATGGCGTCGGTAGCGAGGGGAGAAGGCTCGGCTAGCCGACCAATCGAGGTTGAAAACCGGCGGTTAGCCGACTAATCGAGCCTTTACCCAGCCTAACCTAAATGACCCGGCCCCCTTCTTAAAACGACCCCCCCTCAAAACGACCCCCTCTCAAGTCCCTCCCCAAACCCTAGACGATTCACCACTCACCCGACCCTCTTCTCTTCCGTCATCCTCTCTCTCTTCTCTTCCCTTTCACCTCTCAAAATGGTAACGCACCCAAGAACTTGAAAACCCAGAAGAAGAAGAAAGAAGAAAGAAGAAAAAGATGATCAGCGGAGCAGATTTCTCCCTCACGACCACCGCCGCCCTCCTTCTCCCTCACGACTCACGACCACCGCCGCCTCACGACCGTCGCCTCCACCATCGTCGACGTCGCCGCGCCGCCTCCACCATCGTCGACGTCGCCCCGCTGCCTCCACCCTCGCCGCCCCGCCGCTCGACCTCCGCCTCCACTCGCTGCCGCCTTCACTCGCCGCCGCCGCGCCTCTGCTCTGTGTTTCCAGATCTAAAATGGAAGAAGGAAGGAGGGAGAAGGAAGGAGTGGTGGGTGTTGTGGGTTTGAAATGGAGGAAGGAGAGAGAAGGAAGAAGTGGTCTCTGGTGGGTGGAGACTGGAGAGGAAGGAGGAAGAAGATAAGGATTTAGTGGTAGGGAATTTTCGTTTGTTTGTTTTTTTTTATTTTTTTTAGAGAAGGGAGTATTTTTTGGTATGCGGCTAACAGAACCAAAACCGATAACCGACCGGTCGGTGGTCGGCTAGCCGTGGTAACCCTCACGGTCGGTGGTCGGCAATAGAAGGTGGTTGCTCGGTTTAACCGATAACTGAGAAATCAGTTTTTGGTTAAACCGAAACCGACCGACTGCCACCCCTACTTTAGATGACTGGGCGACCGGGCACACTGATTTCCCAAAGTTTGGGTGTTGGGTGTGGGTATGCTGTTGGTGGAAGGAACATTAGTTATCATGGGATAAAGCATGGGTTCGTTGCGTTTTGGTGGTGGGTTACGGGTGTTTGGCGGAATGGGAGAAGGAGATGGTGTGGACAAAGATGCAGGAACATTTTGATGAGTTTGTAAAGCTAGTTTTGGGCTTGGAGATGTAAAAATAGACCCATTAAGATCAAGTGGCGAATTTGGGCTTAAGGTTGGTGATAAAGCCGGCCCAAAATGAAAGATGGGATGGACTGATTGGTTTTGGGTTGTGTACTTGTGTTTGGCAAGGTTGGAGGGCCCAAGGGTTGTGGTTGAGCAGAATTTAAAGTTAGGTTTAAAGGGTCACCTTCTTTCTCCTCTGCAATCGTGGAGTGGGAAGAGGTGTTGATTGTCTGCTTCTTCTTCGAGGAGAGTTGTTGCCTTGAATCTTCTTCAATTGTTAAATTGCCCATGTGCAATTTAATTCTCTGTGCCCCTCCCTGCTTGAACCGAAAACCATACTCTGTTCGTCAATGTCAATTTCTTTATTCTTGGCCAGGGAAGCTGGTTGCTTAGAATTATTACCGATAGGCTCGCCCATCCCGAGTCCGGATAGTATAACAACACTCTTTGTGTTGTTATAATAACAATAGGATTCATTAAGGGAAAATGGTAAATTAACAATAAAAATAATAAATAAAAATTAACCCTACTCATTTTCCCGTTCGCTCTGAACCACATGCCCTGTCTCTTTCACACTCCCGCTGGATCTTGTTTCTTCTTCTCCCATGCCGGCTTTCCCTGAAAAATCAAAACCCTCACCGGCGTTCCAACTCCGTCATCTCTCCATCGTCACTCGAATCACGACCTCCGAGGCCGGAGATGAAGGAACCCCATCCATGGCGAATCAACCATCACATGCGACGAACAATAGGAGTGGTTCGTCTCCTTCACCAATCTTGCTGACGGAATAGTCACTCTTGCCTCCTACGTTGGGCTTCTCATGACGCTGGGCATCACGAGTAGCGATTCGCGATCTTTCAGGCAGCCGTCATGTTCGCTTCCATTGCGCAGCCTATTTACACCCAAGAAAATCACCTTAAGCACAATGGTATTGTGGTAAAGCCAGGGTAGTCAAAATCGCGCATTAAAACGTAAAAATTTACGTTTTTACGTATCCAGACCACCAAAACGTTTCAGTTTCTATCTAAAGTCTCTTAGTCACAAAAACCGCTAAAAACATGGGTAAAATCGATAAAATCGCATAAAATCGGTAAAATTGCGATTCTGAAGCGTTTTTATACGATTTTGATAATCTTATAAAAATGTGCTAATTGGCCCAAAATGATTTAATTTTGGAGGCATATCAACAAAAAATAAAATAAAAATGAAAACATGATTCATCACTCGTTCTACAACTAGTGTCGAAATAGGGGCTTCACATTAGGTTGAAAAGACACCTAATGGTATTCTCAACAGCCGTTGACCTTCTATCAGCCTTCTCCCTTAATCTTCACCTGTGGCTCTTTCCTGTTACGATGAAAGTTTATGGGTAATTGATCGTATGTAATTATGTAAACTCAAACCAACTTATGAGAATTTGGATTCTCAAGCTCGTTTACGGGTTACGATCTACGTTTATGAGCTTATTATTAAGATGCTATGAGTTTTCTCTACTTTTGAGTCAACGCAAGCAAATTAGTTTATGTGTTAGATATTACATTGTAATTATAAATTTCATGTAGTTATCCACTTATCTAAAATCTACGCACTCACATTTTACATACTATATGTTGTACTTGACATATTTTAGCTATTTTAGAGGGTGCGTAAAAAACTTACGATTTTACGCTTTGATTGTACGTTTTACGATTTTACACATTTTCCGCTTCTAGGTAGAATCGTACTTTTAACTGCATTAGGTAAAGCTCCGGGAAAGTGAGTCCAAGGACAAGGAAAAGGACAACCTTACTTCATGGGGTAGTGTTGTAATGGATTGGAGGTGGAAAGGGGTGAGATCGAGACGGGGAAGCAAATATGTGTTTGTTTGATATTATTGAGTGAAGAACATGGGCAGAGCATTGATTTGCAGGCAGGCAGGGCCTGAATAGAATAGAGGATGTGTGTGGGTGAGCTGGAGGACATCATCCCAATCCCAAATGTTGAATTCCATTTGATTTGCTGAGCTCGACGCGGTGAGAGGATGGGTGCGGTGTTTCGTTGCGTTGGTTGTGGTTTCTGGGCATCACCGTGGTGTCCATCATCAAGCTCTTGAAGTCGAAGCCACCACAGTCCCAAACTCTCGCCTTTGAGATTGAACTCCCATGATGAAGGAGCATAGTCTTGTGCCGCCGCCGGTGACTATATGGGCTTCTCCTTCTTCGTAACAATTGTGTGTTAATAACCCCTGCAGATTGAGTTTCTTTCAAGTGTGTGTAAGAAAACCCTTCCATAAGCCCCCTTTTTTCTTTTTTTGGTTGCTACATCTTGGTACGAGAGTATTGTTGTTGGCAGTGTAAACAAGGCTTTATACGTTGTTTTTTGGTACTATCAATGCATTAAAACTGCAGTTTTATGTAGACCACAAATCGCCTAAAACATATCAGAAACACCACAAAGCAAATCACAACTATTTTTAAATCACACTAAAAACCTCCTAATGAAAACCACAAACACAATTTCTCTAAAACATACCAAATACCTCCTAATTCAAACCACAAAAGCGATAAAACATACCCGAAACACCATAATGCAAATCAATTTTTTTTTATTGCAAACCACCAACGTCGTAAAGAAAACCACAAAAAAGCAAACCTGAAACGTCCTAATGCAGACCACTAATCCATTAAAACAAACCAGAAACTCCGCAAAGAAAACCATAAAATTTTCGAAAGCACACCATAAACTTCTTAATGCAAACCAGAAACCTCCTAATGCATACTACAAATCTCCTAAAACAAACCACAAACCTCACAAAGCAAACCACAACATTTGCGAAAGCACACCAGAAACCTACTAATGCAAACCACAAGCACGGTAAAACAAACCACAAAAGCAACCAGAAACCTTCTAATGCAAACCACAAATATATTAAAACAAACCAGAAACCTCATAATGCAAACCACAAAATTTTTGAAAGCAAACCAGAAACTTCTTAATGCAAACCACAAACACGATAAAGCAAACCACAAAAGGCACAAAAAAATATGAGAGACCAAACCATAAATCTCACAATCAGACCATAACATCTGGTGATCGTTGACGGTCAACGAAAACCGTTGACCAAACTCCGACGACCGTCAGTGACCGGATTTCGGCGCCGATAGGCATATTCCGGCCCCGATGACTAGATTCTGACGCCGGTAAGCATATTCCGACCACGGTGAGCATATTCCGGCGACCGGTGACCGAATTCCGGTGACCAAAATTTTGGACAGAAAATAAAAGAAAATTTATTATTTTTTATTAGTATTTAAACATATTTTTTATAATGACAATTATACCCCTGCTTTGATTTTATACTAGGTCAACTCATATAATAAAAAGTCATCATAACCCTAGCTTCCTATTGGTTGGAGACTAGTATTGTTACAATAACAACACAAGGGATGTTGTCACCCTAGTCCCCGCCCATCCCTTCTTTAATTTGTTGGGCCAGCTCCTTTCCTCTCTTAATTGCAGCATGGTGAGCATTAATGACAGTGGAGGAGCCTGTGACATCAGTAGGACCTTGTTGTCGGCGATGAGGTTGAGATGCGTCGCCGGCTTCCGCGATCCGGGTTGTCTCTGCCGGCGGATGATGATTTTGGCTGTGGAGTTGCTCCCTCCGGAAACACCAACAAAGAAGGCTCTTCAACAACAAACCAATCATTGAATCACATGTCCATAAACATTACAAGACATTTGGAGTGGAACAGTGGTTTGTGGGGACCGGCGGGGTGGAAGGGAAGCCATGGGCGAGGACGGTGGAGGACTGGTTCAAGATCGTCAAGTATGGAGTTAATTACAAGCTGGCGCACTGTCCGGGAGTGTGCAAGTCTTGCAAGATCAAGTGTAAGGACGTAGGGGTGTTCGTTGACGAGAATGGGGTCAGAAGGCTTGCTCTCACCGAGGACCGCCCTTTTGTGGTCAAGTTCGCGAGGGCGGATAGTTAGGATAGGAGGAAGAAACAACACTACTATATTGGACGAAGCTGAGTGATTGAGTGCGTCACGATGAGATAGAGTGCTCAATTCTACGATAATTTATTTTGACTCTTTTTATTTAGTACATGTGATGTAACCATTTCCACCGTCAATAAAACTGGAAAAGAAAGAAAGGATAATAAAGACGTGTTAATTAATAGATAAATACTTGTTGTTTCCATGTCGACATAGTATAAGTTGAAACTGCATGATTTGATGTTGGTCGCGATAGTTTTCGGCATTTGAGCAATGAATGATTCAAACGCAAATATGATGAACTCAGAGATCAAAAGGACTAGTGTTTGTGTATCACAATCTCACCTGTTGATTAGACCCGAACCCTTCCAATGGGCGAAAGTTTTTATAACCCAAAAATCTAAATGACTCGAATCCGATTAAACCATAGTGTTTTTGGGCTTTGTTGGCGGAATTAGTGGGTCGACCAGGTAGACCCGTTCCATTTCATATGCCACCCTCAACATGATAAAATTACTTATAAATTGGTGATATGTTCGAAAAATTCATATAAAATTGAAAGACAAGTTGGACTGTAAGAATAATCAAACATCATTTGTTTATTGTACTAGCTAGTATTTTTGTTTCACTCATGATCTTCAAAATAGTGGTGAAAAAATTGTTCAAAAAGTTTGTTAATGAGAAAAAGCATTTTCGTAATTTTTTGGGCGATGAAAGGCCATTTTCTTTGGATTTTGAATGCTACAGATCAAGAATTTGGGCGGAGACTATTCTTCAATGACGATTACGTCCATTAAGAACCGATTTGGGCGGATTTATTCCACGTCGATTTTTCGCAGATTCCAAAGGGGTAGCATCAAAGATTTTGGGCGATTTTCTGGAAATGACATTTTCTTTCGATTCTGGAGGCTACAGATAACGGATTCAGGCCGAGGCTATTCTCCACCGATATTAAAGTCTATTGATCCTATTCTCCACATATGATAAGTCCATTAAGCTCTGATTTGGGGCAATTTATTTTCGGATGACATTTTCGTAATTTTTTGTGCGATGAAAGGACGTTTTCTTTGGACTTTGAAGGCTACAGATCATAGATTCGGCCTGAGACTATTCTTCAACGACGATACGTCCATTAAGAACCGATTTGGGCGGAGTACCATCACAAATTTTTGGCGATTTTCCCTAAATGTCATTTTCTTTCGATTCTGGATGATACAGATAACGGATTCAGGCCGAGGCTATTCTCCACCGATAATGTAGTTCATTGATCCTATTCTCCACGGATGATAAGTCCATCAAACTCCGATTTGGGCCAATTTATTTTCGGATGGCATTTTCATAATTATTTGGGCGATCAAAGGCCATTTTCTTTGGATTTTGAAGTCTACAGATCCTGGATTCGGCCTAACGCTATTCTTCAACAACGATTACGTCTATTAAGAACCAATTTGGGCGGATTTATTCCGTGTCGATTTTGGGAAATTCCACCTTTTTTGGAGCATCTCTCCTTTTTGCTTTTTTTCAACGACTGATAGCCAAAACGGTGGAATTATGATTTGACCTTTTCGAACTCTGTCTGTAACTCACTATAGGCTCGGGAAACAAAGAGAAGATGTGTACGAACGAGATATCCAGCAACAAGAAGAAAGGGGTACCATCACAGATTTTGGGCGATTTTCCCGAAATGCCATTTTTTCGATTCTGGAGGCTACAAATAACGGATTCAGGCCGAGTCTATTTTCCACCGATAATGAAGTCCATTGATCCTATTCTCCACGGATGATAAGTCCCTTAAACTCCGATTAGGGCAAATTTATTTTCGGATGGCAATTTCATAATTTTTTGGGCGATGAAAGGCCATTTTCTTTGGATTTTGAATGCTACAGATCACGGATTCGGCCTGAGGCTATTCTTCAACGACGATTATGTCCATTAAGAATCAATTTTGGAGGATTTATTGCGGGTCGATTTCTGGCTTATTCTAAAGTGGTACCATCACAGATTTT